GAATATATACACACTTGTATAAACAGAGATGATATTGTTTAAAGAAATGTATGCAGAAGGTTTATTTGATTGTAATTGAGGACACAGCAATTGGGTCTCAAATGTTAAAAAGCTACTCTGTGATAATGGATTTGCTGAAATTTTTAATAATGATTTTGTTGATTCAAAAGTGTTTTCTATCATTTTTAAACGTTGAGTTACAGACACTTTTAAACAGGAATGGACAGCTACGTTAGAACAGAACCCTGTTTTGTTTAATTACAATGTTAAGCTTTATTCTGGTTATGAAAGCTATCATGAGATTCTGTCACGTAAATATAAATATTATTTTTGTAGATTAAGATCATCTGTACATCCTTTAAAAATAAAAACTGGCAAATGCCATAGGAATAAGCGGCGATATTGTTTATGTTGCAATACATTAGACATAGAAGATGAATATCACTTAAAAATTATATGCACTTCTTTTCATAGTCTACGACTGCAGTATCTTAAAAAGTGTTATTATGTTAGACCATCTGTATTGAGATTTATTGTCTACTTTCTATCCAAGAGTCTTTTACAAAATCATTTACCCTTAAAAGAATTAATTTGTTATTTAATATCTTCTTGCATAAAGTTTGTCCTATTAAATCATTGTTTACTTATTCGAAACTGATGTTTATTATTTGTGTGTTTTCATATGCCATGTAACTTTGTTTAATAAAATCTTTGATAGCAAGACTATATACATATGTATATGCCTGTAAATAAAGGTCTGTTCTGTTCCGTACAAAATAAGAATAAGAACACCAAAGCGCATAACCATTTACAAAATAAAACTGGAGATCTAAAGAAGAAAACCAAAACATTATACATTGTTATGACTCGAAAGACTTGTTTTTTTAATCTTACAGAGCATTAAAAACCATTCTAATATATTAAAGGTAGAATTTCATTGAAAATCGTTATCACAGATTTGAGAAATTATTATATATTTACAAAAAACACCATTATTTGTTATCGATTGATCCAATAAAACCCAAAGATACGGTTTGTAAATATTTATTACAAATAAATATAAAAAGGTATTTCCTATCCTATGCGACGCGCCCAAGTTAGCTCGTTAAGTCGCGGTGGTGCTTGGGATAATCACGTGATACTGTAACGGCAGCCATCTTAAAATACGAAAATGCCTGATTCTCCTCGGACAGTTTCTTCTGCCGAAAATATAATATGAAATTAATACTTGCAATTCAAAGTAAGATTATTGATTTAATAATTGCAAACTTTTTACTTACAAAACTCTCATTCTTTTCTGTAACAAATATGTCAAATGTATCAAATACAGAATTATTATAGTACAATACTTTTAGTGCAAAATTAGACAATGCCTCTTGGACTTGATAATAATTTCCATTACAAGATAATGTAACATCAAAATAAGGTGAATGACTTAACAACGTTAAGTAGCTCATTATTGTAATATTACATAATTGCAAAAAGGAAAACCTGAGGTCCTTCTCCAACGTAAATCCAGGAAAGTCGTCATATGACCATAAGTCAAACCCATCGACAATTTATCAGTCTGTTTGGAAGACCCTGATATGATGCATTGGTAATAATATATAGAAAGTCGCCTAGTCTTTTTTGGGATACTTTATTTCAAACATGAGTATTGGACGTCGGCAATGTGTTCAAAATGGCTTGTTTATTTTCAGTTCTTTTATAGTATTTGAAATGTATAGTAAAACCTCTGCACATTAACACCCTTTCGGAGGCAAACATTTAGGATTGCTTTACCCGGTTTACGCTAAGATACCCAGAACCAATTATTCCTTTGATTTTTGTATTGATAATTTTTCAACAGAAAAGAAAATACGAATTAAAAATCTATATTCTAATTAGACATTTTTTCTTATAGTAGCGTATAAACTTACACTTTGAAGTTTAAACTTAAAATATTGCTAAGCACGCATTTCCGTTATAAATGGTACATAAAGATATTATTTTAAAGCAGGAAAAGCAATAAAATCCTGTCTGATATGTAAGAGTACATATTTCTTTTTCATTTTAGCCTAAACCAAATAATTCATTCTTTTCTCATGTACGGAAGGAAAAATATTGTTGAAGAAACGATTGATTCTTTATGCGTTGTTTCATAATGCTAAACCTTTAGCGAATCGCGTACCTATTTCTTACTAAAATTTCGTATCATTTACTGATGTGACTACTATATTTTTGTTTCTGACCAACACGAACGTTTTCTTTAGTCATAATGAAAACGCCACTGATAAGTATGGCATCGCAATATATACTATAGTCAGTGTGAGGTGCAGGTCAAAATATAGAATAGAGTAGCGTGACTGCAAGCTGACCTGTTTAACCATAAATAAATGATCCTTTTAGTGAGAACAAAAAGGTCGAAATCTGTGTCATGAAGTAATCTTGCAAAATACCAAATCGCTTTATCAAAATATTGCGTTTTCAATTATATCCAGGATTGATTTATTCCTTGCCATTGGCTAATTTTATGCACCACTTTTTCAATTTGATCATACAAACAATAAATATTGGTAATATACAACAAATTTGCTAAATACTTAAACAAAAATAAGGGCATGGACAAGTCCTAACATTATTTTTACGCATATTGATATCTTTTTTAGAGTACTACTTAGTTAATTAGATATACTCGTAAGTAACAAGGATTGCCTGCATTGCAGACCTTTTTTTGTAAAGGTTATATAAAGAATCAATAAACAATTACGGTTTATTTCAATGTGCATATAAAATTATGTGTTACTTTAGAAGGATTACATAAATTAGATAAATTTGATATATCTTATAGGAAACGAAGCTCTTCTGACGAATGTTTGGCTCAGCTCAAGGAATTACGGACCGACGGGCAGACTTGTTATTTCGGCTCGTTTTTCATCAGTTTTTCATTCGGTCTCACGGTATCTTCTGTTTGCCGAGTCGGAGACATGGGCTACTGTTTCAACATGCCCTGGCGTATCCAATGAGACCGGATGGTACTGTCTCGCATTTAAAAACACTTAATCTGTCTTACAAACGGGTACGGATGAATATAAGAAGATAGAGTTTTTCATTCATTCTAGCTATACCTTCTTGTTTTGCGTCCCTGATAGAGTCGTGTCCGAGACATTGGTAACTACTCAGACACTGACGTATGCAAGGAGACCGAACGAAGTAGTCTTAGGTTGGATACGGTCTGTCGAATAGCTATGATCGGATACATATACTGACTGTATTTCGTTCAGTCTCTTGGTATTTATGTACTCATGTGCCTCAAAACAGACATACTGATTTTCATATAAAATTCATATAGGTAGTATATTCGTGCCGATTCAAAAATAAGTTGTGACAAAGACTGTCTCTGTTATTTATAACACATGATTAAACTATGAAAACAGAATTAAATTTCTTTCGTATCAGACTTGCGTTTCCGTTAGTTTTACGCATGCCAGAAAATTTTCAATCTTTATTAAGGTAAAGAGTTTAAAAAATAATAGGATATGCTATAGTATACAAGAAAAACTATATGTCATATGTTGTGGTACCGACCAGAACATCCTTTCCGAGAGGCGCCCATTGGGCGGTAACGAGGCTTGCCAGTGGAACAAAATATTCTATCTTTGAGATATTAAGAGGTTTGTCCGTGTATTAATCGTTCTGTGTATGCGCCAGGTGCTCTTTAAAAAATATCTAAACATAAATGCGAAATTTAAATATATACTATAACTTTGATGGTTTTCTAAGCTTTACTATATTTACCAGTAGTTATCAACTTTTTACATGTATCAGCTAATTTAGCTCAATGGCCTTCTTCAATTTCATCAGCTGTATTGTGTGTTTGCTTATCTTAAAAAAATGATTACAAATTACAAAAATGAAATAAGACAAATTCATTCATTCATAAACGAATTTTACATTGTTATATTCAATAAAAGAAAACACTTAGCTTTCACAAGATACACTTATTTAATTTGCATAGTTCCAGTGCTTTAACTTTTGCTGAAGTAATTTTTTATTGACTGTTTTATTTTAAAGGAACTCAATCGAAGTTCTAAATTTCAAAAGCTTAGCATTTTACAGAGATCATTAGAGTAATGAACAATGAAATATACAAGATGATAAAGAAATATAAACATAATTAAGTCGAAAATAATTTGTGTGCGATTCTCAGCCTAATGTATGTTAGTTTTAAGCTTTTAAATGCTTTCCTTTTTTTGGATTTACACAATAAAAATTTTTTTTTTCTGGGAAAACACTTGCCCACAATCTTTTGATCCAGGTGCACAAATTTTGTACAATTTTTTCCAGTCCCGTCCTGTAAAACATTTCTGTAAAAGTACATCTTGTAATGAAGTTCTTTGTTCATTTAGAAGTTGTTTTGATTTTCAGTACACTACTTATATATACTCTACGTAAAGTGGCCTTCAGCTTTTATTGTTTGCTGGAAAAAACAATTTCAGTAATTTTATCTTGGAAAAAGTGTATCATATTACTGTTAGGCCCTCGTCAGCGACCCAAAAACTATTGATGGAGTAACGTTACCAATGACGTTTGGAGAAACGAATCGTTCTCGTAATATTTTTTACATATAGTGAGCGGCAGATTAAAGATATCGAGAGGTTTCCTTGCTGTTTATATATTTCATCGACAGCAAATTTCATTTTACACCAGTCCTTAATTCTTTTGAATTGACACTTAATGTAAACAGTTTATATACAAATAACATATCTAACCATTAGAAAAGCTGAAAGCCACTAAAAGCATAATTTCCAAACGTTTTATATTTTATTTTCTGAACAAATAGAATAATATCATTATCGAAATATATATTACATGTAAATCACTGAATGTACCTCATTTTTGACATGATCTTCCTTTTGAACTCATCTAGATACCAATTACGAAATTTTGAAGGCTGTCGTGTCAAGGCAAATTTCAAAATATTCTTGTTTTGTTTGGTATCGTTATCAGCATTTTGTCAAGAAGAAGTCAAAGACAGGTCAAATTTCAAAATCTATACCGGCAACGTTCATTTATAAAAGGGCTAATAAATAATTGGTGTGAAAACATAACACCACCAGCAATTAAGAATGCTTTCTTTTATAATTTTGTCGGTTTTTATAGCTCTTTGTAACAGGTAAATATATATTCACTTGTATACGTTAATGATCTTTGTTTTTACCAAAACAGTATACTGAGCAAAAAGTGTTAACGGATATTTTATTTTTCCTGTTCGGTTTTACTTCACACAAACATTGTAAGAGTCATATGGTGTCTTTCAAGCTTTATTGGTGGAAGAAAACCTAAGGTGTCCCTCCAGCACGAACGAGCACCTGAGTAGAACCAACGATGTCCATTAAGCTAGCTGTTGGATAGCTTCCTCGCTCAGTTTAAAGAATGTTGAGGGATTTCAAACCCGCAACTGTCTGTGAGGAGCAAGTGATTTAAGTGCAAATTTACAAATTATATGATAGTAAGTTTATTATTCCAACGGAAATGGATAGAATAAACCAATCGTCGTTGTTTCTTTTTTTCAACGCATGCTCTATAAGATTGTATGATTGAGCATTATGCGCGGAATAACGCACGCCTAATAGGGCTGTAAATATAGCAATGTTAATATTTTTTATATGAATATTATGAGTACACGTGTAAATTGTTGCTTTCTGGACTATTTTCTATTTCATGTAACTGACAGTGCGTATCAACTTCCGCACGGCCATGAACTGCACGTGCTGGTTGATAATGGATTTAATGCATTAGATAAAGATAAAGATGGCGTAATATCGGCTATAGAATTCGGTAGTATATCTTTCGATAAGGAGGACTTAAACCGTAAGTTTTTTTTTACTTTAAAACCATAAAGCATGTATATTGTCTTAAAATCATATACCAATAATGGTGTTTGATGTGCCTATACCATAAAGATATATAATGTTATATTTAGCTAAGTTGAATACATACAATATTGATATAGTACATTTGGTAATGATATTAACCATACAGTATTGATAAAGTACATTTGGCGATGATATTGAACATTCGGATTTGGTAATGGTATTGACAGGCAATATTAATACAATAGTGATATACTAATTCGTTTCAGCAGAAATATTACCCATACGATATTGATATAGAACATACGGCGTTGCCAAACAATAGTGATGTAGTCATATGTTTCGGCAATGATAATGCCCATAAGATATTGATATAGAATATTCGGTTTTGGCAATGCTGTTGACATGCGATATTAATATAGAACATTCTGTTTGGCAATGCTGTTGTCCATAAAATAGTGATATAGAACATTTAGTTTTGGCAATGCTTTTGATCTGCGATATTGATATTGTGCATTCGGTTTGGGCAATGTTTTCGTCAATACAATAAAGATATAGACATTCGTTTTGGCAATGATTTTACCAAAACAATGGTAGTTTACTAATTCGTTTTTGGCAATGATATCGCCTATACGTTATTGATATTGAACATTCGGTTTAGGAAAAGCTATTGTCTATACAATTGTAATGTAGAACATGCGTTTTTGGAAATCATATTGTCCATACAAAAGTGATACATTTTTTTCGCATTTGGCAATGAAAATGCCGATACAATATTGATGCAGAACGTACATATTGATATTGAACATTCGGTTTTGGCAATGCTTTTGTCAAAACAATAGGGATATAGTCATTTATTTGGCGATAATATTGCCCATTCGATTCGATAATGGCAATGCTTTTCACGATAAGACATTGATATTGAATATTCGGTTTTGGCAATGCTATTGACCTGCGAGATTGATTCAGAACTTTTTGTTTTAACAATGCTTTGAACCATACGATATTGATATAGAATATTCGGTTTTGTCTTTGGAAATGGTATTTACCTGCGATAATATTCAATTTTGGCAATGCTGTTTTCCATAAAATCGTGATTAGTACATTCGATTTTGGCAATTCTATTGACTATACAATAGTGATATTGTACATCCGGTCGTGGCAATGCTGTTGGAAATACAGTATATGATAAAGTACATTTGGTTCCGGCAATGATATTGACTTGTGGTAGTGATAAAGTGCATTCTGTACTATCAATGTTATCTAGCTTACAAAAACGTAATAAAACATTTGGTACTGTCAATGTAAATGTTCGTGCAATATTGATATTGAAATTAATATTTTTGACACTAAAATACGTTTCGACCAGTAAAATCATAACTTGTACACACCTCGCCGATATTCAATATCCAAATTTGGCAAAGCCCGCACCAAGTTCTTCCTATAATCAGTATAAAACCACTGCCATCCTGAGATTACTATAGATTTTCTTTCATTTAATTACTATGCTTTATGCACAAAAAAGTAAAGAATAAACGTGTAAAATAATAATCAGCAAAGAAACGGAATGAAAGTGTAGGACAGTTTCCTTCCTTCTATACTTTGGTTACAACGAATATTAACAGGGGCAGGTAATCCGGAATATGTTTCAGATGGCCGTAATCACGTGAGTACTATGACGAAACTAGTGCGAGAATTTATCGGGTATATTAATCGGTCAACTTATGCATGAATCAGTTATAATATTTTTAAACAATATTTGCCTACACTAATTCTTTTGTATAGATAATGTAATTAAACGTACATATTGCGGAAATCTAAATACATCTTTGGTGAATGTTTGTTTGTTTGTTGTTGTTTTTATTGTTTGTTTTTTTCTGGGTTTTTTTTCTTATTTTAAGAATTATATTCACCCGGCAATATTACGCTCGTAAATTGGTCATGCTCGCTCAAATCTGCTGTGGCTTATCTGTAATAATATATTTAGTATTTTAATAACCGCACAACAACATTTTACATTGATCACGGAATTGCATAAGACATTACTGCTTTTGACAATATGTATGACATGAAAATATTGATGCATATGTTCCATCTGAAAATGTGGAAACAACTGTACTGTAAGAAGCAATCGCAACTTTTTGGCCCTTTCCGTCAGTCTTCGAATAAGGACCTCGAACACAATAGTATGAATACACAGAACGGATACTGTATTTCGGTCTAACCTACGCTAAGAAACAAGACATGAAAACAAATAGTAATTTAATGTTGATAGTTGTTGACAAGTTTATTTCCAATATATCAAGTAAATGCCCACCTAAAATAAGTGAATTCATAAATACAACAGGAAACAATGCATTATTTGTATATCTATTACTAGTATTATGGTTGTAGAAACCGGAAGTACAAAATACCAACCTGTTGACATTTATAGTCGCATTTGTTTAAAAATGTACATCAGTGGGTATATTTAAATTTAAAATGGTTGTCAGTCATATTTTCAATCATAATAGTACCGAAATAGACTTAATTTTCTTTTGGATGTCAATTATATGTACATTCGTTTTACATTGTGTTTACATCTGAAACCACGTGATATAACTACTTTCACTCCGTCTTGTTTCCGAGGTTATTACAGATAATTAGCAGAGGACGTTCCGATTGATGTAACAACGTTATTTAACTAGTTTGTCAATGTTGAATGTGTGATAAGTATTGCTGGAAATATAGCAAACTCTACAATACAATGCTGTAACAAACTGGTAAAGCTAAGTATATATATATTTATTTATTTATTTATTTTAGATGACGGTAACCTCACCCTTGCTGAATATGCAGCTTTCTGGAACACGACACCTGAGGCTGTGATGCCACTTTTCAATGTATGGGACACAGATAAAGATGGCTATGTCGAATCAAACCACTTGTCGATTGTTGGTCATTTACTAGACCCAAACGGTTAGTTTTTATTACTTTTTAATTTCACGTGTTACAGTAAGAAACACACAATTGTTGTGTTTGATCTTTTTAGTTGTTGATTTCAAATTTTATCTTATTTCTCAGCAGTTATTGTGCCAATGTCAATTAGAAATGTTCAATACACATTAGTCACTTGAGGTTAAGTAGACCTGACATCAATATGATATTAGTGTTTATATAATAATGTAATATAACAGACTATGAAATAATATCAGTAGTGAGTACATGTCATTGATGCGGAGCAGCTTATATTATCGATATAGAGTTTGTCAGATAAAGACATATTTTCTGCTTGGTTTTATTGATTATTTTATCTCAATAAATAATTATTCTATTGTATCTGACATTCTTATCTACAGGTGACGGCATTATTACTAAGCACGAATACGAACATTACATGACCGGCGTAAGTATCAATCCATATCACATACCTTAAGTATATATGCGTAAATGTGATTCGTGGAAAGGTACCTTACGTGAGCAATATTATGTGTTAACTCCGACAATTCGATTTAAACTGTGTTGTCATACTTTTGGACGACATGAAGAACAACACAGTGCAGGAAAAAGACCATGTCTTTACACACAAAAAAAAAACATTTTTTTGCATTTAGGAAAATGTATCAATTTACAATAACTAGACTATTAGGAAACAATTTTAAGATTAGCATCTATAAGTTTTGTACGTTTATACCCGATAACGCAGAAATTAACGTACAAATAACGAAAAATATATAACATTGTTGATTTTTTTGAAATTCTCTAAACATAAAAAAAATATTGATGGACATTGGTGAAAATAATGACGAAGCATTCTGATTATTTCAGAAAATCTTCATTGCATTCAACAGAATAATTCCGTTGAACATTAAAATATTTTTGTTACAATGTTAAAACAATTCATTGCAAGGTCTTTGGATGTATAGGGTAGCCTTTCTGACAGTTTACATATATTGGTCATTTTTGACAGTCTTAACAGCAAAGCAAGAACTGGACCATCTTGCTCATCTATTTCACCTTAGTTAGTGTAAAATACAAAATAGCTAACCATGACACAAATTAAATAGAAATGTGTTAGAATCAGTGTTTGCTAATACCTAATTTATTATATTTCGCTAGGCGAATATGCATGTGCATGAATACATGGATTTTACATGCATCTACCATTCTACCATAACAAAACAAAAAACAAAAAAACAAAAACAAAAAACAAATATAATAAGTAGTTTATAGATCATGTTTCTTTACATCCAAGTTAAATTTGTTTCAAAGCATGAGTACTAATAAAGATTGCTAAATACATAAATTTACAAAATACATTGGTAAATTGTTTGCGGTTTGTTGTTTAACTTATATCATATTTCATATTACAGTTCCTGGAGTGTGTATACGCACATGGTCAACACGGACATGGCCCTAACTGCGATCATTAATTGTTTCATCTATCTTTGTAGAGAAAATAGAAAAAATGAATAAAAAATGATAAAGCATAGACTGTCAAGATTATTTCCCCCTAAGAACATAGCATGTGAAATAGTATATAAGGAATTAGTCTACATTTATGCAAATGTGATAGCAAAAAGAAAAAAAATGACATATAGTGATATACATGCATCATCAGCACACGATTTGCAAAAACTTTAAACTCGATAGTGCTAAGTTGTCTATAGAAAAAGGACGTTCAGAAATGTACAGAATTATTTGTATGAACTGGTATCATTAGAGTATAAGACTGACAATATAGACATCATGATAATGTACAAACTTGTTACATTATTGTTTGAATGTGCAGTGCTTGGACCTATAAACAATCTGTAGATGGTAAATGTTGAAATGAAAAAGAAAATAAACATGTAAAATTGTAAAACTTATAGTAAAACACATTGTTATTGTGATGAAACTTTGCACAGATGTGAATGTACTACGCACTATTTTATTTTATGTATGTATGTAGTTTATGCTTAATGAGGCACAAAATGCGGCCTTATTTGTCTAGTACGGACCCCAGACATATCACCAGTCATGCCTAAAAGGGTTAATTTTGAAGAACAAAGTGGTGATAATTAACCTCCATGCAATTTCCACGGAGTATTAGCCAAAGATATGAATTTTGAGCCAAAAGGAGGCCACTGTACGGCGTTCAATGAGAACATAAATGTACAGTAACCTGTGACAATAAGAAATGGTATCCCAAAAAAGGTATATGTTGGTGCCAGCAAAAGGCCTGCCGTTCAAGACGTCTAACCGGCTCACGCACCTTAGCACACCATCCTCGTCGATCCAAGAGCCTACTTTGTAGGGCATCGGCAGCTGGTCCGCAGCACAAGTTCTGATCTTTTTTCGCCGTCCCCAGTCTTCAAATCTTCTGCCGATGTCCTGTGTCTTCTCTACGACGTACATGTGCCGAGGGGAAGAGAAAGGCTATATTATTTTACTTCACAACTTATTTAATATGATCAGTGAACTTCAAGCGTTTGCAACATTTGATCGTATAATTCATTATACCTCACGCAAACTTTTTACTTTTTAGTGAAAACGTCACATGTTGTTATTTCGAGATGAAATATCACCTTGCAATATTAAACAGGGGCGAGTAATCTATATAGACTAAAGAAAACTTTATGTTCTAGTTCTCTTCCTTGGTCGCTATGCTCTCTCTTATAATAAAATAATAACATATGTATCTCTGGGTAATATTATATATATTGTAGTAACCATTTCCCTGATATAACACCATCTGCTCTGCACTATTACCCCGAGAGTATGTTTATCAACGATTTTCACTGTCAGGTATTCATGTATGCTAATGTGCGGAGTCTTGCATACAGATATTTTTTCATTAATCGCAAAAGTTGTTTGACAGTAAGATTAGGTAATGTATAAAAATCAGTCCATAAACGAGTCCTTGTATGAACATAATCAGGCTGCACTCGTTTTGCAAAATGATGACGTATCTCTAATACTGAGCCACTGACCGTCGAAATAAACCAATTTAGCCAGAATATCTTCACAATTGCTGGTTCGGTTTTTGTCCACTCACCAGCGCTGATGAGTGGATATTATAAATTTCATCCTTGCTGGTGGTAGGATGCGACGACAACTTTTTTTCAAAGCATTTCTTTTAACAAAATAACCCTTAAGGCTTTGAAGGACCACATCCTCCCGAGGAAGTCACAATTAAAAGTCTCCCAATCATCCCGGGTACATACGATGACTTTACCTTGACCTGTCGTGTGCTCTCTTCTCTGAGAGCCTTCCTCCCGGAGGCGGGAATGAGGAGGATTTGGAATAGTAATGATGAATCTCTACAAAAAAGAACTTAACATTATATTCCATGCTGCAGTTTAGTAAACATAAAAATATGTTTTAAACAATTTAAAATTGCGGTTTACCAAAATGTTTCAAGTAATTCAAGTGATGCTAATAGTTATTTACTTCAATAAAATGTTAGAATATATATTTTGTTTGATAATCTATATTCACGCTTCATTAGTAAACAGTACTTTTTGGGGGGCGGTTCACAAACGCACAAACTGTAATCTGTTGTACAAAAACCACGTGCGAGTAGTTGTTATTTTCATAGGTTCAACCAGTTATCCCCCCGTTTATTAGAGAAAAGGGTTAACACAATCATACTTTATAACGTACTTAATTGCTTCTTTCCCCTTGAAATGCTAAATAAAATGAATATGTTCGATAAAATGACAAGACAACGATTTGATAGCAGCAATGTACGTTATACGAACATAATAAGGGACAATAGTGGATTATCTTCCCCTTTAAAAAACCCGGGGGTTAAAAAAATTTTAAAGAGGTAAATTTTTTGGAACCCTTTTGCTTTTTAGGGTTGATTTTTATGTAAGACAGGTTGAAAAAATTTTTTTTAATCAATTTTTTCCACATGCTTTCAACAAATTTTGTAAAAAATTAAAAAAAAGTTTCTTTTTTATGCAACAGTTTCTAAAATTCTTATCGCAATATTTTTCTAATATTACAAATGAAAATTAATTAGCCCAAATTTAATTAAATTTTGCTAAAAAAAAATAGGGAAAAGGGTCCGAGTAATCCAATTTTGTTTGGGGACCATTATTTATACGGGGAAAAAGCCCGGACCCGGGGCCCCGAACCCCCCGCGAGGGCTGTAGCGCTTTTAATAACATGTAAGACGCGTATAAATTTCAAAAGAAATAAATTTTAAAAATTTTAATAAAAATTTTAAAAAAAAATTTTATATATCCCAAACCTAATGAGCTGCGAAAAAATCCTTAGTTAGCGAGCGCCGCCATTTTGAAATCTATGTTGTAAAACGCTTGACAAGCGCCTCTTGTAAAACGCTTAACAAGCGCCTCAATGGCTGAATATTTAGACTGGTTTAAATGTTATGAATAGCGGGCGCTTTTTGATTTTTATTCCGAAAAGCGTGTAAACTACACTGATTTTTTATCATTAAACGGCCCAGTCGTCTGCTTTTTTATCGCTGTCGTCTCAACAGACTGAACGGTACTATTTTGGCATAATTACATTTTCCTATTTAAAGTCCTAGAATTATATTTACTTTTGCATATTTGGACTTCCACAAATTTTACATGTTTCTTTTTGTACATTTAAATATTTTAACATCTTTAATTAAGTTACTTATGCAAGTTTATGCAATAACGTTCACGTCATGTCATATATATAAACGGGTACGCTGAAGACCTTAAGCTAGCATACTGGTAAATAACTATGTCTATTTTCAACAAGCATAATTATTGGCTGGACAACAATATTGTAGGAAATCAATTCCAAGAACTTCAAACAAAAAAAGTTAAACATTCAAATGAAATATACCAAGAAAACAATTATTGTACAGAAGTAAATAATGATTAACAGGCTTGAACTACACAGGTATATTTACTCTCTCCAAATCAATCTGAGCATTTACATATGCAGAATGATAATTACAATGACCATAATTATTGTCTGAACAACAATGTCAACCACTAACTGATACACTTTCACAAATATAAATATCAGAGAAAATATACTTTCCATTATATCTCCAACAACACATTTCATCACATTCAATTATTTTTCAATTAAACAACTGTTTCTTACAAGCATCTATGGACAAAATTAGATAAATTTAAAAGGGACTAATAACAGAAGATTTTTTGGTGGGTGGTATGTCAACCACTAACACTTTCACAAATATAAATATCACATAAAATAAACTTACAATTGTATATGTACTTTCACCAATACATTCAATTACTAGTATTCATGTATTTTTCTAAATCTACATTAAACATATTTTCATCATTTCGTCTACATCTTCCTCTCAACATTTTTGGTCATAATGATTTTTTTAATTGATGACATGTTTATTATTTCTATGTTTCTTTTCAAAATATTCCATGACATTAAATGTCATCATCACATTTCACCACTGATTAAAAGAATATGTCTAGATTTAGAATTTAACACCATGAATAGCTACAAAACTGTATAGCAACTATTTATTTAGACACTAATAAAAAGAATTTAAAGTCCTACCCATATGTTGCTCATTTTGATTATTTTCAATGTATTTTTTTCTTACTAGCATGCTTTTATTACTTAATCACATGTATATATATGTAATTCAAACATTCATGTTATTAATTCATATTGCATATTTCTTTTATGATTATTAAGCTAAATTTTATCATCAATTATTCACATTCGTAATCAATACTTTTAACATTTATTGATCACAGTTTTTGGAATTGGTTAATAGTTAGTCAAATTTTCTTTAAATATTGTCATATAAATACATTTTAATATATTTAAACTATGTAGTTTTTTTTCACATGAAACAGTGAAAAACTTTTTCTGTTTTGTTCTTTTCACAGATGAATCATCTGATATTTGCAACTGACTCAAGAGGGCGTATCATATAAAAATTTGTATGATGGTGTTCATGCAGATGAACATCTAAAGAGAAATGGTTCACATTTCTTTGTCATTCTGTAGAAAATGATTTAAGGTCTTGGGACTTTAAACAATAAAAAAACATTCCTGTTACACAGTACTTAAATACATAAGGACAATCATCAAAATTTCAATTTAAATTTGCTTACATAACTGAACGTCTTTTAATGTTAATAAATATTCTGTAGTGTGGGACATGTCAGTCTCTAACCAACAGAAACATTTAACGCCTTTCCCCCATGAGCATATTGTGAAAAATGGCCGTTTTCACTGAAAAGCCTCCTGTTACAAGTTCAAACTGCTATGAAACTATGAAAAATGCTTCAATACTAATTAAACTTGGCACAAATATTGACTGGACCATTGCCTTTGTAACGACATGCTCAGTCTTAAATTTCCTGTTACCATGGCAACGAGGGGACATCTCAAAAATTGCCAAAAATCACTATTTTTGCCTCGATTTTTTTCCATCAAAAATTTATTTCAAAGTGCTGCAACTTCTCAAGGGATTGAGATAGAGTCAAAGGCTTTTCAGCGTTTGGTTAAACGTTACATTATTGGTCGACCTGGGGTCATTTTAGCCTCTCACAAGTCCAAAATTTTCTTGGCGATGAGGGGGACTCCGCCCCCTTCAAACCCCCCTAACAGAAGGGGGCACATCCCCCTTCTGGCAAACCCCTGATGTATCTTTTGGATGGGGGGCGGCGCCGAAAAAGTGCTCCATTTTTTTGGCAACATTTCTCAAACGAAAACTTATGTTTAGGGCCCAAATAGGACATTTTTTCACTATTTGAGGCCCCAAAAAGGGGGGGGGGGTCGAAAGTGCGTTGTTTCGCGTATATATGTGGTAAAGGGTTAATTAAAAAGTATAAATCTATCGTTATTAAATACCAGCTATATATAAATACCAGCTATATTCAATAAATATACGGGGAAGTCAAAGACCGGGCCCGCAAAGCGGGTCCGGGTTTTGGCTTGCCCGGCTATTGACTACACGTGTATATTTAAAAGTAAATCAAATAAAAAACAATTAAGAAATATATAGAATTCTATACCTATCAACGAAATTTTCAGTGTCACTTTAGTCGGGCGCCGCCATTTACAATGTAACTTAATGATAATTGGCGGGGTATTCCGATAACGGAACAAATCTCAACTTTTCGGATAAATGATAATCGTCGAGTATTCCGAGTGAAAACGGTTCAAAGCGGTGCATGTAATACCGAATGACACCTTCAAAACGGAAAGAATGAAAGGAATTTTCATTATTACCATTACATTGTGTTAGATAATGTAAATATTCAAAATATATACATGTATTTGTTTACTATATATATATATATATATATATATATATATATATATATATATATATATATATATATATATATATATATATATATATATATATATATATATATATATATATATATATATATATACAAACACATTCCTCCATTTACGGGGCATCGGTCTATTTGAGACCATACTTGTGGGGTGTATATTTAATGTGGGGCATACATAAGGCCTCGCAACTCTGGCATGTTTAAAACGATGTATGGGGGCGTAGGCTACCCTTCTAACATAGTGCCGTAGGCCGGTTTTAGTAGTAAATGATATATGTCCCACAAATGTATATATTTTTAATGGGGTTTTATGTTATTGGTCAATATGTTTTCACCTATGGTAAAATTAAATATATAGTTTATATATATAACTTAGTACCCCTTAGTTCTGTTGTATGGAAATGTTCATTATAGGCCTATATAGTGGCGTATATAAAAACTGACTGCATGAAATAATGCCACTCAACTCGGTCTTATATATGGGCCCCGTAAGTGAAGATATGTGTGAAATATATATATATATATATATATTATATATATATATATATATATATATATATATATATATATATATATATATATATATATATATATATACATGTTTTTTTTTTTTTGTTTTTTCTTTAATTTTTTAAATGTTGATAAATGTTCTGAAGTGTGGGACATGTCAGTCTCTAACCACCAGAAACATTTCTTAAACAAAAAAAGTATAATTCAAATTTTCAAGGTTTATTATCTTTAAACACCAGAATATTTAAAAATGAAACAAAAATTCTAAAATCACATAATTTTGATCAGAGGTAGTGTTGAACATTATCAATATAATTCAGTTAGATAATTTCTTTGATACTGCATAATTTACATGAAGATCTACATGACTTTCCGCGCCATAGGTAGCACCTTATTTCATATTAGGGAGTACTCAGGGGAGGTTATTCACTAATGTCCCCCATTTCTACTGTAAATATCATTATAAGGAACAAATTGCACATTCTCGAGTCATAAAACATAAAGTGAAACAAAGATCGTGATTAAACTTATTTGTGTAAAAACCACTGCATTTAATTATCCATTACAGGGAGAGTATATTTAAATTTTACCTTATTTAATTAAATAAATTTGATTTTAAAGGGTATTATTTTTATTCTTGTAACAGTTAAATACTGGTTAATAAAAATATGATTACAATAAATAAAAAAATAACTTTAAGCTTTAACATGATATCACCTAAAATGTTAAAAATGCTGATTTAAAAGTTACTTATTTATTTTCACAAACACGCCAGATATCCCTTAAGTTAAACAATGTATGACCCCTGTCACTTATTATGCAATTATCCAATAAATCATTTATGTGTCACCTTCCCAGGCCTGTCTGGTCATATGGTCTAGTTCACTAGAAGTGCACACGTTGTGCACTTCTATTTCAGCTCTAGTACACTAGAAGTGCACAAGATAGGAAAGTTTAGTGAGAACTCAACTGTAACTGATAATTAAGTTTTTGTTTCAATTGAAATTTTGTCATATAATTCTTAATTAATTGAGATACGAAGAGTATCATACTAATAAGCATGTTTGCGTAGAAACTATCATCATAGAAGAAGTATAAGCATGTTGCACACAATTTTAAGAAAAACTGGCGATATTCCCTTCCATAATTGTTCCCTTCTATACTTTTTTCTTCTTTTTTTCAATAATCATAATGATCCTTAATTTTGCTTTAGGTCACTTTCTGGCAGTTCTTGACGTAGATCAGTAGAAACTTTTCTTTGGGTTCAAATGCTCTCTAATTAATCCGCAGAAAAATAGTTCTACATTATATTGAAATAAAATAAGACGTTTGCAAAGACAGATGTAAAAACAACATTGACTGAATATAGTTCTCTTTTTTCTTATGAATATACAACCGATAATTTTTTACCAAAATTCGTTTTACTTTCGTCTTATTTACTTCACCGGAAACGAACTAATTTCTGCCTTTTAACTCCGCGTAAGAAACAAGGTACCACATGTGAAATTTCAGTGTTCATTTTTATGGTATTTTTAAATGTTTTGCCAGTTGTCGGGCATTCTTTACATACTAATGATAAACTTTGATAAAAGGCAAACCTTGAAAGCCTTTTAAGCATAAAACTTGTGTCCTTCCAGTGACGCACCACTTATTTTTTATTTCAGCTTTCATCCCACCCACATGTTTATCATGGGATTTGGCCAAAAGGAATAAATCTAGGATATAAATTATAATCTTTAGAAGAAGTTATCACAAATATGAGTTAGCAAAGCCGTTAAACGAGAAGTCAACTTAAGAAATCAAATTGACAAATGATTCTAACTAGGGATTAAATTATTTTTTATGTCTGATTAATTAAACGTGCTATTTTTCCTGATGTTCTGCATTGTCCATGTGTTTAGCGATGTATATTGTCGACGTAGCCAGCCGGCATATATTTCTGAGTTCATGTGACTCAATGTAGAAAGAAGACTGAAATATATCCAATGAATCCACAGGAAAATATCCCAATTGAAAGTTACAAAAATAAAAATATTGAAATTTGAATACAGAATTGAAAAATCTTTGAAACTAATGGCTTCTTCGCTGTAATAGTGCTTAAATGTTTGAAGATGCCATCCTAGACAGTGATTGCATGCATTTAATCACTGAAAAATTTCAGTCATGCATTTTTCCCAGATTTTAATATAATATGGCTGAAATACACCCATAAACACTTTCAATATGATCTACGAAATAACCTAGGTATATCTAGTGAAGAAATACGAGTTGCTTCCCTTATCTTCGATACCGCTTATGCTAAAACAAAGCAAAATAAGCCGTTTTTAAACCGCTAGTTTGTTGTGTTTAAATGTCCGATTTTAACGAGGGGACATCTCAAAATTGCCAAAAATCACTATTTTGCGTTGATTTTTTCCATCAAAATTGATTTCAAAGTGCTGCAATTTCTCATTGGATTGAGATAGAGTCAAATGCTTTTCAGCGTTGGTTACATTGTACCTTATGATCGATCTTAGGTCATTTTTAGCCTCTCGCAAGTCCAAAATTTTCTTGGCGATGAGGGGCTCATCCCCCTTCTGGCACCCCCTTGATGTATCTTTTGGTTTGGGGGCAGCGCCGAAAAAGAGGTCACTTTTGTATTAACATTTCTCCAACGAAAACATGTGTTTCGGGCCCAAATAGGACATTTTTTCACTATTTGAGGCCTAAAAGAGGGGGGTCGAAAGTGCGTTGTTTCGCGTATAGGGCTGCAACGATACACCAAATGTTCGATTCAATTTCGATTTAAGACACTCCGATTCGATTTTTTTCGATTCGATACATTTCTGATTACTAATTTATTTTTGGTATATAATTCTGCTTGTCTGCTCCAAAAGTGAGTTGCCTTCAACCTAGTGCTCTGCTTTTCTGTTGTAATATAACTATTATATAAACTGATTTGACTTAATAATTGTGTTTATGAGAATAAAAAGCTCTTGTCTATTTGGAAAATAATATTAATCAGGCAAATAATCATTAATCTCAGTAACATGACTATCACAGATACCTTCTGCTGACTAGGAATTTAACAAAGTATGTAAATTGTAAAGTAAATAACAATGTACAAAGTTTCACAAGGTTGTCAGATCTGATATTCAGATATTCTGTTTATAATTCCCATAATATGTAAAACTAATGTCAGTGTTGCACACAATACTTCTTAGTCTAGTAAACAATACAGAAAAAATGAAATTCATGAAATTATCACTTTTTTCACAATTTACTAAAGAAATTATTATCAATCCCAATGTCAAATATACATACTTACTGTAGTACTAATCAAACTTATTTCGAGAAGGCCAGGACACGGATAAAGACGATGATGACGTCTTGCGACCTCAACTCCAGTAAAGTAAAGTAAAGATTACCAAACAAGTCCACATCGTGTTTTCATATGTTGCATTAAATTAGACGTACTGCCGGTACTTATAGTAAAACACATTGTTATTGTGATGAAACTTTGCACAGATGTGAATGTACTACGCACTATTTTATTTTATGTATGTATGTAGTTTATGCTTAATGAGGCACAAAATGCGGCCTTAGTTGTCGAGTACGGACCCCAGACATATCACCAGTCATGCCTAAAAGGGTTAATTTTGAAGAACAAAGTGGTGATAATTAACCTCCATGCAATTTCCACGGAGTATTAGCCAAAGATATGAATTTTGAGCCAAAAGGAGGCCACTGTACGGCGTTCAATGAGAACATAAATGTACAGTAACCTGTGACAATAAGAAATGGTATCCCAAAAAAGGTATATGTTGGTGCCAGCAAAAGGCCTGCCGTTCAAGACGTCTAACCGGCTCACGCACCTTAGCACACCATCCTCGTCGATCCAAGAGCCTACTTTGTAGGGCATCGGCAGCTGGTCCGCAGCACAAGTTCTGATCTTTTTTCGCCGTCCCCAGTCTTCAAATCTTCTGCCGATGTCCTGTGTCTTCTCTACGACGTACATGTGCCGAGGGGAAGAGAAAGGCTATATTATTTTACTTCACAACTTATTTAATATGATCAGTGAACTTCAAGCGTTTGCAACATTTGATCGTATAATTCATTATACCTCACGCAAACTTTTTACTATTTAGTAAAAACGTCACATGTTGTTATTTCGAGATGAAATATCACCTTGCAATATTAAACAGGGGCGAGTAATCTATATAGACTAAAGAAAACTTTATGTTCTAGTTCTCTTCCTTGGTCGCTATGCTCTCTCTTATAATAAAATAATAACATATGTATCTCTGGGTAATATTATATATATTGTAGTAACCATTTCCCTGATATAACACCATCTGCTCTGCACTATTACCCCGAGAGTATGTTTATCAACGATTTTCACTGTCAGGTATTCATGTATGCTAATGTGCGGAGTCTTGCATACAGATATTTTTTCATTAATCGCAAAAGTTGTTTGACAGTAAGATTAGGTAATGTATAAAAATCAGTCCATAAACGAGTCCTTGTATGAACATAATCAGGCTGCACTCGTTTTGCAAAATAAAGACGATGATGACGTCTTGCGACCTCAACTCCAGTAAAGTAAAGTAAAGATTACCAAACAAGTCCACATCGTGTTTTCATATGTTGCATTAAATTAGACGTACTGCCGGACTTCCGTAAAGCATATTTTGCAAGTAGCTTTATCCGTGTCCTGGCCTTCCCAAAACCCAAAGTGTTCCCAAACCGTTGATTTTAATTTTTAGGAGGATTTTTTAATTTTATTTTATGAACATTGTTGTTGGTAGCCATTTTGACTTGTTTGCCGAAAATAAAACATTACGCGCCCACTGATTGGATGACCGAGTTTTAACTGGCCAATCGTATGTAACGTGATAAAGCGCGAAGGGAAAGACTAAAACTCTCACTGTTTCCATGTTTATTTTTGGGTGGGGAATCGAATCGAAAATGTTACCGTTTGTATCGGAAATCAAATCGGCGCTTATAAAACCGGTTTTCGATGCATCGAAAGGTATCGTTGCACCTCTATTCGCGTATATGTGAGGTAAAGGGTTAAGTAAATCTAATAAGTTATGATAAAATTATAAAGCTTTTTAAAATACAAAGTGTAAAAATAATAGCAAATGAATTTATCTGTAAAGTCATTGCAGCAACTTTAGGGAAGGTCCACTGAATGAAGCCTGGGGAATTTGTATTTTGCATATATTTGCATCTTTGTTTTGTTGTTGACCATGTGAAAACTTGTGTACAATACTCTTTTAAGTATGTAATGAATTACTTGAATTAAACTTATATAATATAATTTCAGACTTGAAAATGTGTGCGTCACCAGACTTGTTGTGGGGCATCATTAGAAACAATTCCAGTTTCCTTCTTAAAGGCAGTGGACAGACCTACAGTCGGGTAAATAATCTGCTCTCATCTTTTGATGTTTTAAGGTTATTATAATACTGAATTCTGTTGGACAAGTACACAGTTGTCAAAACTATGTTGGACAAGGCGCTAGCAGAGTCTGATACTGGATTTGCAGCTGTGTACAAGGAGGAATAAGAATGAATTGATTTTCCTAAAGTGTTCAAATATTTTCTTTATGTTGAGAAAAGCTGATTTATGGCATTTCACTGTACATTCATATTGTGCAATGCTTTATGATAGATAACATTGTTTCATCATCATGTACATTGATTTGTCTGGTTTGAAACTGAAGGAAGTCATTTCTGAATGTTGAAAACTGACTTTAGTGAGCTGATAACAATTTATTAACTAAGAACATTTTAAGGAGAGGACTAGATATTTATAAATATAACCTTTAATTTTCAGTTGGGGCTAGATACAATTGCTTATTGAAATACTGTTAGAAACCTTACTATTTTTGAGAAAGTCTAAATTGATAATTTATATTACAAAAATTGAAGTATGCACTTTTTCTGAGTGACAGAAAAGTAACCAATGACAAGCTGTGTTTTTAGTGGCAAATGGCTATTTTTAAGGACATATTTATCATAATGTTTTTGTAATTGTAACGTAAATGAATGAATTTTATGATATTGTTATTTCTACAATAGGAGGCCAATAATTTGAGAGCCCGTAATTCATTCAGATACAATGGATTAATCAACCGTAAAACTATTGGTGTTGAACCAGCTAAAGATGGCAAGGGAGTGGTTCTCGTAACAAAGAAAGGCGGAGGTAAGGACAAGATTAATAACATTAGTTTACATAATGACGGGTATTAGAGCAAATACAGGCTTCAAAGTGCCCCATTGTCAATGACTTAACAGCTTTAAATGCAGAAAAAGGTCTGGTAGTGCCTTGAGAATTCAGAAGATCAGTTCATGTATAGTCAGTTTTTACTTTCATTTCTGCTTATATAAGCCAATTGCTTTGGCATATCTGATACCATTGCAGTGCTTTTGTAAAACTTTTTGATTTTTCATATGAAGAAACTATCCAGCTGACTTTTGGAGGATTAATGGTTCCAGAGCAACAGATAAGATGCGTATTTGCGTATTTACGCAATTAATTTTAGAAAAAAAACAATTGATTTTTTAAGAATGCGTATCAAAACCCATTTAAAAAAATAAAATACGCAATTGTCTTGAAAACCTGTGCGTATTGTCATTTTCATCACCGCAAAATTAATCTGTAGTACGCTCGTTGTTTTGGACAAATTATATCGATATGCATGCTATCCGAATAATCCCGAATCAATGCTAACTAATCAACGGTCCCCGGTCTCCAATGACCGACTAAGCAATATCAATAAAGCATGAGACCGTCGATTTGTCTACTCAGGTCGACGGTCTTTACAGACCGGCAGAGACCGTTGATTTTGCAGAGACCGTCAATAAGTAGGTCCCAGCTGTATCAATAGACGCTTTGAAAGCAATTTGGCCTCGTGCAAAAGGGAAAATGATTCGTAAATAATCAAAAATCACTCAGAAAACGAATTTGTTAAAAATATTATGAAATATAACATGAGCATTTTATATAAAAAAATAAAACAATTGTGAAAAGTTCTAGTAAATTGTTAATCCTATTTTCTTTTTTTGATATTGAAACCATAAGATTCATATCTTCATAATTGAATACCCAATTGATCTTGAAATCATAGGGTATCGAGTTTTTGGATACCCAATTAAATGGAGCCAATACCCAATTCCAAAGGAAATGATGGAGTAATACCCAATTCACTTTTAAAGCTTATCTGTTGCTCTGGGTTCTACTAAGTACCTGCTAAGTTCTTGCACCTGAAGTGATACTTAATGGGGCACCTGAGGTATTCTTCAACCAGTAAAGCTGAAAAATTGCTATGAGTCTGTGTGACTTGAAACTCTATAAAACATGCAGGATTGTCATGTATTAGGTTTCATTGTGCATGTCTTTTCATATAATTTTTGCACACCAATAACATTTTTGAGCAATTTATTTTAATGAAGTCACTATTTTTCAGTACTGAACCATTCTAAGATGGTTATATGTTTGCATTAGAAACCAAAACTTGTGTTTCCTTGAAAATTTAGACCACTGAGGTTCATTTGAAATTTAAATCAGTATGTTCTGCTTGCCAATTTGATATAACTATTGATGTAGAGGTGTAAACTTTTGCAACCCTAATCTCCTGAGTAGATTTTTTCTATGCCACCACACCATCTGTGGCATATAGCGATTCACGTGTATATCTGTTAAAAAACTTCTTGTAAAAGAACACCGGTTCAATTTCAACGAGACTTGCCAAGATTGTTCCTTGGTTGAAGGGTGTCCAAAGTTGTTCAAAGAATATAATTCCATGCAGAAATCTGGATGGCAACCAAAAGAAATTTGGTCAAGAAATGACCAAAAAATATGTTTAGATAGCAGTAAAAACAGACAGACAAATAAGTGACTGCTATGTTTCAGTTATGGGAAGACCTGGCAAAGCTTTCAACCGTATTGAGTTGAAGAAGGGTGGACGTAAAACATTGACAACCATCAGAAACTCCGTCAGGAAGGGCCGCTACAGGAAAGATCTTAAGATGGTAGCTATGATCATTTAATCTTTTTATCATATGTAAATTTGTGCGTATTGAATAGATATTTAAAATATATAATGCTTGAATTATGTAGAAAACAGTATAGAGCCTAGTCAGGTTGCAAAAATGTGCATACTAGTGTGGCTGTATATGGATGGCATAGTCTAATGAAAGGCATTCCATTATTGCTACCAGTTTAAAGTCAGGAATAAATTTATCAAAACACTTACAGGTCATAGATATCATGATTAAGTACTTAATGAAAATATAAAAAGTGTATTAACAGTTTTTTGTCTAGATTTTTAATACTCCTCAAACTATAAAGATAATGATAAGAGATGATTGCAGATTATGAAGCTTTTTAGCTTATCTATTTGAAGAACGGGGAGAGCTATTGAACTCACCAGGGTGTAGGCATTCACAGTCACTCTTTAATTAATTTTGCTTATGCAAGTTGGTATCTTCAGAACTACTGAAGGGAATTGGTTGAAAACTTAACACACATTTAAGAGCATAATAGGATTTGGTATCCAAAGTCCATTACTAACATGGATTTTAACAGAATTATGCCCCTTATCAATATTGCAATATCCAGGCCCTTGTTTTACTATCAAGCGCTGAGAATAGTCAATCACGCTGTTCGACTAACAACTCTTGTTTCAATTATTCCTCTTTTTGGTTAGTGTTAAATTTTGCCTTAACCCATTACTTCATATACACGCCTTTATCACCCCCCCCCCCCCCCTTTTTGTTGTCTCAAATGATGAAAAAATGCCTTATTTAGGCTCCAAACACTTGTTTTTGTTTGAGAAATGTTGTTAAAAAAAGTGACCTTTTTTTCGGCGCGGCCCCCCAACCAAAAGATACATCAGGGGGTTGCCAGAAGGGGGATGTGCCCCCTTCTGTTTGGGGGTTTGAAGGGGGGCGGAGTCCCCCTCATCGCCAAGAAAATTTTGGACTTGTGAGAGGCTGTAAATGACCCCAGATTGATCATAAGGTAACGTGTAACCAACGCTGAAAAGCATTTGACTCTATCTCAATCCATTGAAAAGTTACAGCACTTTGAAATCTATTTTGATGGAAAAAATCAACGCAAAATAGTGATTTTTGGCAATTTTGAGATGTCCCCTCGTTGCCATGGTAACAGAAAATTTAAGCCTGAGCATGTTGTTGCAAGGGCAATGGTCCAGTCAACATTTGTGCCAAGTTTGATTAGTGTTGAAGCAGTTTTTATAGTATTATAGCAATTTGAACTTGTAACGGGAGACTTTTCAATGAAAACAGCCATTTTTCACAAAATGCTCATGAAGTAATGGGTTAAGTTATTGTTAATTTAGTTTTGTTATTCATTATATGATGTATGTTGAGTAATTCATATAAAAGTCAAAAAATAAGTTAAATTGAACCAATTAAAGTGACAAGGTCATTTATCAGTGTTTAGTTCAGCTGAATTAGTTATATATATCTAAAGATTGACTTTTATAATGGCCATTGACCAATAATTGATAATTAAAAATGTTGAGGATAAAATATAAATACTACCCAAATTTAAATAAGACTGCCCAATTCTTTTTGAAATTGAGCACTAATTTGCGAGTGATATTTACAGAAATTTCCTAAATGGTAATGTGGATTAATTGATTATTTCAAAGGAATTTATGAAATTGAACATAATTATGTCAAAATGTAAAGTTATTTTGAGTTTTACCTGTGCTCTCACCACTTACACATGGATGGACATATGTCACCAAGTATTTGACCAATGCGAACTAGTCTAATGCATAGATTATTTATAGAGACCAGAAGACAAAGTCATGTTATACTACTGATTTCATATTATATATTGTATTTTAATTGGTATATAATGTGATGTTGCTGTTTATTTTCCAGGCTGCAGTACGACGAGCCAGCGCCATCCTCAAGAGTCAAAAGCCCGTTGCTGTCAGAAAAACTGTCCGTAAAAGGAAAGATTAATGTACATAAACATTACAAAATAAAATAATGACAAAGAAATTTAGTGTTCTTGTTGACCAATGAAGTAGTGAATATAGACTCATTGGTGTATTTGAATTTTTACCTCACATGAGCACAACATGCTTATGGTGAGTTTTGCTGATCACCCTCTGTCCTTGTGTGTTGTTGGTCGTCTACAATTTCTATAAATTACATCTCTGCAACCAGTGACTGGCTATTAAAAATTTAACCAAATGTCATGGGAATAATCCGTCGGTGGACTTGTATCAAAGTTGCTCAAGTTATTCTGGTCTATTGCAAAAGATGGTCACAGGGTCTGAATCTTCTCGGCAGAAATTTGATCTGCCTGGGTCATCAATTTTCCCTTTATGCATATTGTAGAAATAATTCTGAAACCTGTAAGATGGTCGAGGTTTGTCATTAAAAGTAGAATATCAATTTTGAGGTTAGTTGTAAAAGGTGATGATCAATGAGGCCTTGACCACTTAAATCTTGTCCAATAAGGTTATTGGCAAAAATGTTTTGGATTACAGGGTGGACACTGTTGAGGTCAGTAATGACTAGAAGATGACCCAAATTTGGGTTTTTCGAGGCTAATGGTTAAAGCTTCACGATGCACTACCAGTCGCAGTAAATTAGTCAACCTGTTGCACTTAATTTCGAAGCTGTAAAAGTTTGTGTGTAGCCCCGGATTGGCTCGGAAAAACCCAAATATTCTTATTTCTGGAGTCTTACACTTTTTGTTGGTCAGTAAAATTAATAACTAGAAGAACCAAATTGATTTGTGGGCATTGATCATTGAAAGCTGTCTTGACCAATAACTACAGATGATCCCTTTGATCTACAGTCCTTAAATTTAGACGATCCTTATCAATTTTAATGTCAGCTGTTAAGTTGGATATCATTGAGGCATTGACCACGTAAAAGCTTGTCACACCAGTAATGGAGAACACTGGCTAAGAGACCGAGCAGATTTGTCATGAGTAGTTGATGAACCCTGTCTAACCAAGTTATCCTGTTATCAGGTCATAAAATGTCTGTCAAATTAAGATAGTTTGACTAATAATTGTAGAATGCTTTGGAAAAAGTTAGGTGTAGCACTATTGCATTTGTGATATATGAACTGACTGTGAATTTTATTCATAGGTTATGTTAAAACAGGACTTTGCTGTGAGAAACATACACTTGCAACTTAACACTGATACCATTCTGTCCTCCGGTGAACACTTTAGGCTCATTGGCCCCCTTGCATTTAGAATTTAAAAAAATCTTGATTAACAAGTGAAGCTGCAGTTTTCTTGTTGTTCACTTGTGCTCAGAGATGAACGTGTGGGATGGCAAGTTGTATTTATTTATACATTGTAGAAATTGTACACTTTATCAAAATTGGCGCTGATTTTTGGATCTCTTTAAGTACATAGAATGTTTGTTAGACATAAGAAAAGGCATCTAATCATTTTGTGTTTTATAATAACTTGATAGTATAGTGCTATGATTTTGTAGCATTAGCTAGTTGAACTCTACAAATTTTATTAATCATGCCCTTTATCGAGTCCCAATCCATGATCATTTTGCTAAATTCATTTTTTTTTTAAATCAATTTAGATATTTCAGTTAACAACAAAATTCTGAGAGCTTAAATGTATGAAACAAAATTTTGTGACCCTCTGCAAAAGTTACATAAGTTATGCTATTGGGACCAAAATTAGCCCTGCTTTGAAGCCAAGTAAGAATACATTGACTTTTCATGCCCTATGCCTGCTATTCGTAATCAGATTTGATTGTTCAGCAGTACCATGTAGATGTACAGGGTGGCATGAATAAGTTTTAACTGTCTATCTGCCTGTCCATCCACTTTTTGTTCAGTCAGTAACTTTGTTATTCATCATGGATTGATTTTGAAGTAAATGCTACATTGAAACAATGTGCTGTTTGCAAGACCCAGGTTTGAGGGTCCTTCTTGCACTAGGTCTCAAACTCAAAGGTCAAGCCACACTACTATGACTCTAAAGTCATGTATTAAGTTTCATGTGAATACCTTCAGAAGTATCAGGCTGATGCTAAATGAAACACTTTTAAGAAAATCTTTTTTCAAGTTCGAAATGGACCGCTAATCAGTCAAAATCAAAGTTCATGCTAAGAGTTATAGGGCCTAAATTTTACAAAGCACTATTATTCTGTGAAAACCCACACTAGAGTTATGTGGTTTGGTCAGTGACCTCATATTGTGATGTCAGACGTGAAACTGCCATGGGGGTGAGTAGGATTGCCCGAATTTTCTTCATATTAATGCTTTGGGCATCTTTTGTTCTTCCTGTTTTTCTATATACAGCAAGTCATTGTACTCCAGCAATCCCTGTTATGTGGGCATAATTAATACAAGATTAACTTGTGGTAGAATGCTAAAATTGCTATACATATATATCCAAACTTTGGGCACTATAAATTTCGAGATTTTAATAGTCTGTTTCCTATACAGGTCTACATCATGTACATGGCAAGTGTCTTCAAAGCAATGCCATATTCGACTCCAAGAGCTTGATGCATAGAAGTTCTAGGCAATGCTACATGCCAAAGTTCTAAAATACATAGTTCCGCAGATATAAATTTAGGTTTTTGTAAATTAAGTGACTCCCCAAGGGTGACAGAAATTTTAACAGCAGAGAAAAACACTATAATTATGTAACCTATGTAGCAACGCTACAGGCCATATAACTAAGCTTCATTGTAACACTTCAAAAGGGAACTTTTTGTGAAAAATTTCAATTTTTTAATGTCTTTTGCTCTTGTACTAAGTCTTGTGCCTCAGAATGGAACCATTTATACTTATATAGTCAACTTATGAAAAGGACCATCAAGGGATCAGATCTTTAATTATTCCTTTAAAGGCTGGTCACAATCTGCCATGCACTTAAGAAGATGCATAAATAATACATAAACAACAGTTAACTCTTTGTTGTATATATTTCATTTATAATCACAATTTTGTACAATTTTAATCATAATAAAATATAACATTTAGAACCCATACTCTTTAACATAAAACAAGAGGTTTGTAAACTTAAATTTACATGCAGACTGACATGAAAATGAAATGTTCTTGACATTTTGATAAAAAAAAGAGCTAATAATATGTGTAAAGACTAAGCCTCATATTCATCAATTAAATAAATTTATTATATAATCTAAAAATAGCTTTGAAATGCCTTTCCCTGATTGGCTAACAACCAATTTTTGTAAAAGATGAGTCAATATCGGAGTATATTAACTGGTTTTTTCCTAATAGATTCTCAGAGTTATAATATTAATTGTTTTTCTTCTAAAAATAGATTTTCTGGAAATTCCCCGAAACACACGAGACTATGATGTGACATCACACCAATTCTGGAAAAATGTCGAGTGACACGTAAATAAGAGTCAAATTAGTCTTTTTTAGTTACCGGCTTTACATTTTAAGACCAATACGAATTGGCGTGCCAATGCTCTCATTTAAAAGAAAGGGCAAAATTATGGTAAAAGTAGACAAGCTGAAAAATACCGATTTCCGTTGTATGCAATGGCAGATTTGATAAGCAATATAAAAGCTATTTATAAATTATATAATAAATCAGATATGTACTTTTTAGCTGTTGAATATGATGTGATATGTACGGAAAAATTAATACCTTGGCTATCGCCCAAGTCAATATTAATTTTTTCAGTACATATCACATCATATTCAACAGCTAAAAAGTCCATATTTGTATAATGTGTACTGACTAATCCTCATAGTCATCAATTAAATAAATTAATCTTACCAACCAATTGTCATTCATCAGTAGAGAGAAAGAGAGGGGGAAAAAAGAAGATAACAAATGCCATTTTTTTCAAATTTGTAAATATGACAACAAATATTAGATTTGCCACAGGAGTGACAACCATTAGTCCCACCATCTAGATGACACAGGATTTCATGTAGGTCCATCTATCATTATTTTTATGAGTTTGAAAAAAGTCCTTTTCAAAGGCGTATAGAATTTTTGTGCAGACTCAAAATTGTCTGAATTTTGTTTGACTTTCAATGGTAACCTTGAGCCAACACAGTGGCGGTGTGGATTCTGACAATCAACTTGTTGAAATAAATGTAATGAAATCATGTAAAAGCTATGTCTAAAGAAGGGGTAAAAAGTGGACCCTTTGGAGCTGTAGTACTGACCAACAGATGGGACAAATTGATACTAATAAAGCCGCCTCTAAGTACCATGGTAGCGGTACAATTATCTCCAATATCTTACAAATATCCAACAATATACATGTAAATATGTAACACCAATTATATACAAAATTTTTCTTTGTACAATTTCAACACACATACATGGTATCAGGAAATAAATATGTATTTTCTAAGGTATTTAACCAGTTACCTGCTGAATATTTTAAACAATCTTGTCCAGCTTCTAGTTTAACAACATTACATATTCATTTTCAAGACTGAAATTGTGAAGTTTGTTAGCCACCTGCATAGAGTCTGGTCAGAATGCATGGTATTGTGCAAGCTTGCCTGGCTCTATACTGGTGACAGAGGCTAATTCCAGCAGGAAAAAGGTTAAAAGTATATCCCCTTAAGTCATAATATATTGACAAAAAATAAATAAACCAAAAAAAATCATGGAATTCAATTGAGCAAACTTAATAAAAGTGCTTAATTCAAATAAGTTATAAGTAAATAAATATAGAAAAATGACTTGAAAATATTGCTTAATGTCTGGTATGAAGACATTAAAAGCTGGTTATTAAAAAAGATTCTGTTTAATAAATGGCAGAAATTAAATGCATGTACATCCTTGATATAACAAATGAGAAAAGCATAGTTTCAAAGCCACTTGTTTACAATTTAACAAAAATTTTGTACAAAGGAACTACGTATCTCCTGTTACAAAAATTATTAACATTAAGATTCTTTAAAACATTCAGTAAGTTATTTTCTCTTTAGTGAAAATACAAAAATTAGGCTGTAGCATGACATTTGTGGCATTTAAATAAGACTGACTGAATTAAACATAAATAATAAACAAGCAAATTCGTTGAATTTATATCCCCCGCCGAGTACTGGTTATTATTAACACAACAACTGAAGACATAAGGCTTTATTTATATATTAATCATGGCATAAACTGTAATATTCTTTGAACTTGAAGCCTTGTACCTTCAAACAAGAAGATTTTTTAATTTTTTTAAAATACCCAGGTGCACAACTACACATGCTGATCAACATTCCTGTAAACTATCATGACTCTAGGTCAAATACTTTTTGAGTTACATGCAACACAAGTTGAAAATTATAAAATTTTACTAAGTCAAGGGCAATAACTCTAAAAATACTAAAAATATCCGGACGAAAATACCCAGGTGCACAACTACACATACTGATAATATTCCTGTAAAGTTTCATGACTCTAGGTCAAATACTTTTTGAGTTACATGCGACACAAGTTGAAAATTACAAAATTTTACTAAGTCAAGGGCAATAACTCTTAAAATACTAAAAATATCCAGACGAAAATACCCAGGTGCACAACTTCACATGCTGATCAACAATACCATAAAGTTTCGTTGAATTCCATCCATTAGTTGCAGAGAACTACTCCGGAAACGAAATTCGGACAAAATTTTACTGAGTCAAGGGCAATAACTCTAAAAATACTAAAAATATCCAGACGAAAATACCCAGGTGCACAACTTCACATGCTGATCAACATTCCCATAACGTTTCGTTTAATTCCAGCCATTAGTTGCAGAGAACTACTCCGGAAACGAAATTCGGACAAAATTTTACTGAGTCAAGGGCAATAACTCTAAAAATACTAAAAATATCCAGACGAAAATACCCAGGTGCACAACTTCACATGCTGATCAACATTCCCATAACGTTTCGTTGAATTCCAGCCATTAGTTGCAGAGAACTACTCCGGAAACGAAATTCGGCTGGACGGACGGAAGGACGGACGGACAACGCCAAAACTATATCCCCCTCCCGATTCCATCGGTGGGGGATAATAAATATTATAGCCAAATGGTAAAATGATGAACATTCACTCTGAATCTGAAAGAACAATGATATTTTCACTACTACTAGATGAGATCTGGTTAACTTCTAAACTATATGGTGTTGAGTCTGGTTCTTGGTATGTTTCTATAAGGCTCGCATTTTCATCCTCTTCTATCCACTGAGCCCTACCAGAATTACGCGGAGGTCGTGGGACTATGTCCTGAGGTTTTGCCTGAGATCTAATTTCTTGTTCTGGTTTCGATTTAACTATAGCTTTTTCCAGCTGTATAAGTTTATTTCGAATGTCTGGCACAATTTTTACATTAGCATGGCTGTCAACATCACAAGATGTGCTGCTTATGCTGTCGTCATTTTCGATGCCACAACTTACTTCATCATCATCTTCATTATCATCATCATCTCCACTTTCATCATCATCATCTTCATCATCACCCTCATCATCACTAGCCTGCAAATCATCATCATCATCACCTACATGCTGGTCATTGGCTTGAACTGATGTGTCTGACACAAGTTCAGTTCCAGTTTCAATATTCGTGATGGTACTTTTGCTATTTCTCTCCAAAGCTGACTGTTTATCATTGACATTTCTTAGATTTTCATACCCTTCATCCTGACATGCTGCATTCTCTTCATCATTTGAGACATCTAGTCCCTGTGTACAGGTAGATGGTTTGTTTTCCACTGTCACAACACCTGTAGATCCTAATGTATCATTAAGTTTTACACTATCAAGTTTTATGGCAGTGAAAATTTCTGTTGGTTCTGCTTCTTCCATGTCATACTCATTACTTTCTTCTTTTTGTAACTCATCTAAATCTTCAGGTTTTTTATCACATGATTCACTACCGTGGAATGACTCAATGCTTTCGCATTCATTACTTTCAACTGTACCTAATGAGCCTTCAAAGATGTCAGGAATACTTCGTAATTCCTCATCCTCAGCGACATTTTGTTCTAATTCATTGCTGCTAGTTCTTTCTACATCTCTTGGTTTTTCTTTCAGATGACTCTCCTGATTAAATTCTACACTACTGACTTCTAAATGCATCTTTTCCTTGTTACCACTTTCACAAATTTCTAGTTCACAGTCTTTATTTTTGTTACTTTTAACACTTGTTTCTTCAATTTTGGTTTTGCTTTTCACAAGTTTAGAGTTTGATGTGGAATTTTCAGTTGATAAAGAGCCCTCTAAATGATTTTTCTTTGAAGTTTCACCTAATTTAGAACACTGAGGGGAAATTGATGAGTTCTGAGCACATTTGGATTCTGTCTTTGTGACTTCAATTGTATTTGTTCTTTCTTTCTCAGTGTTTTTAATGTTTTCACTAACAATATATATTGCATCTTTACTAGTGTTTCCACATTCTGGCGGATCATCAATACAAATTACATCATTTGCTGTGTCATATTTTACAGCACATTTTTCTTTATGCTTGGAAGTTTTCTTCTTTTTTACAGGGACCTGATCTACCTCATCACAGTCTATTATCACAACATCATCAATAACTTTTGAAGCAGTAAAAGAGGCTTGTTGCGCTTTTGCCCTTTCATTTGAAACTTTCCTCACTTGATTTGGAGTGTTAGGAAATTTTTGCTGAGAATTCTGAAAACCAGTACTTCTTTTTTGACTAAATCTTTGTGTAGTTTGACCCTGAATGTTAAACCCTTTGTTTGAAACATGTTTAAATTGACTAGAATTTGTCCTGGCTGGAGTAGACCCACTAGAGCTGCCTCCTTTAAAAGGAACAGCTGTAAATCTTGGAGAAGACTGAGGTATATTGTAATTTCTCTGCACAAAATTGGAATGCTTTGGAGATTGAGCATTCCAGTTTTTATTTGTATAAGGATAAGGTTGGTAGGTATTTGACTGCATGCGAAATGAACTTCTTGGATTCATTTTAGAGCCTGTATTCATCTGTTTGAAACCTTGAGTGTATTGTGATGTATAAGATGGCCCACTAGTGTCTCTTCCAAATTTCTGCTGCTGTACTTTCAAAGGGCTGTTTGAGGTAAATTTCATTTTGGAATTCATATTCATAGGAGTCATAACTTTGGAGATCCCACTATTATTTTTTTCAAATTCATTTTGTTGAACTTTCCATGAATTATTGGATGTACACCGAGAGTTAGAACTCACAACAGTGTTCAGTTTTGTATTTCCCCCCATGAATCTATTAGTGTTATTCAAATTTCGTGGATACTGCTGAACACATTTGGACCCTGTATTACCTTTGTTAAAATTGGCTGGTGATTTTTGGGGCTGACTATGCCAGTCTGTATATGATGAAGGACTAATAATGTTAGAATTTGATGACAAAGGCGAACTCATTTTTGTGCCTCCTTTCATAGACAGTGTGTTCATATTGCTAGAATTAGACGATTGTTGTTTAGCAAATGATTGCATATTTGATGGTTTAGTGGTATTGTTTCTTGGTGGCGGTGACTGATAATTTCTGCCTCTATTCTGAACAGTAAAATCAGTTCTGGAATGCAATCCATTTGGACCTTGTACATTGCTGTTCTTTACCCTGTTAACTTTAGTGAAGTTAGAATTGTTTCTTTGCAAGCTACCTGATATATTGTCAATTTTTCTTGCCACATTTCTTTTCTGTATAGTTGGACAAACTGGCAAAACTTCATTTTCAACATCATCAATTATCATTACATCTGGTTCACTGTTTAATACTTCATTTATCTTTTCAATAATTTTATTATCAATATTATTTGAAGGTTTCTTTATTCCTTCATTATCTTTAAGAACTGGCAGTATTTGTGAACTCTCTTTGTCAATTTCTTTCTCAACCTCTGATGGGAGTTTTACAGATTGCTTTACACTTTCGCTTGAACTATTAAGACTCGAGGTATTTTCTTCAGATGTGTTTTTACCTGATACAATCCCATTGTCAACATTTTCATCTTCCTCTCCATGCAATTTACTTATATCACTTAAACTTACATGATGTGCGGAAACTATTTTCAGACCCAGAGATTGATCATCACTAACATTCTTGTCTTCATCTTCATCATCAGTTATAATAGTTACATTTGAAATATCACTTGTATTCTTCTCATCTTCTTCAGACTTGATCACCTCATTGTTGTCCTTTGCATTGCTATCAAACACTTGGCTGCTTTCTGAAACATTTACTGATATCTTTGGACTTGTTGAAACCATTGAACTAGCTGACACAATTAGACTTGTCTCAGTAAGGCTAACATTAGCATCCTTATTACTTACTGAAACATCTTGGTTTTCTTTAGAAATATCACCAAATTTGTCATTATTAGTATCAATTTTGTTTTCTTTTTCTGGTTCTTGAGAACATATTAACACATCATCTTCTTCATTATCACTCAAAATCATTACTGTTTCAGCCTCATCAACAGTGCCCTCATTAAGTGATGGACTACAATGCCCAATAGATTCAAAATCATCCTTCTGGGGACACTTGGTTTCACTAGAGGAAGGATGTGGTACACTAGGGGGATGACATTGTTCACTAGGAAGCTGATGTGGTTCAGTAGATGGCTGATGCATTTCCCTAGGAGGAGGAAGGACTGGTCTTGGGGGAGGAAGTGCTGGTTCAGTACTTTTAATGTCCTCTTCAATTACAGTAGGATTTTGCTCGATGTCTTTCACCTCTTCTTTCTCAGAAGTTCGGTACAGCCCAAGTTGTTCACAAAAATGCCTCTCTTTATTATCTTTGTTCACTACATCACGTCTATATGCAGGTTTCATAGGACTTAATTTCTTTACATCTTCGGGGTTGTCATATGAAAATGTGGATTTTTGTCCACTCTCTAAGTTTTCTGCAAAAAAAAAAGAACAGTAATGAATCAGGGTTAATTTTAGATTTAAAAAATACAACTTTTTATTAAAAAGGTATGATAAAACTTATCAAACCCTACAATAAATTTTGTCAAAAGTAAGTAAGCTTCTGGTTATACAAATGGTAATCACATATATATTTATAAATTTATGAAAAGTTCAAAGTTAGTATTTTACTGAACATTGTCTCTCATGCTATTGAAAGGTCAAATAACAAGAAAATTATATATCTTAAAATTCACACTTTGATTATCTGAGGTGAGATATCAGACAAAAAGAATATAAATTAGATATTTTATTTAGAAAAGTTTGTTTGTTTTGGTTTTTATTTTCAATTTTCATACTTAAGCAGTCATTTCCCCTAATTACCTTCCATGGATAACTACAGTAACATTATCAAATAACAATATTTGTATGAAAAAGACTGAACGACATTTCGCTTAGAGATTCTTAAAATCTGTAATATTAACTACAAGTGAACTCAGAAATCTTTATGAAAGCTAATGAACTGATAATAACCAACAAAAACAATGGTATTAACTATGGCTGACAAGAATGACTTTTTACTTAATAATTAATAAAACAATTTAATATTGTTTTTTCTTATTTAACAGGTGCTACTTGTTATTGTTGTTTTGTTTCTTATTTACTCAGTTTTAATTCAGATCAATAATATTTTAAGTCATATTTATGATTTAAGTAGTGCAGGGAGACCCTTTAATTTATGTCCGATCAGAGGCTAGAGCCCAATTAAGACCAAGCACCTTCCACATTCAAAAAGTATTATCCCACATGAAGATGTTAGAAAACCCAAAAAGGATTTAACCATTTAGTCAATAATGCATCCCAATTTATTATCTGAACAGCACTCATTTGTTTTTTTTTGGTTGGATTTTACATGGCACCAGTGCTGTAATGGTAAGGTCATATAGTAATTTTCTAGCTTTATTGGTGGATGAAGATCTCAGGTTAACAATTAAATAGTAATGTAAATCAATTTTTCTTTAACTGTGACAGGTATTCCTCAAATAAAAACTGAATTACTCCAGTAAGAAAAAAAAGACAAAAATGAAACTCAAGTGGGGTTGAACAATTTTGAGGCACATCAGCCAGTTAAAAAAGCTAACATTTCAAATTGAAACAAAAAGAAACAGAAGGAAATATTTCAACAAAATTCAAAAAATCAATAACCTGGTTTTGGTGATGATGTTCTTCCTGTATAATTTTTGGCTGTACAATATCATTAAGTCAAAAAGAAAAAGAAAGTGTAATAGAAGGAATCAAACAGAATTAAACAATGAAATAAAAGCAAAAACAGTACATAAACTCATGTATATTTTAAACCAATAAAACCAAGGATGTCTTTGGAAATGATGGATGATCCCTTAAGAATCACATTACAGAAGAGACAACGTGTAAGGAAAGTGTAAAGGGCAAGAGCAGTTTATAGACATTATTAAGGGGAGATTATTAAAAGGTAACATAGAAAGAGTTCTGCTCGTTGCACATTGCAAATCCACCATCCATATTCTATCATTGAGAATACTTTCAATAAACTCCCTTGAATATCTTTGAAATTGTGTTACAAACAAATTGAGATAGAATTTTTTTGTTTTGTTTTACGCACACCAACACAATTTAGGTCATATGGCGCCGAAACAGGAAATATGATTTTGGTAAACCTCAGGTGTTACAAACTTAAAGAAATACTAGAGGCTAAGGAATGCATAAACTGCAGTTAATTTGTACCTATTTAGTCGCCTCTTATGATCATGCAGGGCATAAACAGTGGCTGCAATTCTGATGCCTCAACCCTAAATCAAAGGCAACCCCTAGGGCACAAGGGGACGACTGTGTAAAATTAAGTAAACTTATTAATATGCCCAGCTTCTCATGGTAGTGAAGCCTCTGTTTGTGATTTTGATGAATTTCTAAATGAGCCGCGTCATGACAAAACCAACATAGTGGGTTTGCCACCAGTATCCACGCAGACTGATCAGGATCCATGCTGTTCACTATCAGTTTCTCTACTTGTAACAGAGTTTGTAAGTGAACAGCATGGATCCTGATCAGACTGCGAGGATGCGCAGGCTGGTCTGGATCCATGCTGGTCGCAAACGCACTATGTTGGTTTTGTCATGACGTGGCTCAAATATGGTTACGAACAAAATGTCTGGACAAAATAAGGGCTGAAAAAGCTTTAAAGAGACTTTAAAAACCACCAAAACAAGACATGTTGCCAATTTGTGCAGCTTCTCTTGAAAGTGAAGCTTCTTGTAAATTTTGAGAAATTGATGCAGTGGTTCATGAGAAACAGTCGGAAAAAAAAACTAACGGGGGGAAAGATGGATAGACAGATGGTCAAGTTTAAATTGCTCAGATAACATTATTATAAATTCACTCAAAACAAATTTTTGTGTTGTAGATTTTTAGTCAAATCTTAACAGATATCATGTTGCCATTTATTGGTGAATCTCTTAACAAGTAAGACACAACTAATTTACTGTAGTTAACTCTGAAAACAACTAGAATTTTAGTTTAAGTACAGCTTTAAGTGTATTCATTATCAGTGCTAGATAGGAAACTGCACTGGAGATAATTTGAATTAAAAGTACATGTAACAATGTCTTTGACCTTTGGCTGTATAAGCGAAAGTCTAAAATTCTATTTTTAGCACTGGTTACCTTGACCTTGTCCCCATAGAACCCTACCTCAATCCAAAGCTAAAAGACCATTCAAGATATTTTCCTAGCAAATATAAAAGACATTGGTTAATTAATAAAGGGTATATGAGCAAAAGTTTAAAAATCTATTTGTTAGCACTGTTGACCTTGATCTTGAAGGACGAAGTGGCATCTATAATATTATACTCCCAAATTTTTTTGAAAGAGCATTAATGAAAGAGATTCAACAAACTGACATTATACAAAATTAGTAATACTGAAAACATATTTATGATAACAAAAATGTAACACAAGATCAATAAGTGAAATATGACTTGATATAGGCCCTTCAGAAAGGATTGTTTGCTTTTATATATAAATCTATTATTGATAATTATTCTCTCAATTTTCAGAAATTCAATGGATTTTAGTTAAAACTGATGTGGACACTAGTGTTACTTATTCATTATCAGTCTCCACATCCGAGTTCTAACTTTGAATACATTTTACTTTGGAAGGAATGACTTAAATGATCATTTTATGATACAAATATATCACTTCTGACAACAATAAACTTATGTACTAATGCTATAATAACTATCCTGTTTTGCACTGAACAATAACATTTGGTTATTATACTACTGACAATGGAATGTTTTGTATAGAATCAGGTTAACATGCAAAAGATCAAATTAAATTTTAAAATATTTTAAGAACACAATTAAGAAAAGTATTTCTTTCTTTTTATGACATTTTACAACAATAATTTTATCAAAACTGCTAAAGAAATGGGAAAAAAACTTATAATATGACAAAAAGAAACTATACATTAAGTTTTTAATAGTCTAATCTATTTTTCTAGATCTTGCTTTAATATGTTAAGTTCAAAAGAAATTTTAGAATTTTAGATTCAGAAACAAGAAATTTTTTTTAAAAAAATGCAAAGCCAATAATTTTTAGTATCAGCCACATAGACAAGTGAAAGAACTGAATGAAAGTACCACCATTCTTAAAGCAAAGTTTTGTAATCACTGTGAATTTTTTTGGGAGGAGTGGGGGGTGATATAATTTCTGAAACTGTCAAGGTCATATGGCAACTTTCCAGTTTTATTTGCGGAGAAAGATTCTAGGTTTTGTTTATGCAAAATTTCAGGTACAAACAGGCATCTGGGTAGAACCACAAGTTTTCTTTAAATTAGCTGGTGAGATTCAACCTACATCTGTGAGGGGCAAGTGATTTGAAGAAAGCACAATGTGACTGCTGAAAGTGATTTACAGAAAAAGTTCCAACGAGCACAATAACAAGAGGAAAGGTGCAATTCAATTGAAAAATAAGTAAATAAATGAAAAGAAGAAACAACACTGGATGTCAAGGAAAATTTTTGGAAATAAAAATAAAAGAGGTTATTTGGGGATGATAAGCAACAATCCTTTCACATTATACAGCTTTCTAGACAAGCACTATCTATATAACTGCACACAATGGCCATCAAATATACACACAACAACTAGAGAATTCTGTCATGAAGTTTCAACAATGAATGATAACAAATAAAATAAAATGGCAACTGTTTTATGAAAGAATCTGTGATGATAATAACCCCAAACAACAAAATGGTCATAAATCAAGTAGTGCTTTTTATGTCACCATAACCTAGTGTAGACTGATATTTTATGGTTAGTTTCACCAACACTCTCTGGTCATATTGTCATCTTTGTGCAATACTTGGTCAACTCCTGTTAAATTTAGATGGACTTAACATGTTACTGCACAAAGGTGACGATATGTTAACTATTTGTGTAGAAATTATCACACAATCCTTTTATATGCATAAACTATGCATACTTTATATCCAAATAAAAAAATCAGAGTAAGTTTTATGAAACTCAATATTAAATTACTCTTACAACAGTAGACAGGATTGTTAAAAATAACAGACTTACAAATTAGAAAAATAGGATAACCATTTACTATGTTATTAGAAAACATTTTGACACTATGTAAATCAGTTTCCTTGATTTAACAAAATAAAACAAACTCTTGCATAAGTTAAATGAGCTCACTTCAACTATTTACAAAAGCAGCTAGCACAACTTTTACTGTTAGAACTGTTAATTTAAATGGTGCCTCTAGCTAATATGGTTATGAAGAACGCTAGATGAAAATAAATACTCTATTTATATATATAATTTGAATATCCTCTATATATTAAATGTGTTATTGAATATCTCTACATATTAAAGGTGTATAAAGTAATACTAATGGTGCACGTTTACACAAAATGAAGTAATGAACACACACAAATCTATATTAAACAGATAAAAACCAAACATTATAATAAGTAAAACAAAGAAAATCAATCGTAATACTTAAGTCCATGAAATCAATTTATCAAAAAATTTCTTGATGTAAACTGCAGCTTTAAGCCATAATTTCTAATCCTATTTTAAGTTTACAAATGAATATAAAACAATAATTCCTGGATTTAGTACATGAACCAGTACTGACCTATTTTTTTTAAGTAACCAACAGCCTTTTCACAACTGTTGTAATGTGCTCTGAACGTTCAATGAATTATGATTCTTTAAAATAATCCTAAACGTAACATCACAAAGTGAAAAATAAAATAAATATTTATAAAAATATAATAAGAATACACCCAAACACTTAACAAAAAGCAATAACCCCAAAAAATTGAAACCTTTAAAAAAACCGCCCAATATGATGATAAATATTTAACAAAAATGAAACCTTTAAAAATAAACTGCCCACTATGATGATGGAATGATATGGTAGTGCTATGCCACAGATATAAAGCAAAGATTATTTTAGACTGCTTTGTCACACTATAGGTACGAGACATTACATACCCCTACTTATGTGCTTCACTTCTTACTTATACAAAATTATCACAACAGTTCATTTCATAATTTATTGAGATATTTCAGTCCTCCCTCAGTCCCCACCCACAACCTCTCCCTTTCCCCCCCCCAACCTTATACATTCAGAATATAAACACAATGCAGTATTTGCTATTGATAATTCATGTGAAGTGTCATCAAGATCTTTGCTTAAAGGATTGAGCAAAAAGGAAAAATGTTTCCTTTACAGAATTATAAAGTTAGACTATATATGTATATAAATAGATTCCAATACTTCTTATTATAGCTATACAAAATAATGAAACCATTTTTTGCTTAAGGAAAGGAAGTGTGCACCTCATGCAGTGGCAACACTCATCTGTTAAAAATTCTACTTTAAAATGGGGCAAAACTCCTAAAGTATTGCTTTCAAAATTATGCCTTTGTCATGATAAGCAAGTATTCCAAGGAACATGTTGATAACTATTAAAATATTTGAATAATTGTTAACATTAAAGTTTTTACATGATAACGACAATGACAACAACAATAACGCAATGATCATGATAACTTTTTCTTCGAAACAGACAAGCTAAAAATGTCAAACTGATGTCAATATCGCTATTCAAAATAAAGTTCTTATGCATTTCTGGGATGTAATTAAACAATATTGCCTAAAAAAGTCTTATTATTTGTAAAAAAAAAACACAAAACATACTGGGCTTTTTTTTTCTCTGGAAAGTTACCTTTGATAAAAGAAAACATTCACAATTTATCAAAATATCAATTTTTTTTCCCAATTCTGAAAGTAAAAGTTCCCAATATGTGACTTTTGTTCATTTCACATTTTGAATGTTACTGATTTTATTTTTAGATGAATAAAATCGGTTATTTTCATCTTTATACAGCGTTTACCATTCTAAAACTCCCAAATAAAAAAGTTACAAATCACATTTCCTAATACCAAAGAGTTGGTCATATTCCCAAACAGATGGGGGGAAAAACACCAAAAAAACAAAACAAAAAGGAAACACCAAAAAATGTATGCACATAAACAGGGGTACATATTTATTGAAGAGACACTCTGTGTAAATAAAAATATAGATCTATGAAAAAAAAAAATACAAAAAAAAAATAAAAATGAAAGCATGCAATATTCTTACTGTTTTTTATGTTGTGTTGAGTAACTTTAAAAAGAAAAAAAACAAGAAAAATATAGGCAACAAGTTGATAGAATTGTATCAAAATAACAATTACTAAAATGTCACTTATATACTAAATTGTTTTTAAATAGTTTATTTATTTAACAGTTGTTTGTATTTCTGTTTATAAAGCCGATTTTATGGCATTTTTGTATTATATCTTGGCCACCTAGCTGGTTTCCTGGATAACTAACCAGTAATTACCAATTTCTCTGCAAGCGATTAACAACAAACTTGTTTTCATTGCAAAACAACTCGGTCTTCAGGGAATATTAGACATTAAATCAGAAAATTTCTTTATATTCTTTAAAATTAGCAAAACAAAAACATACCAGTTTTTATTTTTTATATCACACTGAGTTTACACGTAGAAAAATAAGTCATATTTACATTACCTTTAAATGGTATATTTAACAAGACTAAAAACTCTTAAAAGATAATGCAGATTTTTTTTAGTGTTTGTGATTTATATACAAATATCTATAGAGCAAGATAAAATATAAAACATTTACATTTCCATTTAACTTTTATGTGTCTAACTCTATTTCCCTTGAAGGCGTTTGACATTATTTGCATATAGACAGATAGGTAAAACTATTTTGTAATTCACAAAAAAAATATTACTTTACAGATTCTATACATAATTATTGTAGAATTGACCAATTTAAAAATAAAACCCCCAAAGACACCCATGTAGGAGGGTTGCTCTGAAAGTTTGTATAATTACCTAATGAAACGCTAAATTATCAGAAGAACATAGAAAAAAAAACCCCTACATTTGTAAAGTTAACCATTTGATATATTTTATCTGTAAAATCCAGTAAGACTATATATGCTCAAACTGATTTTTTAATAGTAAAATCAAATATGCATGTAACCTATTCCTACAGCACCTTTTACATCCCCAGTACAAAGATAGTGTAGCTCTAGAATTATAATTTTAGTTTGCTACACCACTTACGGGAATACTGTTTTTGAAGCTCACTTAATGAAATAAAATTTCATCTTAAAAAGAAAACAAAACAAAAAACAATTACCCAACCCCTCTAACATTTCCGATTAAAATTTGTCTTGGGTAAAAATCTGTACTTATTCAAATCTTGTTCATAGTATTTTAGATGACAAACTTTACTGAACAGTCACAACCCACAAATAAATTATTATTAATGAAACAAATCTACTCTAAGAGAACACGGAATTGATATATTTACCATAACTGCCTGCTAATGTCAGAGCTTCTAATTAATCAAATGATTTAGTATGCAACACACAATTATTTACTAAGATAAGATTTTAAACCACCCAACCTGTCATAGGTTGAAACAACTGGAAATTGCAACTAAAATTTCATGTAGGGACCCATATATATAACAAAATTTCAATTCCAAATTTTAAACTCACTAGTCTTGTATTCTTAGATTACCATCAAAAACACCAGCCTTAAATGTTAAGAAATATTGGTCAAATAATCTAAGAATCAAAGCAACAAAGCCATAACTTGTTTATCAAATACATCAACAAGTTATGTCACTGTGACACTAAATGCCATTATTTACTTCATTTACAGTAGTTGTGTGTGTATATTTGAGAAATAATCACCTATTTCGAGACATGGACCTGACTCCCAGGATTTATCACGACTCTTGTCTCCAGCGTCAACAATATCCTTATCATTGTCACCAATATCTTTATCAGAATCAGTGTTATCTACCCCTGACAGTTGGTCAAGATCCACATCAATGTTAGCAGCTTCTTCTTCTTCTTCTTCTTCCTCCTCCTCACTCTCTTCCTCAGTTTTATCTCCCACCTGATACTGTAGGGAGGCATACTTCTCCATAACCTATACATTAATATACCAAATACAGTTTTTTAAGAAACTTTTTATTACAAGGCAAATTTAGCCTCCAAAATGAATTTTTGATTTTGTAGACAGTGAAAACATGTGCTCTATAATGATGTACATAAGGATTATATATGCATGATTTTTATGCCTAATATTTAAGCTCTGGGCACTGTAGTTTTCCACAATGTTTGCAAAGTGACCATCAATTCCTGAAAACATATGTGTTTTGGACAATGACCTACAATTATGATTTCAGAAGCATGTGAATATCTATAAAGGTAATTTAAACACAAAACCTTAACAACAAAGCAATAACTGATGAGTATAATTCGGTCAAAATTCAATTCAGCCGAAATCGAATCGATGCTAGTGCTTTAAATTAAGAAAAAATGTTTGAAGTTTTGACTGGTTAATGAAATGATAATTACAAGTTGCAGCAAAACCTTCATGTAGGGTTCAGCAAATTTTTATGCACAAGCGGCCAAGAAAGCTTTTGCATTCTTCAAATACTGACCTAAACAAGAATAACTAATTATAGTCAATATTCAACTAAGATATCCTTGTTCAGCTAAGGTCAAAGGCCAATCCTTGTTCAGCTAAGGTCAAAGGTCAATCCTTATTCAGCTAAGGTCAAAGGTCACTAACCTTATCCATATTTGACTTTGCTGACTTTCTGTTAGCATCTAATTTCTTCTTCAACTCAATATCCAGCAGTGCTGGATCATCCAACAAACTGTAAAATAAATTGTTTATATTCATAAGTTTTTTTTAAACCATACAATTTTGTATGTTTAAAGTTTATATTGTAGATGAAAGGTGTAAAAGAACAAAAAATATTGACTTAGTTTCAAAGTAGTAATATTAAGTTTTACATGTATTATTTAGCTTGATTGGGAAGAAAACTTGAAACTTATCATGAAGACCAAGTGGTAAATATGTTGGACTAGTACTCTAAGGATGGCCAGCCATGTGGGTTCAAACCCCATCAGGGTCAAGCCATTGTTTTCTTGAGCAAGAAAATTTACACTCATTACTTAGTACTGGTTGGTTCAAGAGTTTATTTAGAAGCTTATAGCTTCCTATACAATCAAACTAAAATAAATTCTGTATAAACTAAAACTTATCTGAACCACTCTTGAGTCACGTTCCTATAACTTACAAATACTTGCATCATACATGGGGAACAAGGCTCTAAATATGACTCAAACCAATGATCCCTGGTTAATAAAGCCTAAGCCTCTAGGCCACCTTATAATTATCTTGAAGTATAATATTTTTATTCTACAACACACCCTAAAGATTCTGTATGACTTCCATGTGGTAAAAATGTAGACACAAAATCTTTTGTCCGACGCTTCTGAAGCTGATTGCCAATGTCGGTAAATGCCTCTCTTGATAAATCATCAATTTCTCGAGACCTGTAATTAAGACAAATCTACCTTAACACTGAAAACAAGCTGTAAAACAAGTTTTTTTTTTTTTTATAAAACAAGTTATCAAATACCGGTCATAAAATGAAAAAAAGTGAATAATTTTCCCTTTTAACATCGAAAGTGAAATGGAAAAATCTACATGTAAAATTAATTTTAGAAGTTATTTTTAAACATAAAACTGAAAAGTAAGAATGATTATGTATTCTTTTACTATAAATTAGCAAAAAGATGGCATAAAAAAACCCTAAAAGAACCACAAAGGCAAATAAATATAATACATGTATATTTAAGATGGTATAATGGGTTAAAATCTTACCTAAGATGTAGTTTCTTCTCTCTGTTCACTTTCATGATGATACCTCTAACATCATGGTAATCTGGGAACACTTTCTTCTTATTGATGAACTTCTCTAATTTCCTATCTATATCCGGATACCGGGTACCTTAAATAACATCAGTTCAAACAGGTGTGACTCAGTTTAAACAAGTGTGACTCAGTTCAAACAGGTGTGACTCAGTTCAAATAGGTGTGACTCTTAACTTGTAAATTTTACTCATCAGATGGGGAAACACATAAATGTTGGCTACAAACTGTGTTCTCTCTATTCAAAGGGGGAACTACATAACATATACAGAAGATCTGAATACATGTACTTGCTCTTTAAAAAAAAATGGCTTACTGCTATGGAATACTTATCGTAAATCTATCAATCCTTCAAAAACAAAATTTATTCAAAAGAAGACTATTTTTGTAAATATAATATCATTATTAATATCATACAAACATAAGTAAAAAATGTCTGAAAAGTAAAATGTACACCAATAATGTTTACCTTGATATCTAAAATATTTATCTGTTGGTCTTCCCGTGTTTTTAACAGCCTTGTGTAGTTCACACAATTTATCCCATACCTGTTTTGTATAATCAAACATGTAATGATTTAATTTCATTTACATTTTACCTGCAGGCAAGAAAACTCTTTACAAAATGTCAATTCTCTAATGTAATGTATTACATTAAACTGTGTGTTCATATCATATTCCTTTATTACATGCTTTTCGGTGGTTTATAGAAATATATCAGTGATATAAAACTGGTAAATTCACTGTTTGAAACAGTGAAATTACCACTTTGATAATTTCACTGTTTTGAATTTAAGCCCCTTACGTTGTTTCAGTGAAATACCAGCGTGCACAGAACTGGGTACCAACTTAATGACGTGACGTCGTAAATGACGTCACGTTGTATTATTATTTGGCGCGTTTTTCATTCAGTATTAGGTTTAATGTCTTTTAAAAACGTTTCTTTCTGCGCCACTCGTGAAATATACTTTTTGGTGCTCACTCGGTGAAATATATTCCGATCTTACACTGAACTAAACAAATATCCTCTATGTATTACTTTTTATTTTATGTGTCACTCATAAAAACTATGATACCTTCATAAACTTCCTCTGTAACTTATCCTCCAGTAAATAATCTGATACATCACTGTCTAAATCCTCCAGATCTAGCTCCCTCAACCGCACTTTCTCTATCTGGTTACGAATACTCTGTAACAAATTAGCATATCATTAAAACTAGCTCTGCCCCCTTGCCGTTTTTTTATCTAATTAGCATAAAATGAACATCAGCTCAGTCCTTCTTTTATCAATTGGCATGAAGTAAAATTTAACATCATTGTCTGCATTTATTTTTGTAAGGAACATATACATATCACAACATCTTGGTCTACCTTTAACCCTTTCACTGCCATAGGGACGGCTTATGTCGTCCCTGTTATTTTCGGCGTATTTGCCATATGGACGGCTTTAGCCTTTTCTATAACAATAATAGTAATAATAATAAATTAAAAATAATTATAATAAAAATAATAATAAATATAAAGAAAATTATACCATTGACAATAATTATTATTATTCTCACAGATTTGGAAACATATATAATTATTATAATACTAATAACAAATAATAATAATTATATTAATTAATAATATAGTAGTTTCTTAGAAAACCCTCTGGCAAATAGGTGATCAATAAAACAATAACCCTCTGGCAGCGAAAGGGTTAATAAAATTAAAATAAAATTACATATATTTACTCAGTTTCAGCTCTTCTTTTCACAAATTCAATTTAGTTTACATTCTTAAAATTCAAACAAAATAGAACTTTATTTAACAAAAACAACACAATTTTAAGTCCATGAGATTTCTTTCAGTGTAACAGAAATAAAATTGACATGTTGCCAGTAGATACAACAATATCAACCAGGTACCTTTAGAATAAATTAATATCATTAAAACTGAATGATAGTTTACAGACTTAAAAAAATATAACCATGAAATCTAGTACTTGTAATTGGACATTTCACAAAATCCCCACCCCAACTCCCAAAAAAATCACAAGTGAATTCATTACCTCGAGTAAAGCTTCCAACTTTCTGATCTGTCTTGATGACCCTTTCTTTAGTGCATTGTCAGTATCAGATGTTGAACTTGGTCCTGCATGTACATCTTCCCCTTCACTGACCGCTTGCTTCGAAGATTTTTCACCATTTTTGTACTGTTCTTTATCCCTATCTACTTGCTTGTTTTTCTCTTTAGGGGATTTGTCTTCACTTTTATGGGTTTTCTTGTCTTTGCCTTCATTATCTTCAAAGTCATAAGATTTATCATTTTTATGATGTTTAAATGCATTGTCTGATTTGCTGTTGTAATACTCCTCTGTTATCAAGTTAACTCTTTTCTTCTCTTTTCTTTCCCTATCGTCATGTGTAGCTGCCATGTGCTCTTTATCAGCAATTTTTGTAAAACGGTGATTTTCTTTACCAGAATGACACATATCTTCTTCACTATCAACATCATTATCTATTTCCATTTTCTGTGCCTTTTTAACAGGACTTTTCTTGGGTTTCAGTGGAGAATTTTCCTGAAACTGAATCTGTCTCTTCACCTTTTCATTAAACTTCTTCTTGAAGCCTTCAATATCACCAATGTCATCATCTGACTCGCTGTCAGTAAAAATGATAATTGGGGACTTATTTGGACTAAACTTCTTGTTGCACTTTGGGCTATTATTTGGAGTGTGCTTCTTGCGTGGACTTTTCTCTTTTTCAATTTTGTGTAAAAAATCAAATTTTGAATGGTCCTTGCTTGGACTTGTGAACGTTTTATGTTTTTTCTTGCCAACACTTACAACATATTTTTTCTTGCATTTTTCTCTGAACTTTTTGGCTTTTAATGAATCAAATTGGTCCTCTTCATCATTTGTTGAAAGATCACTATCCTTTTTCAGGGAAGTTTTAGAAAAATCCTTCAAAACCTTTACCTTATCTTCGTGGTCATCATCATCACTTTCTGATTCTATTTCGTCACTTAAATAATTTGTGTTTTTCTTCAAGGTTGTCTCTCCAGTATCCTTAACATTATTGTTACTTTGGAAACCATCACCATCAAATTCATTCTTACTTCCCTCTTCTGTCTTTTCATATTTGTTTTTTATAGTATTCCCTGAGCCATGATTCAAACCTGGATTTTCTACAATATCTTCATCCCCTTTAGCACCTTTAACACGTTTGATAGTCAAACACAGAGGTTTTGTGTCACTTTCAATTACACAAACACCATCGTCACTCCATTTTTCATTCCTAGAGTCTTGATCAATACAACTCTCAATTTCAGAGCAATTTTCTGAAGATATCAACTGCTTTTTCAATTCCTCTTTATCAGCTTTTTCTTCTTTTTCACTGGAAATATTCAAGATATCTGTAGGCCCTTTAATTACTGAATTTTTTTCATCATCAATGCTGTCTTCAATTTCATCTTGATCAATGCTGTCTTCAATTTCATCTTGTGAATCACAAACATCTTTATTACCTTGAACATGTTTTTTATTTTTACTGCTACAGGTTAAATTAGTACCCATATCATTTAAGTTATCATCTTTTGTTTTTTTAGTGTGGGACACTTCAGCTTTTGATATAATTTCTGCAGCCGGAAAATCTTCTAAATCAGGAAGTATTCCTTGATAAGCATTTATGTCACCATTCATTTCATTACTTTCAATCTCATCCGAGTCAGACACATTATTTGAATCAAATTCCTCCTTCCTATTAAAAGCCATTTCATGATCTTCACTTTCAGAATCATCCATGTCACTTTTGTTATCAATGGAACTGTCAGATTCACTCTTCTCTCCCGCAGTTACAAGCTCGCTTTCCCAAATCTCATTTTCAACATCATCCTCATCATTTTCAACAGAATCTGGTGATTTTTCCATTTCTTGGTCTGAATCATCAGGCTGCAACCCATCTTCCTCTTTTTGTAAAGCTGCACTATTTGAAAGAATTTCACACCCTGTGATAAAACCTGGTCTTCCATAGTTTTGATCTGAATTTTCTTCCTCAGAATCTTCAGTTTTTAGATTGTTTGTGTTATTATCAAATTTATCAATTTTTCTTCTCTTTGCTGCAAAAGCAACATCGCTTTCGCTCTCACTGCTCTCATGAATCCTCTTGGAAATTCCACCTTCAAGATTTGACTCAATGCTTCCATCTCTGGCTTTATTTTCTTTAAGTATACTTAAGAAATCTCTCAAGTGAACATAAAACCGCGACTCCTCTTTCAGAATCTTAGCTTCTGTACATAGAATATACTCACAGAGTTCTTGTGAACGCTTATATTCTACTTCACACTCATGATATCTCTTTTTTGCCAGTGTTAAAAGTTTTTTATTTGAATCATCCAGGTATCCTTCACAAAATAGCATAAACTGAAATACAAAACAAACAAGTTTCATTCAATAAAACAAAATAAAAGTATTAAGCAAAATATTCCTGCTTCATATCATTGGTCCCATTCTAATTGTTGCTCTAATTACTGGTAGGTTTTATGTGATAATGATCAATGATAACTGAATCCTCGCCATAATGCTATTTTATATACAAGTTTTTCAGTAATTTTTGAATTTATAACAAGCAAGGCTGGGATTAAAAATAAACAACACTCTGGGGTTAGCTAATTAATGAGTTTTAACGACCGTTATCTATTGCAACTATGGATATGTTAGTAAAAACAGATATTAGATTTATCAGTGGTATATATTGCATATTTTAATAATTTTCCTGAAGGAATTTATACTTTATAATATACTCACATTTTCAAACTGAACATCCATTTCCAACAATAATTAAGGACATTTGTACTCAGTGTCACAAACCACTTGCTTCCAGAATATCTGTGCTTTAAGTAACCTCTCTTTAACCCTAAAAATAAAATAATGCAGTATTTAAAATAACATTGATTAGATGGTTGAGATTAAAGTGATCTCTTATCAAAGTTACAGCAAATATCAAGCAAATTCAATAATTTGACCTTCAAAGTCAAGGTTATTTATGAACCAAGATCAAATTCAGTTTGATTCTAATGAAATTTTTGTACTACAGGCACTTTGTTTAAGTACAAAACTTATTTATCCATTAATGATCAAATTATAGCCAGTTACAGGAAAAACAAAAACATTTTTTTTTCATCCTGTCAATGAAAAATGTTGTTCTGTGAAAGCAAACTATTGATTAACGCTTCTATATAATTATGTAAGGAACACTTTGTTTTTTTGTAGCCCTTCGTATGGGATATTACAACTCTTCATTTAGCATCACTGCAATAGTGACTTGGTGAAGATGACTCTGTTTTGATCTTTTGAAAGAGGGAAACTGGGATAAAAAGCAGAAATTTTGTTCCCTCACAGTGTACACATTTTTAAACAAGAGGGCCATGATGGCCCTGGATCGCTCACCTGACACAACCGCATCCAAGAAATGTCTTAAACAAGCATCATGACCGAGTTTGATGCGACTGAGTCAAACATGTGACCTATAGTGTGTTATAAAGATTTTTCCATATTTGGGCAATGTGACCTAATTTTTGACTGGACACAACCCATATTCAAACTTGACCTAGAAATCATCAAAACAACCTTCCTGACCAATTTCCAGGAAATTTGGATCAAAACTGCAGCCACTAGAGTGTTTAAAAAAAAATTCTATTTTTAGCTCCTGTGACCTAGTTTTTGACCGGACATGACCAATCTTAGCACTTGACCCAGAAAACATCAAAACAACATTCTTGACAAATTTCCAGAAAATTTGAATCAAAACTGCAGCCACTAGAGTGTAAACAAGCTTTTTCTATTTTTAACTCCTGTGACCTAGTTTTTGACCTGAGATGACCCATCTTCAAACTTGACCTAGAAATCATCAAAACAACCTTCCTGACAAATTTACAGAATATTTGAATCAATACTGCAGCCACTACAGTGTTAACAAGCTTTTTCTATGTTTAGCTCCTGTGACCTAGTTTTTGACCGGAGATAACCCATCTTCGAACTTGACCTAGAAATCATCAAAACAACCTTCGTGACAAATTTCAAGAATGTTTGGATGAAAACTGCAGCCCCTAATGTGTTAACAAGCTTTTCTATTTTTAGCTCCTGTGACCTAGTTTTTGACCTGAGATGACCCATCCTCGAACTTGATCTAGAAATCATCAAAACAACCTTTCTGACAAATTTCCAGAATGTTTGGATGAAAACTGCAACCATTAGAGTGTTAACAAGCTTTTTCTATTTTTAGCTCCTGTGACCTAGTTTTTGACCGGAGATAGCCCATCTTCGAACTTGACCTGAAAATCATCAAAACAACATTCCTGACAAATTTCAAAAATATTTGGATGAAAACTGCAGCCCCTAGAGTGTTAACAAGCTTTTTCTATTTTTAGCACCTGTGACCTAGTTTTTTACCGGACATGACCCATCTTCGAACTTGATTTAGATATCATCAAAACAACATTCTTGACAAATTTCCAGAATATTTAGATGAAAACTGCAGCCACTAGAGTGTTAACAAGCTTTTTCTATTTTTAGCTCCTGTGACCTAGTTTTTGACCGGACATTACCCATCTTCCAACTTGACTTAGATATCATCAAAACAACCTTCCTGACAAATTTCCAGAATATTTGGATGAAAACTGCAGCCACTAGAGTGTTAACAAACTTTTTCTATTTTTAGCTCCTGTGACCTAGTTTTTGACCTGAGATGACCCATCTTCGAACTTGACCTAGATATTATCTAAGCAACCTTCCTGACAAATTTCCAGAATATTTAGATGAAAACTGCAGCCCCTAGAGTGTTAACAAGCTTTTTCTATTTTTAGCTCCTGTGACCTAGTTTTTGACCGGAGATGATATTCGAACTTCACCTAGAAATTATCAAAACAACCTTTCTGACAGATTTCCAGGAAATTTGAATCAAAACTTCAGCCACTAGAGTATTAGCAAGTTTTTTCTATTTTAAGCTCCTGTGACCTAGTTTTTTTTGTCCGGAGATGACCCATCTTCGAATTTGACCTAGAAATCATCAAAACAACCTTCCTGACAAATATCCAGAATATTTGGATCAAAACTGCAGCAACTAGAGTGTTACAGGCTTTTTCTATTCATAGCTCCTGTGACCTAGTTTTTGACCAGAGATGACCAATCTTCGAATTTGACATAGAATTCATCAAAATAACATTCCTGACAAATTTCCAGTACATTTGGATTAAAACTGCAGCCACTAAAGCGTTTACAAATTATTCTATTTTAAGCTCCTGTGACCTAGTTTTTGACCGGCGATGACCCATCTTCGAACTTCACCTAGAAATCAACAAATGAACCTTCCTGACAAATTTCCAGAAGATTTGTATCAAAAATGTTGCCACTAGAGTGTTAACAAAATTGTTCTATTTTTAGCTCCTCTTACCTTGTTTTAGAACGGAGATAACCCATCTTCGAACTTGATCTGTATTTCATTAAGACAAACATTCTGACAAAGTTTGATGATGATCCAATCAAAACTGTGACTGCTAGACTGTTAACAACCCAATTATTAGTGTTAACAAGCTTTTTCTATTTTTAGCTCCTGTGACCTAGTTTTTGACCGGAGATGACCCATCTTCGAACTTGACCTAGATATCATTAAAACAACCTTCCTGACAAATTTCCAGAATATTTGGATGAAAACTGCAGCCTCTAGAGTGTTAACAAGCTTTTTCTATTTTTAGCTCCTGTGACCTAGTTTTTGACCCGAGATAACCCATCTTCGAACTTGATCTGTATTTCATTGAGACAAACATTCTGACAAAGTTTGATGATGATCCAATCAAAACTGTGACTGCTAGACTGTTAACAACCCAATTGTTGACGACGCACGACGCACGACGACGGACGCCGGACATAGCCCCATCACTATACCTCACCTTGACCACTTCGTGGTCAGGTGAGCTAAAAATGTTAAAGCAGCCTTTACTACAGGTACTTGTGCTACTTGAACCTCACAAGCGTCTTTCAGTATGTATATTGGTGCGTCATTTTTCCGCGTTACCCATATTTCCAAGGTATCCGGCAGCCTCAAGTGCCTCCTAGACTTCATGCACCTGCCAGGAGTTTTACTTACACTTTCTTATTGTATTTTTATCAAAATTTTACATGACTGAGAAAACTTATTATTTTATTCAGATGAAGAGCAAAATAAATTGTTTCACCATTTTACTTTTAGTTTTCATACCTTTTAAGACAATTGTCTTTGTTAAACAACCATTGAACTATTTAATAGATGCCACAGCAGATGAGGCTAGGAATAGATGTATTAAAAATTAAATAATAAAGGTTACTATTGTTTTTGGTTTTGGAACTTTAACATGTAAATTGCCTTGGAAATATGAGTTAACAACTTTTACTCACTAGGCAGCAGATGCATGTTAATCGCCATGTTGTGTATTGTATCATTGCTTAATGCAAACATTAAATGGAATAAACCATGATGTTACTGACATGACTTTCCTACAATATTTAAGGTATTTTCCAAAATTTTATTCTTTTAACTTTTGCTGTCTTCGTTAAACTGTTAAGTACCATGGAAATATGAGGCACCAGTATACAATGTAAAAAGTTATAGGTACTAAAATGTTATTTATATTAATACTTAACTGCCCGATGAATAAAATGCACCAAAAATACATGCTATATGAAACAATCACATTGACTGATTGAGTAAAAACATTTAACTGTTTCAGACATTACGGAAATAAGCACAATAACATTAGATTATCTCTATCTATCTATATCTGAGTACTGCCAACCCCTCTCGCGAGTGTTATTATAACATTTATAGGCAGGAATAGTGCACGTCAGATGTGTTAGAGAAAATAAAAACCTGAGAATGAAAATTATCAGGACAGTGAGAGACAGCGCCAAAAATGCTTAATTTGGTATTTTCTTTGTTCAGTGGTTGTCAGTCACTTTTTTATCAACAGTAAATGCATGTCTCTTCTATAATTTAGTAAATAAATTTATTTCAACCTCCTTAAATGGTAATATTTTAATGTCTATTTCAAGAAAGTTGACGTTGAAATTCGGGGTCAAGAAAGAAATGCCTGATCTCATATACCAGCTGTAATTATTTGCAGTGTAAACAATAGAACTTCTAAAACGTCAGCATTTGTTGCTGAAATAATGTATATCATGTAAAAAATAGAAAAATAATACATCCAAGCTTTTATCTGAATTAAATCACGCCATGTACATATCTGTCTGGACACATGGTACTGAAGTGTAGATAATTAAGGCAATTTTGATACCCTCCTTGACGAGCCTCAGAAATAAGTGTCAATAAAATCAGAAATAAACAATCAAGTTTGTTAGTTAGGATAAGAACCTAGCTGTACTGTGTGAAATTTTTAGGTCTCTGGGTTGGAAATTATAAAATCTTTATGGAAAAATGTTCAAAAAGTGTCCGGTTGATGGTCCCCGACCAGTACTAGATTAATTATGGTAAATTTAAAAAACATAATTAGTCTAAAGTCTAATAGATCTGCGATGCTCGAGAGAACGCCAGCCAAGATCTCTCTGCATGGCTGAAACTTATGACAAAGGGGAGACTACAGTGATTTTTCCCAATTTTAAAAACAACCTGTGGTTTTTTGAAGGGGAAAATATGGCACGAAAAATCAGAAAAGGGGAAATCTGAAATCAAAATCAAACATTTGAGAACGTATACGATAAAATTTTCAATTATTTACTTTTTCCATTTCCAACAATTCAAATAAATAAACAATTATATATAAACACAAGTTCACAACATGTGATCAACATTTATATGTATATGTGTGTCCCATTTAAATGAGTATATTTCAGTTGTTTTTTCTTCATTAACATCATTAAGATCTCTCTGCATGGCTGAAACTTATGACAAAGGGGAGACTACAGTGATTTTTTCCCAATTTTAAAAACAACCTGTGGTTTTTTGAAGGGGAAAATATGGCACGAAAAATCAGAAAAGGGGAAATCTGAAATCAAAATCAAACATTTGAGAACGTATACGATAAAATTTTCAATTTCCGTTCAATTTAACATAGCAAAGGCTATATATAGGGACAGCTTTCTCATATAAGTCAGATGCTGATAAGTCATGATACTGGTTAAAAAAATGCACAGGGCATTTAAGGGGAACATATCACAGGGCTCATCCTGGGGGGAAATTTTAGGGAGAAGTGACGACCTCGCGAAAATTAGGGAGAAGGGAAACAACCCAATGTGTATGCATTAACATGCATGGCTATACATCATTTAATTATAATATAAACACAATTAACATCACTTATAATATTTCTCCAGTTTATTAATTAATAGTAGATTAATTAATAAGTAGTATTAATAAAAAGTAGATTAATTATTTAGTAGTAGATCAGGCAATGGCATCTAAATATTTTTGAGCTGCAAATATGAATATAAATTTTGAGCTGCAAATATGAATATAAATTTTGAGCTGCAAATATGAATATAAAAAATTATTTTTGATATCTATTGATCAGCTATTTATAAGCTTTCTCTAAATATGTGTTTATATATTTTCATGTACATTTGTTGATAATAATGTGTAAGAAAAGATATGATGATAAAATCAATTTCATATTTTTTACTTTACTTTCCTCACCCACCTTTAAAAGAAGATGAAGTCACATTGGATATTGATTAATAATATCTGGTCTATTCTGTTCTGGTAACAGAAATTTCTCTCAAAGTTCAGAATGTTGTAATGTCACATTTATATGCATATAAATATGCTTATAAAACAATTTTCAAACATCAAAGAATATGTAAAATATGTACTGCAAACATTTGTGCACATTATATTTGATCACTAAAATTACATACATTCATTTCTTATTGAAAAATTTGACTGAGAAATTGTAGAAAATTAATTTCTAATTACCTCCCTTTATTTTCATGAAATGTTAAATTCAGTAATATCTTTATAAATAATGCTTTTTAAAATTTACAATATTGATAAATCTTAATCTGAGCGTCATATTTACGAATTTATTTTGAAACAATAAGAACACTTCTTTCCAGACAAATGTTGTTGTTATATACACATTACATGATATACGACCGATATGTAGTTAAGCCGGGATGTCTTGCCCACGCGCGTAAACTGTGTCAAATTTGGCATTTCTACAAAGAGAACAATGCCAAACACCCCTACTGTCTACAACATACCAATCGCAAGATTTTTGCGAATTGGCTTTCTTAAATTTTCGCGTAGGTGTAACTATCGGAATCAGTAACTTTCTTACTGCTCGGTTTCGGCATTTCGCCTTGTAGCCATGACGTGAGCGACATAACAATTTTACAGTAAAAATTGATGTTAACAGACTGAAATCATTCAAAACTATGATTAAGTTTTTAATCTGGTCGCTGATCATTAATGAAATTGATTATTTTTAATTGACTAACAGTTTTGTGATAGAAGAAAAATCCATTGCACATCGCCTTTACTCGGGTTAAAAACCCACCATCGAAGTGCATCGTGTATATCAATTAGGGAAGATTGCACGTGTTTAGATAATCGGGGAAAAAACAATTTATAATTATCGCCAAGTCCCGTATTAAACTCGCAAAACTAGCACACAATTATACCGTTTCGGGCCGATGCTCTCATTATTTACTGTTTAGAGTAGGCGGTCTATCGCTTCGCTTACAGGTAGAAGGGTAGTATAAAGCGACGCTCTGATTGGATAATGATAATTAGCGGTCGTCATATGGGCGGATACAATCTCTGCTCTTTACATCGCTAAGTAATTACTATTTGGGAATTAAGATTTTATCGGCGATGTTGACTTCTCTTTGATCAATCGGAAGAGCGAAATTGGAATATACACGGCGAAGTTTTCGCCTGAATCGCCCTTCCGGATGAGCCCTGATATCAGCATTTTTAGGGGAAATATAATATATATTTTAGGCTAGGGGAAACAGCATTTATTTTAAGGGGCCTCCGTGGCCGAGTGGTTAAAGTCGTTGACTTGAGATCACAGGTCCCTCACCGCTGCAGGTTCGATCCTCACTCGGGTCGAAATCTTTCATGTGAGGAAGTCATCCAGCTGACTTACGGAAGGTCGGTGGTTCTACCCAGGTGCCAGCTCGTGCCTGAAATAATGCCCGGAGGGGCACCTGGGGTCTTCCTCCACCAATAAAGCTGGAAAAAATCGACGAAAAATCTCGACGGGACGCTCTAGGATGGCCCGACTTGAGTGTACGGTCGCCCATATGGGCTTTCCGGCAGCGACCTTAAATAAACGCAAAAAAAAAAAAAAAAAAAAAAAGCATTTATTTGGCTGTAAGATGTAGGGGAAAAATCACTGGACTATGATTAGAATTTTTTAGGAAATGATAAATGAGTTAAATTGATACTGTAAAGACATCTGAATATTTCACTTAAAAAGAAACAGCGGGAAAAGTCAATCAGTATTTACAGAACAACAAGAACTTTTGGCCCCGTACATTAGAGTAATCGGGTAAACATCAAGGTATCCAAGATGTCCCTAGCACAATAAGAACAGTATTTACTAGCATATTATACAACCTTATCCTCTATTGAAGCGAACACTTGAAGTAAACACTGCCACTGGTAAACATTCGTTACATTGTCATCAGAGACAAAGACATTTATGCATTTGTGCAGGGCTTTTTTTCACAGGTTGGGGAAGCAGCCCAGCCCTTAATTTTTGGGGAAAATTACACGGTATATTTGCAAAAGGGGAAGAAAAAACTTGATGTAAATTCAATTTTTGGGGAAAACTGCATGATTTTAAAGAAATTTTCTTTGGGGAAGCAGCCTTATACCGGCCCCTGTTATAGAAGGTAAAAAGGCCCTGTTGTGTCAAATGTCTGTATTTCGAGCTACAGATGCAAATTTCGCTTATGTTAGGATACCAACAGTGTCCAAGCGGGAGCGGCTTAATACGGAATTATATGCCTATAGAAAACTGAATTAGTTAATTTTAATAATTCATCTCTGTTCTATTTTCAATACTCACCAGAAATTCAATTCACAAGCAACGTCTGATTATTATATAAACTCATCATTGAAGACATTACGTCAAATTTGTACATATTTCAATCTCAAAAGGGTCTGCATTTAAAATAATTAAATAGATAAAGGTTTTTTGTTTATTTTTCACTTTTGTAAATGCAGAATTTCCTTCCACGGGAAATTGTTAAACGGTGCTACAGTAGAAATTGCATCAAGGTAAACACCACTAAATGATTTTAGTTGAACTGTTAGAAATGAACACCACTAAATGATTTATGCTTTTACCATTCACATTCACATCTGTTAAGTCTCTTGTCTTTAATATGTATCAATTTATCTCATATGAAACCTATTTGCAGACCTTAAATAAATGCTCTAACACAAATATTATGCAAACATATGTTGTCTTACGTGTATATAATAAAACCTTTATTAGTTCTATAAAAAAAACACCTGCCATACGTGTTCAATAACACGATGGCCTGTCTTAATACAGGGCCAATATCTACATCACTTTTTCGGTCCCGGGCCGAAAAGTGATATAGATATAAAGCCCGCATTTGAAGTAAATTGATTGGCTAATAAAGCAGGGCCAAAAAATGATGTTGATTTCTGCAAGAAACTGGGAAATGGCAGCCATTTTGTTTTGTAGACGTCGACAGGTTGCATAAATGAAACAAAATATTCTCAGTTTCTAAACATTCACAGTCTGACATTTTGTTGTACATGAACAATATAAGTAACAAAATGTAGGTTTTCCATACAAACTGATAAAATGTAGTTATGTTTTACAGTTGTTCTTTGTTATAATTAAAATATGTTAGAAGAAATATATAGAGGATTAAATGTGAAATCTTTTAAGTACACGTAGTTAGTTAATAAAATTGTCAATAAAGAAATGATTTGATATTGGCACTGTTATTTGTCCTCGGGTCAGTCGTATTGGCCCAAGGCCGAAGGCCCTCGGACAAATAACAGGGCCAATATCAAATCACTTATTTATTAACATATTGTATACGCCAGTTAGTTAGTTTGTGACGTTTCTTTATGCTAATAATGTTTTTGTAACATCTTTTAAAAGATGTTTGTCAATATTCTATATTCATTTATCTACTAAGACTTTGATTCTTATTGTGTTGATAAAATGGAACTTGAATTGTTGTTATATACATGTTGGGAATAATATTAAAGCATCCGATTTTACAAGAAATATAGTCAGTCCAACAAATTTGACAAAAAACACAGCACGCCCTTTTTTGGCCACTCCGTGGTACTTTCCGCAGATGTTCCACACGTGAACTATAGGACCGTTTTATTCACAGGGATGAGAAGAATATGATTAGTGAAAAGATATGTTCGAACAGGTGGGATACAATACAACGTCTGAAGAACGCCTGAACTACAAATTAAAGGAAGCCTTGTGCTTTTTTAAATCGGTCGTGTACATGCCATTTTCAAAAGTGACCACACTAATAAGTTTAAGTTTAACTTTTTTTTTAACTTAAGTTTGTCCAAGCACCCGTTTCTCCATCGTTCAATCGCACTCCCTACTATATCTTATATTATCTAAACTCTTGGTAATATTGATAAGTAACTCGAAATTTCGAGTTAGTATGTCGAAATTTCGAGTTACTAAGTCGAAATTTCGAGTTGATAATAAACACACACTTGGCACTAATGCTCTTCCGTACAAGAGCCTTAAAGATAAGTAAATGAAATAATAACTTAAAAAATTAATAACTAATTATTTGGTGATTGTGATAAATCGCCAATAAACATATATGTGTGTTTATTTATACTGGGCGTCGGAGCGAGTTTTAAGAAATAAAACGGCGGGGTCGCGGGACGAAAACACGCTAATAAGGGGGATCGCGGGCGAAGTTTAATAAAACACGAATGGCAAAAATCAGCCACCATACACAACCAAAACGACAGTCATTTAATCAAGCGATATAAAATCACAGATTTGGATTTATTATATACTTATAAATGAAATATTGACAAATATTGATGAAATAAAATGCTTATTTTCATTTTCATTTTCCTTATTTTCACTGTTAAAATTTAGTTTTTACTGCAGTGAAACATATTTTCCGTATTTTCACTGGTGTCTTGCTGGACTACTGCCAGTATACAAAGATTTGAGGGAAAGTCTTTCAAATTGTAATGTCAAGAAGGGACAAATGTATATAATAGATAGAAAGTTCAAGTTATTTTCTGAGATGATTTATTTTCATCTTGTGCCATGAAAATGATCATATTTCACTCGTGGCTACTTCGATTCTAACACGATATCAACAAATAAATGCTGTCGTACTTGATATAAAGATAAAGTGGGCCTAATTTGTTTCCGTACTTATTTTCAGCGCGTCGCATTTTTACGTCACGTGTCTAATGGTTACGTCACGTGTCTAATGGTTATGTCACATGTCTAGATAAAGAACGTCAATAGTGATTGTATTGCATAATATCCTTCTATGTTCAATAGGGGGAAATATGGGTCGTGTTAGAATATTTCTTAAATAACCAAACGCCAAACCAGTCATTTATTTCCTTAAGCTGACGTATATTCACAATGTCTATAATAATATTATTATACAGTACACGTTGAAATATGATTTTTGTCAAAACGGCTTATATTAAGTTTTTTATAAATATATATAATCAGTACATGTGCTGAAATTGACAAATATGCATATTATTTGGCTTAAAGTGGTTTTGAGCTCCACACCCCAAGTGTTATATTATGGTGAATACAAATCAGTGTAAAATTTCATGTTATCAAGTAGCTCGATCTATGTTAATGAAATATAATATTCATAAAATGAAATGCAGCGAAGCGAAACAACAAAATATGTGATTAAAACGACTTTTCCGGGATCCGAATTTTTACGAAACAAACGCTATATCACGTACTGCGCCATTTCGCACTAAGCATATATAATTGAGTAATTTTAAGTGCAGCTCGTAGAAAATTCTGGTGATAGATCTAATTATATGTTTGCTTAATATGCATGTTATGTGTTACATTTACAATTAGTTCTTAAATAAAGTGATAAAGAACTGATTTCTGTCAGACAAAATACCTATTTACCTATAAGAAGATGATGGTCTATATATAGCTGAATTGCCTAAATGAAGGCAAACTACATATTATTATTATGAAGAAAAAAGAATAAAACAGGTTGCTTTGCTCTTGGCTTTGAGCTCATTCTTATCCGAAACTATGTGTTCTCACTGAAAATGAACACTCTTTCAGATAGGAGAATTTGCATTAAGCATTTAAAACTTTAAATTTCATTTTTATTTGTTTAGGTCGTCAGACCAAACAAATAATGCTAGCGAAATTTCAGAGCCAAATGCTGTTAATTGCAAATGCCTAAAGTAGTCCACTTTAAGCGGTTACTTCCCTTTACATGTACACTAACGCCGAAATGCGTATAGATTGTCAAATGACCGGAGCATTAGTTTTCAAGCAAAGCAGTTCCCGAATGGTCGAAGATTTCTAATATTGTTTCATTCTTTATAGATATACATGATTATTTACATCTGTGTTTAGCGTCGAAATAATAAGAGTTACAAACCCTAATTTAGAATAATATGGTTTTCTTCAGATCGTCAACTTATAATTTCACCGTGGCCGAAGGGTTTTAACGCTCGCTTATGAATCGAAAAGTTTCGAGTTCAAATCCCCGTTGAGGCAACTCATTTTAAAAAAAAATTAAATCAAATAAACATTAAATTGACTATCAGTGTTGCAATTAGTCTTATAGCCAATTTACTACAGTTAAAACATCGGAAAGCATTGATGACACTATACAAAAACAAATTGGTTTATAATCTCACAACTTTCACCTTTCTGACATTCTGAGACCCAAACAAATTCAGCGCCTTCTGTGCTTTGATTTTGTTTGTTTGTTTGTTGCTTTTTTTTAGTTTAAGATTAAACGAACACGGGAGATTTGTTGCTATAACATCGGTTTGAAAGTCGCAAAATAACAATTTTTTGCTGCAAAAAAAATCAATATAAATATTAGAAAAGTTTTATGGTATATATAATGTACTTGTTCACTTTACATATTTTACATTTAATAAAAAGAGTTTTAAATCGTCACCAATATGTTGTCAATATAGCCTCTAGATAGTCACGAAATACCAGGATATCGCTTCCTCTTCCAAAAAATTTTTGACCAACAGATACGTTACCAACAGATACGTTACAAATATTTATTGTTTGAATCTTAATTGGCGATTTTGCTCAGTTTTGAAATGGTTTAATGTTAAAAATCACAGCATAACGTACGTGTAGCCGATAAATGATGCATTGATCTCGATTTTATTGGAAAACTGAAAATGTGAATCAGGAATTTGAAATTCAAGGATTAGTAGAGTTTTCTAGAAAATAAAATGTTGAAAACCAGGAAAGAAACATATAAAGATTTACTGTTTTATGTCCTGGAATAAATTTATATATGTTGATATCTTTTTGTTTTGCAAAATTTGTATTAAAAATAAAATGCAGAGGACTGTACAACTTCTGGTAACATATCTGTTTATCATTGTAACGTATCTGTTTAGAAAGAGATTTGAGTACTGTTTAATATATAAAACTAAATCTTCAACAAAACTTTGGTTTAAATTAGTAATATATGCCTAGGCTTTATATAACAGCACTGTTAATGAAAAAAAAACATATTAAAGTATTTTTAAATGAATGCCCGTTAGTTTCCAAATTTTAGTCAGCGTCGTATCAAGATAGTCTGGCTATGGTAGGAATGGACTAATTGGGGATGTTACGAAAACCTCAATTAAGCTAGTGGGAGTTTTCCAAACATTAGTTATTATTATATACTCCATATTAATTCTCGCAATGTAAACGGACAAAACCGAAGTGGGATCGAATATTTAAATGAGTGCTATAATGTAAACATAATTGACAGGTCAATAAAATCAGACTATAAGTTGTATCTCTAGTAAAGTCCATACCAGATTAGTTTTTTTTGCATTAAATATCACCTAATAACCTAAACTATAGAAGAGCCAAATTAATCTATAGACATTCCCTATAAATTAAATCAATAAGGATCATGTTTTTACTTTAAAATAACCAAACTCATTAAGATTCCTAAAAACAGAAAATATTTAGTGAAATAACACTAATTTAATAAGATTAGGCTTAATTAATCCCAAAATAACCAAAACAGTTATAAAAATCCATAAAACTGTATGATAACTACAAGTACATCGCTGATCGTAGAGCCGCAACGGAGGTCTTCTCAAGCCGTCTATCTTCATAGAGATCTTCTCCTGAGGACCAAATTTGTCAGAGCAAAGGAAGACAATAGCTGAAAGGCACCTCTATCGGGAGGCAACATCATCTTTTTAGTACCACACCATTAGCCATTACATGATTGTTCAGGTCACACCAGCAAACCTAACGCACTCCGAGCGACGTGCACGCCGCCACGGATAAATCCGTAACGCCGCGAAGGGATGTCGGAGGTTCATATGATAAAGGCTAAACGTATGTTAAGAAGACCATTCTGTTCTCTTAAATTTCCAACTATCATATTTATGATCTATGGCGTATAATCAAATCTAAAACTCTCTAAGATCTATTTTATGTATTTAAATGACCTGCTAAAATTTTATTGCACGTGCAAATCGTGCCAAAATAGACCGTTGGGTAGAAAATCAATAATCTGTCCAACATTACATTATACATGTATGTTCCATGATCAATCAGATGGCTGCAGACCACTATTTTTGTCTGTTTTGTTTTTACAAAAAAAGGGTTTCCAGATGGTAATGTTTTGATTCCTTGATTGATGATAAAAACGTGGTAGTTTATTTGAAGATCCATCGAGTCCACTTCATTGAATTGACCAGTATTGATACCACATGAGGAAACATGGCTGTGACCCCATTACCTTGCACCCACAACCCTTTGGTTGATGAGGCAGACACCTAAACCACTATGCCACCACACTCAATTCTTATTGTAACCAAGAACAGACCAATATTTTCCAACTATAATACACCGAATTGTCACAGCTTGTTCAAGTCTACGGCACTTTGTATTACTAAATGTACTTAGGAATAAGAGAAAAAAATTAACAATTTGTATAAAATACCATTTTAATATAATTAATGGTGAAAATTCATTCATTTTTGGAAACAAATCTGATAACAGGATGTGTACCATGTATATAAGTGGATCATGTTAGGTATATAACACAGAAAAAGTTGAAATAGAAAGTTAGCTAGTCTAGAAGTCTTTTTCAACACTTTATCATAATACTTAAATAAATTTGTCCATAATGTGAAGAACTGTAAAACCATCAATAAATATATTGTTAAAGGGACTCCACTGAGGTTTTTTGACATGATGGGACTGAAAGTATTTTTTCCAAATAAATGCACTATTTGATGTAGGTTTACACCTCTAATTATTGTGCAAAATTTCACTTTGTTTTTCCAGAATAATTATTCAAATTGTAAAAAAAAAATGACCCAAAATTGAAAAGCGTTTAAATGCTTTCCAATCAAATCCGACTAAGAAAAGCATAAAAATATGATTTTCTATTTATTTCAAATTATATTTCTTAACTATATTTGCATATATTTCTGTTAAAAGTGCCGCAGCTCATTTATGTGAGAAATTCAAATATTATGTTTTTAGGCTTTTAAACCTCAGTGGAGTCCCTTTAATATTGAGTATCATATATCCATGATGGCAACAAAATATGAAAGAATTTTATACATATGCTGTTGGTAAGTTGGTAAGATTTTCATATCTGGTTGTACTTTTACACATCTTTCTTTCAACTTAGGAAAAATACCAAAGAAATAAGAAAATACTTGTTTCATCACAAGTACACTACATTTTTATTATTCTTCCAGTATAGTTTTATCAATTAATCAACAATTTTAACTTGCATATCAAACTATAAAGATTAATAGGAGATCATCTGTTACTGCAACTAGGGTGACAATATTAAACCAACATAGACATGATAAAACATAATCTAAAATTACTATACATACGAGTAGTTACATGTATTTGGCTTTAACATATTTATTTAAGCTCAATTGCGAAACAAGTAAACAAGTTCTTGCAACTTATATCAATCACTTCTGAGTCCCCTTCCTGGAACCAACCAGTACTGGTGTCTTATGAAGAAACATGGTTGTGACCTGATTAGGGCTGGAACCCATGGCCCAAAGGTTGAGAGGCAGATACCTTAACCACTAGGCCACCGCTCCCCATTTCTATTATGTGAGCTTGACCAGAAGCTAATGATATCCTAACTCTGACGTCTTGCATTTTGATTTTCTGTGTATAAACTGTCTTTTTTCAGTGGTATCAATAAAGATAAACCTTTATAATCATACTATCAATGAGTAATGATTGTGCTTAAACAATGGGGAATTTACATTTTCATTTTCCATCCAAGCTCTGTCCACTTTTTTTCTCAATGTTAAATAATTTCTCAAATGATAAGACTTAACATTATTCATTAATTATTTATTACGGCTTAAACAAAATTGTATAACAAGAACTGTCCGAGGACAGTATTGGCTTGACTATTCAAAAAATTGTCACAAGGGTGTTTTATTGAGTATAATAATGCTAATTACCTATGAATACATAAAATTGACCGAAAACGTACAAAGGCTAAGATATTTTAGGCACAAACTCTTCAGTAGTTATGGAGATAACAGCTTACAAGCTAAACTTTACCATGAATTTCTAAGTTGAAAAAGGGGAGAAAAATCAGCCTAAATGCAAGATAGAATTATGGATCTTGGTCAGTGACCTACAATTATGATTCTAAATGCATATGTGAAGTTTTAAATAAATATCTTTAATAGTTATTGAGATATGTTAAACTTGCATGTAACATTAACCAAGAGACTAAGTAGAAAAGGGGAGATGAATCAGCCGAAATGCGAGTAGTTATGGAACTTGGTCAGTGACATAAAATTATGACTCTCCAATTATGACCCTAAGTACATGTGTAAAGTTTCAAGTAAATATCTTTGAAGACCTTTAAGTTGGGCTTTAACCAAAATTTTTAGGTTTCAAAGGGGCAAATAATTCTGCAAATATTGCAGGCAGAGTTATGCAACTTTGCAAACTGATGAACATTGTTACTATAAAAAAGTATTGTAAATTTCAATTGAATATCTCAAGCAATAATTGAGATATTTGACTTTACAAAAAACTTTAACCAAAATTTCTAAGTTAAAAGGGGGCATAATTCTGTCAATATTGTAGGCAGAGTTATCCAACTTGTCAATCTTATGTACATTGTTACTATAAATAAGTATTGTAAGTTTCAATTGAATATCTCAAGCAATAATTGAGATATTTGAACTTACAAAAAACTTTAACCAACGCAGACGCCGGCACGGACGATGACGCCGGGGCGACTACAATAGCTCTCATATTCTTCGAATAGTCGAGCTAAAAATGTACCACATTTAATTCTGTAGCAGAATTCTTAAATGCGTTCAAGTTCTAGCAAAATCTCACGATGCATTTCTGCGACAATAATGGTCCTTTTCTGCTGTACAGATCCAGAGCAAATGAAGCCCCATAAGTCATGTCCAAAAGAAAACAACGAAACTTTCACAGCTCTGTTATTCCCATCCTGTGAATTCACTGTATTCACAAAACACAATATAAACATAGTCTATACTGACATCTATCTTGGCCCCTTCACATTATTTTGTTTTTGTTATTAGAAAAGATATAGTCATCTGTGGATGTATAGTATTTCATCATAATCCACCTTTAACCTCTGAGGCCCACAATTTGAATGTTCTATCAAATGATACTGTTGCAATATACTGGAGGTCAGGCGATATGTCAACTCCCATTACTTTTCCTTCGTGACCAGCTAAATTCTTGATAGGTGCACCAACTGGGTGTGCCCATACCTGAAAAAAAACTTGTACAAGTTAAGACAATAACATTATGATTCCTCGAAATCTTTAGCTTTAATTGGAATGCATTTAAAACATTTTTTCAGCATTGAAAAATAAAAGCATGGCTGTTAAAGATAATACAGATAATCAGAAAATGTATGCTGGCCAATTAAAAAATTTACTAGAAATAAAAAGGAAATAATTTTTTCTTGAACACAAACATATTGGCAGTGACATATTTACCAATACATCATTATAAATTCTACCATAGCATATACAACTTTACAAGGTTTTTGTTGTCGAAATTATAACATTTTTTCAACTGCATCACAAGAATATCTGAATTTAAATACGCTCTTAAACAAACAAGTATAGCCACTGAAGTTACCTTGGCTGTAGAATCATAAGATGCTGTTACAAGATATCTTCCATGATTTGCTGAAAAAGGAAATGAATAGAATACAGTAATAAATGCTTGAATAAACAGATTTCTGGAAAAATAAACATCATGAGTAAGTACGTGTAAGTAAATTTTATTAGAGTGACTCTTAATTAACTAATCAGTAGCTGTCAAATTTATCTAACGATTTTTTAACATAGTGAAAAACGGCCAGTATTGTAAAAGTGAACTTTACTTTAACAAGAGGGCCATGAAATCACTCACCTGTATATAGGCCCCTGATCCAAGACCAATTATAAACCAGGGGCTTTTATTTGAACAAATTTGGTAGACACCCATTAGAAGATGTTTCATGATAAATATCTAAGCTCTAGCTCTTTGGAGTTTTTATAAGAATTTTTTTTTAAAGTTTTTACTATATACATATAAGGAAAAACAATGACCCTCCCCCTCAGAGGGGCCAATTTTGAGGTTTTTAAAAGAAGATTTTTTAAGTTTTTACTATATACATAAAGGGAAAAACAATGACCCCTGAGGCGGGGCCAATTTTTATTTGAACAAACTTGGTAGACACCCTATAGAAGATGTTTCATGCTTAATATCTAAGCTCTAGCTAATTTGGTTTTTTAAAAGAGGATTTTTTAAAGTTTTTACTATATACATATAAGGAAAATCAATGACCTCCCCGGGGCGGGGCCAATTATGACCCAAGGGCATTTATTTGAACAAACTTGGTAGACACCCACTAGAGGATGTTTCATGCTCAATATCTAAGCTTTAGCTATTTGTTTTTGTTAAGAGAAGAGTTTTTTAAGTTTTTACTATATACAAATAAGGAAAATCAATGACCCCCTGGGCAGGGCCAATTTTGACCCCAGGGCATTTATTTGAACAAACTTGGTAGACACTGACTACATGATGTTTCATGCCAAATATTAAATATTTTTATGGTTTTCTAAAAGAAGATATTTTAAGTTTTTTCTTTCGGTTGCAATGGCAACCAGAGTTCTGCTTGGAATTAAATTCTTTGAACAATTTTTAAAGTTGACTACCAAAGGAACATTCCTATGAAGTTTGGATGAAATTGGCTTAGTCGTTTATGAGGAGATGTCGTTTAAGTAAAAGTTTATGGACCAAAGGACATCCGGCCGATTTGGAATAAGGGGCCATTTCTAATGCTATTTTCTATTGTTTAACAGAGGGCCAATGGCCCCTTACTCTATTGTTACGGAATGAACTCTATCGTTTTCTTTGTTCTGTTTACAATAAGATGGCCCTCTAACCCTATTCGGTAGTGCGGCCGGACGCCACACGAAAAGCGATCACAAAAGCTCACCATGTCACTTTGTGACAGGTGAGCTAAAAAATTGTTATATTCAGATAAATTTGACAGTTACTGCATGTACTGATTAGCTAAAAGGGTCTTTGTCCCAAAACCCAATGCCTACTCTCAAAGCAGGCTAAAGTAGCACAAAAGTATGATATTCAATTGATTTGTTTTTATTTCCCTTAATTTTCTTGTTGTATGTACCCCAGCATATCTTATGTAAGAAATTCAAATTTTATTTTTAGGCTTTTGGATCTCAGTGAAGTTCCTTTACTCAGATTATTGAAGCCTTTTAATTGTAAACATATCAAAGAAAGAATATTAGAACATACGTTGAAATTTAATTTTACTGATGAGATTTTTATGGGCTGGTATTGTATATACACATTTCCTCTGCCGAATATCCCAGATTTTGGCCGTATTATCCTCACTACCAGTGGCTATATGATACCTGTAAACCATAAAAGAAAAAACATTAATAAATCCTTATAAAGATGTGTCAGTTAAAAGGAGGATATTAAAGTGTTTTTTTTCCCTATAAATACAGGATTTTATTTTCATCAAGTGGTACGAAAATAAATATTTCATGAATAGCATTAAGGCAGGAGTGAAATAAGTTTATTTTCATAACACTCAAAGAAAATAAATCATGTATTTATAGAAAAATCTTGAATTTTCTGATTATTATATACATGTACATTTTTCTTTTTTTAAGTTATGATTAGACAGACTTTTCCTTTAATTTTGTGTAAAGTGGAAATAAGGAAAATATGTTTTACAGCAGTGAAATTTTTTTTTCTTTACAGTGAAAATATGGAAAACGGAAAAATGCATTTTATGTCATCAATATTTTTCAATATGTCATATATACATTTACAATAAATGAAAATCTTTTTTAAATATTTTCTGGTTTTATTTGCCTGACAAAGCTGCTATTTATTCTGCCCATGACATATACAAATACATGTATGCAAAACCTAAGCCGGAAACCTTTCTAATCTGAACTTTTCTTCTGGTCCAGATGAGTTCAGATTAGACCGGTTCCACTGTACTACAAGGTTGTGGAATTTGAATTTATGATAATAATAACAAAAATCATGAGACACACCAATGAATCTATCTATTTATTACATTAAGATGATAAACATATGTTTAAAACAGTGAAATTATCAATTTTATGTCACTGATATATTTCTATAAACCAGCGAAAAGCATGTAATAAAAACATATAATTATGTATGTATACTAAGTTATCATGAATCAACAGCCTATATTTTGATTGTCATGAAGTTAAATGTCAATACTGGATTTGTCAAGGTATTGTTCACACATACATGTGAATGCAGAGTAAACAAGAACTGGTTGAGCCGGGTGATGCTACCCGAATAGGTTTTAAACACAGGAAAGTATATCTCTTGTAGTTTTAGAGTTATGTCCCAAACAAAGTTCAAAGTGCAATAATTCCAAACGGACGGACAAAGCAGTGACTTTATGCTCACCCTATGGGGAGCAGAAACAAGAGCTGTCCGTAAGACAGCGCGCTCGACTTTTTTAGTGCTTGCCTATAATACAAAACATTGACAGTTAAGGGCCATAATTCAAATAAAATCTTTGACAGAATTACCTTCTCCTGGACATGTTTGGGAATCATGATTGTAAACAAGTATTCCAACTTTCAAATTAATATCTCAAACAGTTCAGTCAAAAAGTGGACTGGTACTAAAAACTTAACCAAGATTCTAAGTCGATAAAAGGCCTTAATTTTTAAAAACAAATCCTTGACAGAGTTACCTTTCTTTGCGTACAGATGGGGGTAATGATGTGAAATAGCATTAAAAGTTTCAAAAGCAATATCTCAAAGGGTTAAGGCAATAAGTGGATTTTACCCATATTCAATGTATTTTCTAAGTCAAAAAGGGGCATAATTCTGTCAAAAACCTTGACAGAGTTATGTCCTCTTGTCTGTTGATGAAGGTCGTGATGGTAAACAAGTATGGTCAGTTTCAAAGCAATACCTCCAATGGTTTTGAAATAAAGTGAGGTGGTACAAAAAACTTAACCAAGATTCTAAGTCGATAAAAAGGCCTTAATTTTTAAAACAAATCCTTGACAGAGTTACCTTCTCTTGCGTACAGATGGGGGTAATGATGTGAAATAGCATTAAAAGTTTCAAAAGCAATATCTCAAAGGGTTAAGGCAATAAGTGGATTTTACCCATATTCAATGTATTTTCTAAGTCAAAAAGGGGCATAATTCTGTCAAAAACCTTGACAGAGTTATGTCCTCTTGTCTGTTGATGAAGGTCGTGATGGTAAACAAGTATGGTCAGTTTCAAAGCAATACCTCCAATGGTTTTGAAATAAAGTGAGGTGGTACAAAAAACTTAACCAAGCTCAATACACTTTCTAAGTCAAAAAAGGGCCATAATTCTGTCAAAAACCTTGACAGAGTTATGTACTCTTGTCTGTAGATGGAGGTTATGATGGTGAACAAGTATGGTAAGTTTCAAAGCCATACTTGTAATACTTCTGAAATAAAGTGGGGTGGTACGAAAAAACTTAACCAAGGTGTGACGCCAACGCTAACGCCGACGCCGACGCCGGGGCGAGTAGGATAGCTCCCCTTTTCATAGAAAAGTCGAGCTAAAAACCAGTATTCCTCTTATATTCTCCAGTTTAATAAGTACGGTATTAAAAATTAGTAATACATTAAGAAGATAATTTACCCATCTGGTCCAAAATCCACAGCTAACACTGATTTAAGATGACCTTCTAAGAACATTATACATCTTCCAGTGCGAAGATCCCAAACTCTCCCATATGCATCTAAACCTCTGTGAAAAAAAATAAAACAGAATATTAATGACTTATAAATGTTGCATTACATGAACCCCACTCTCTTTTAACTTTTAAGAAGTGCTTAAGTAACATATTCTCAAAGTAATATTCTTTTTGTTATATTCACTAACATAAATGGATGGTTCAAATAATAAATTTGGTTTAAACTACTAGACATTGTTACAGTATGAAAATATTGGAAGTGGTGAGGGGGTTTAAGTCTTGCCAACGGTGTAATGGTCATATGGCGTCTTTTGCGCTTTACAGTGTCATGGTTAGCAAAAATGATAACCGTTTAATTGGCGACTTAATAACCATCTTGAATGTATAACCGACCATAGTAAAAGAATTTCCTGACTGAACTGTTTAAACAGATAAATGTGACACCCCTATATTAAACGAAACAAGTATACCCTGTTGCAGCTAAAGCACCGTCACACTGGAAGCATATATCATACACTGGTTTACTGTGTCCTTCTTGATGCAATATCTCATCCTGGGCCTCCAAATCCCACAACCGCCATGAGTTATCAAAACTATAATAAACAAGATATAACTTACTTCACCAGTGAGATATTTTCTATATTTACTCATTGACTTTAAGTAATATTTTTAGTGATAACTATTATATTAATATACAATCAGTTTCTTTCTTACGTCAATAACAAGATATAATTTAATTCACCAGTGAGATATTTTCTATATTAGTCATTGACATTAAGCGATATTTCTGGTGACAACTTTTACATTAATATATAATCTCTTTCTTTCTTAGGTCAATAAAAAAATTATGATTTTGTTATAGAACAGTTAATTTCTACTTTCTATTAAGTTTAACATCAATTTATTTATTTATTTTGGCACCAGGCTACCTTATGCATAAATAGTCTGACCATGCAATACTTTTTGTGGCACAATTTTTGTTTAATACTTCTCAAAAGCATTTTATCTTTTGGTGTTCTTCAATAGTTTGCAAAAAGTTATTCATTGGCCAAATACTTGAACCATCTTTTGCTTCTGTTGTCTTTTGGTAATAGGTAGAGTAACAGTGATTCAGTATTTTATATGGAAGTCAAAATACTACTTTGTTTATATTTTGCTTCCTTTACGACACATTACTGCATGTTCAGCACTACTTTCTTCATGTGATAAGCATCTGACATGCTTTAAAATCAGTATTTTCACGTTTTAAAACACTTATGTTTGCCCTTTCTAAAGAAGGAAAAAAATATTTGATTCTAAGGCATAATGTGCCTTTAAAGAACATTTTTTACAGAATGTAACAACTCACCAGCATGTAGCTAGAAATCTACCAGAAGGATGATAAGCTAATCTTGACACCCTGTAAGGTGCATGACCTTCTATATCTGCTACTGGCTCATCTCTAGAACAAATCAATTCATTTACTGTTTATGTGAATGCTTATACTGTTTACAAAACAAAAATATGTTCACAATAACTGTTCACAGTAATACTTTATAAGACAAAAGAAAATGTGTAAGCATAATATAAAATATCATTTAAAATGTAAAAATATTCAAACTGTTTCACATACAAAGTTACAAAGCCTTTTTTAAATGGTTCTTTCAGAATGTCTATTAACTTTATTTTCAGACAAGATATATATATATATATATTTTATGTGAGTCATGTGGTGAGTTTACAGCTATGGAAAATAAACACAAAATGAAATAAGATCTCTTCCCAACAACTATGATTTACTTCCCCTTCTGAAATCAAAATTACAACCCCTGAGGTATACATCCTGTATATTTGATCTTAACAACTCAGCTTTGGAATGGATGCCTACTGCAGAACAAGTAACTAAAAATATACATCCAGGTATCATGCATGTTTATAACTATTCACAGTCAATTTAAAATTGAAAGCTAACTTCATTATTAAAAAAAACAACAACATCAAACAAATGATAACTATAAATGTGTCCATAGGACACAGATGCCCCCACACGCCACTGTTCTGTCTGTCAATCTTATGACTATAGGTCTAATATTTTTTGGACTACATGTGCCACAAGTTGAAAACTAAAAATCAACAAAGGGCCATAATTCTGTTAAATTTGGTCACAGCAAAAATTCCTTCCTTTACTACCATCTATACAGTAAGGTTTTTCATCCCTGGAAGTTTAAGCAAAATCTGCCATCCCGTTTAAGAGGAGTTGCATTCACAAAATTTCTACATAGTATATATTGAAAAAATCAACAAAGGGCCATAATTCTGTTAAATTTGGTCGCAGCGAAATTTCCTTCCTTTAATACCATCTACACATTAAGGTTGTTCATCCCTGGAAGTTTAAGCAAAATCTGCCATCCGGTTTAAGAGGAGTTGCGTTCACAAAATTTCTACATAGTATATGGTGAAAAAAATCAACAAAGGGCCATAATTCTGTTAAATTTGGTTGCAGCGAAAATTCCTTCCTTTACTACCATCTACACATTCAGGTTGTTCATCCCTGGACGTTTAAGCAAAATCTGCCATCCAGTTTAAGAGGAGTTACGTTCACAAAATTTCTACATAGTATATAGTTAAAAAATCAACAAAGGGCCATAATAAGTGCAACGCTATATGCTCCCACTATGTGGGGGCATAAAAACAATGTACTAACCCAACAAGGTTCCAAAGTTTGACAGCCCCATCTTGACTACATGACGCCATACAACAGGCTGTGTTATCAAGATCTATTGTAGCTCGCGGATGAAACACTATGGCACCTACATTACAGTTGTGACCTGTAACATATAATTCTTAAGTAAAACATAATGCTTTCTAAATCTTTTCACATATCAATTATGCTTTCAAAGTTTTTTCACATATTAAAATATTGTTGTTGCTGGGCAAAGGAGGAAATCATTTTGCTGTGATGCTAAGCATAGCTGTAAAAAAAAAATCAACAGATATTATAGCATTGCTTTTTTGTGTGTAAAATTAAGTGAGCTGAAAAAATCAAACCACATAATTTTTTTTTCAAAAGGTAGCCTAGGTAAGTATGGAAGGTATTAATTATTTCAGGATTCAATGATTAAAGGGTTGTGTTAACTGTACTAACCTCTAAGAGTTCTAATCTCTTGACAGTCTGGCACTGACCACAGCTTACATAACCCTGACCTGTTATAGAAAGTTCATACAAACTTATAACCATGTAATAATAATCAAATTATAAACAACCTGTTCATTCAAAAATGATACTGCTAAGGTAATAAAACTACTAGAATTTTCCAAGTTTTTCCTGGATAACTATCTCCCTGCATTATTTCAGAAAAAAAGTTGGAATCCAGGTAGAATCAATAACCTTTCACAAGCTTGTTATGGGTAAAAATACTCCAAATTTGAAAAGAAAATCAACCTGTTTGAAATTTTTGCCCCTTTACTCATGGATTTTGAGCCTTAAATGGGTCCCATTCATGTTTTCTCATATGTTGCCTGTGTAAGTTAGTCTCGCTTGTGAACTTTAAAAGATCAAAATCGGTTCAACAATCTAACTTAAGATTTATATATCTATACTTAATAAAATCTATCACTACACTGGTTTTCTAATTAACCATCATGATTTAAAACATCAACTGATTTATCATCTATGTAGCATTCACTGCCATAAAACGATACTTAATGCAGCTTTAATACACTTAAACAAAATCAATGCAAATATATTCCAAAAGATGCATATTCAAAAAGGGGAATGTTGTACTACTGACTAAAGTGTCTGCTTCACAACCAAGGGTTACAAGGGTTTGAGCTGAACTGGGGTCATGACCTTGTATCCTCCAATGACACCAGTACTGGTAACTAGTATCTTAAAGGACCAGAGAAAAAATCTTAAAAGAATTGCACTTGAAAGTGGTTGAAATTAGCTTAAAGTTGTCTTCACAATCAATATTGAATAAAAACAATAATTATTATAATGTTTAACTTATAAAAAATCACTTACCATGAAGCTGTTGCTATCATTTTACCATTTGGACTAAACTGACAATGAGACAGGGGCCGGGTATCTCCTATTTGACTACATTCATTTGTCACAGACTGAAAAATATAAAATATATTATTGTTACAAATGTATTTTATTGTTAAAGTCTTTTTTCTGAGACTACACAGCTTACATGATCAGTGCACATGGAATACTGTATTAATTTTATATGGTTTTGAGTAATGTTAGGAAAACGTCTCGACAATATATTCAGCATTTAAATAACATGTGTTTATGTTTAAAGTAAATTGTAAATCAGTAATTGGAGTGAAATTATAGTTCTGCAGTCTTCAGAACATATTACAGTACACATTATCAGATTTTATTTGTTTTTTAACACTTGTCGATATGACAAAGTAAAATTGTCAATATCTATAAAAATGTTTTCATCCTAACTTAACCAGAGACAATTGCCACTGCATATTTGTTAGCTTTTTTTGTTGTTGTTGTTTTTGATTGGGTTTTAGTATAGGTCAGTATAAGTCATATGGTGAATTTCCAGCTTTACTGTTTACTTGTATTATTTAAGGCACAAACCCGAGTAGAACCACCAATGTTTCGTAATCCGTTTTCTCAATCTAAATGCCTAGAAGGGATTCACACCCACAACAGTGAGGGGCAATTTGTTTGAAATCAAAGACCTTAACCATTCAGCAATGGACGCCACTGATATAGCTTTTCGAACAGAAAGAATAATTTTATAAAGATAAATGAAATATTGTGCTTACCCTCATTCTTTTTTGTATATCCTGAGAGAAAACAGATTTCTGAGCAGCAAAATGGGATTCTTGCTTCTCTTTGTGTATCCTTGCCTTAGCTCTGAAAGGCAAACAGTATTGATATTAAAGGAACTCCACTGAAGTGCAAAAGTCTAAAAACATAACTTTTGAATTACTTAAATTGATCAGCTGGGTCACTTATAACAGAAAGATTTGCAAAAATTATTAATAAATATGCCAGGAAATATATTGAAATTCGTATTTTTGAGCTATTCTTAGTCAAATTTAAGTGAAAAGTGTTGCAACTCCTCAATTTCAGGTCATTTTTCACAATTAGAATTATCATAATTCTGGAAAAACACACTTAACAAATGATCTAATATTTTGCACACAAGTTATTGGTCTACTAGACCTTCATCGAATGTAACATGACTCTTGAAAAATTATTTCCAGTCCTGTCATGTCCAAAAACAAAACTCTGTGGAGTCCCTTTAATGCTTCATGTTAAGATCAAGAATATTTACACCTTGGAAAAGGGAAGTGAATACCTGAAACTAGTAGGTTTTTAATAAAATTATAAACTTGTTCCGGCGTTGTCGTGTGCTCCTCTCATACTATTTATTGTTGTTATCTAAAATTATTAACAGTTAAATCAGTACTGAAACATTGCATCAATAGTTTGGATCTTGATTGGTCATTTTGAACTTGTGCCATGGCTCCAAATGAGTAAAATAAATCTTTAAATTAAAAAGAAAAAAAGTACATCAATAGAATATTCACTTTTCATATGAAACTTTGATTTTTTTATGTAAAATATGCCAGAATTTACCATTTTAATAGAGAAGTAAACGAATTTCTGCATTTTTTTTCCGGACAAATTATAGGTAATTCCTGAGTAAGACTGTCTCTTTGGCTAGATTTAAAAACTTTCTTTGTACATTTGAAATCATCACTACCCATAAGCACAAATGTTAAAGGTCCATTGTGCCTCAAAAATGGTTTTCTTTCTATTTCACAAAAGCTTATTTAATTTTGGGGTACTTTCATAGTATCCAAAATGTTCCTAATTAGCCAATACATTACCCAAAGCAACTTATCGTGGGTGCATAATAATATAATTGTTATAACCAAACTAAATTCAAGTCATTTATATTACAAAAAGGTGTGTAATATATTAACTTTTGTCCCTATACATTATCACTGCTTAAAACGTTGAACAAACCTTGGTATAGAATATTCAGCTATCCACAGTCTTGCATCCTTCAATGATTCATTTCCTTCATGATACCAGGTTATGTTTTCCTGAAAGTACAATTATAAATTATAATTTTTATAAAATGAGGATACTAAATGAGTGTAGATTTAATACTTAAATTTATTGGATATAATTCATATCACTTGAAGGAATTGGTTATGAATAAACATATCAACTACAATATGACAACAAAATTTTAATACAAACAGGCAGTGGGAAAAACCAGTGTCCTTTGGTATGCTACAAAAACAACTTCCTCACATGAAAGATTACAATGTTCATGGTGGGCTTCAATACCAACAGCTGAAAAATGGCTGGAGGGTTGTCATTAAATGTTTTCTGAGACGGTCCATTTGGAATTTGAGGTGGTCACATACAACAAAGACTTTTATCAAAGTTTGAAGGCAGTCCAAAATGCATTTGATACAGTCATTTGCCCTATAGCCACGAGCCATGTCCTAATGACAACTCAGTAAGAGCCTAGACTTTAACCACTGTGTTATAGAAGATTCTTATAAATACCTCTTCTCTTTTCTTTTTGTTGATTTCCTCCTCGACTTTTTGTTTTCTAAGAGTGTCTTCACCTCTTGCAGCTATAACTTGCCGCAGTCGCTCTCGTCGGTCAGCAGGACCCTCCCCAAATAAACCTTCAAATCATAAATTATTTCAATTATTATTACAGTAAACCAAACAATTATTTTTTAGTGGGACAAAATATAGTCATATAGTACAGTAACTTTGTCACAATTCAATCACATCTTATAGCTACTGATTTGGACTTTACAATAGGCAAAGGTTTAGCTAAATACCTTACTTAAGAAAAATATTGTATACATAAAAGTTATAATCAGTTGAGGTCATCCATTTCACTTTCCCTATAAATGTTTATCAACAAAGACCAAGGTTTCAAAGCTCCAAACATGCACTTTGAAATCTGCCCTGAATGTACTTTGATTGTAAGAAATATTTTCATATCCTCAGTCTAAATTGAGAAATACAATGTACTAATATAATTTAATTTCACAAATCACTCCTTGTAGAAATTTACTATATTATTCTAGTAAGAAATCTCATGTGTAAAATATAGCAAGTTCTCAAGGTAGAAACTTACAAATTGGTTCACCAAGCTGTCTTAGATGTGCTTTCACTTCAGAGTCATCTGTAGAGACTTGAATCTTTTTTGCCTGAATAAAATTTGAATTCATAATTATTCCTTATCGTTCCTGAACATATTGTAAAATGGTAAGCTTTTGCTTTAAATGTGTGTATGCTAGGATTACATACAGCAAAATAAAAACAATACAATAGAATTTATTTGAAGGGACTCACTCCACTGAGATTTTTTTACATAAAGGGACTGGAAATATTTTTTTTTTTTTTTCTAGTTTTTTTTATACCATTTGAGGAAAATTTATACAATAAATCCTTTTATTAAGACAATTATCTGGACTTGACCAAACTGGTCTTAATTAAGAACAGTCCAAAGTTTGAGGGATTTCAATATACAGACTTGAACTAGCAACATTAGAGCCTGGTATGACTGCACTGGTATAAATGTTTGTGTGCACCTCTATATTGGTGGTAAATGTTCATCTAGTTTAACAAAGAAATCACTTTTTATATTTAGATTAACCTATGATAATACGACGTTATCAAAGAGAATACATGTAAAGGTACTAAAAATATGTTATATACAATTTTGGTATTTACAGAAGTAAAAGCACAAACAATTGGGTCATGGTGATTCTGAAAAAAATTTATTCATATTATTCAATGGAAACAAACAGAAAAGTGTTTTTAATATATCAAAAAAGAGTTGCATTGAAGAAATACAGTGTGAATTAAATTTAAACTTGAAGGCTATGATTATAAAACAGCAAAAAATACCTTTTTTCTTTTTTCAAAATCTGCTAGAAGTTCAGCTTGACTTTGTTCATACTCTTTTTCAAGGTCCAAAGTAGCTCCTAAAATGACATTTTGCATAATTATGGCAAACAGAAAATATATAAAGTGTAAAATATCACTTGTTTACAATCTGAAGTGGGAAATTAAAAAAACCCATGAAAGCAAAGACATTGCATGTTGATATACAACACTACTTTGTAGAATTTACAAAATGGTTAATTCTTAACTTTATCATGAACAGCCATTCCTTGTGTATGCATCCCGCATTTTTTAAAATTTTCTTGCCACTCTAAAACTATTTAGGTTATTCAGCAGCACAAAAAAGTAAGTTAAGACATATCAAAGGAATACCTTGTATATTGTAATACTAACTACCTTTTGAGATATTAATGTTGCCAGAAGCTATTCCAATTTTAATGGCTTCGCTTGCAAGAGACCCTTCCATACCACCACCTCCAGCCAATCGTTGTTTTTCTTTCTGTTCCAAGCTGCCATATTGTAATATCTTTTGTCTCTTGGCAATGAATTGGGTTTCACTCTCTTCATCTGAATCTAAAAATACATACCATACAGATATGTTTAGAAAGAATCTGTTCAGTGTGCACTGTTTCACACCCTAAATAATATTTATGTGAATATACTTATGATACTAATGACAGTGATGCTATCTGAAGACAATGAAAATATAATATAAATTTCACAAAAAAATATTTATCTTCATTTACCTCATACAAATTTTGATTGTGAAATAACTTGTTTTACCATTCAGATATAAAGTCTGACATATATTGTCACAGTCTAGGACCAGTGGTGGATTCAGGCCCGGGCTTCAGGGCTGCAGCCCCACAGGTCGGCCCAAAGATACGTTTACCAGCTGGGCTGGAATATATTTTTGTCAGTTTCAAACTTTATTGGCTGTAGTGTACTCCCTTATCAAAACATTAATTGCTGTCATCCAGTTGTTAATCTCCTGCCTGGGGGCTTGGCAGAGATCTTTATCTATCAACATGCTTGAATGACTTCAATGTTTAAACTGCATAATTGATTGGTTTATTACTATCCAAAGGTCTAATGAAATTAATAGTCACAGATAGTGGCAAATATAGATGTGTAACATTGTACACCATAGTTCACTATCTTTGTTTTTTCCATTTCCTTTGTGTATAAGCCCTATAATTAAGAAATTGAAAATTATTATTTGTAAATTTAAAAGATGGCAAGTTTTATAAAGATAATATTTAAGGAATCACGTTTTAATAACTAGTTTTACTAAGATTTTTATTAAGATGAAATAATTGGTCATTAGCTTTTAATAACTTTTTATGGCAGTCAGATATTTTTAAATTAAATTTAAATTGTACTGACCTGTTTAGTATCTAAAATGGATTCATTGATGGAAAAAATTCTTATTGAATACTAGTGTTTGAAATTTGTTTGAATTTTTTTTTTTGTACATTAGGAAGGCAGTATTTTAATATCTCTTTACTTTGGAAAATGTCTATTATTTAGATGAGTAAATTGATCAAGTGTTTGAACTTATTTTTTAAAACAGTTGTGCATACATTGGTAAGTGTGCTGTTATTTTGTAAATGCTCACTTCTCAAAAATAAAACACTAGGGGAATTCTTTTTGAAAGACTCTACAAACACTAACCTATACAAAATACAGTGTTTTGTAAAACCATCCAAAATTAAAGGTACCATAAACAGAACTAGAAATCAAGGAAATAACACCATTTTCAACCTATATTTTTCAAATTTTTCTCGGTCTATGGGAGGGCCCACCCCAGTTACATATATTCTTATTAATTCCATATCATCTAAATATTTACAAGAAAACATTAGTTTACTCATATATAAGAGAAAAGTACATTGCCACTCATAAGATGAGCTATAAAACACATCAATTACAATTTTTGTCACATGAACAATCTTCAAATTCGCCTGTTGCATTATGTTTGTCTGTATCCGCCCCTGAGGACAGTAACTTTTCACCCCTTTCCCTGATTGGAAACATGAAGGCCTTACTTGCTTAATTATTTAAGTGAAACCATGCATAATAGCGAGTTCGAAGAGCTGGCGCGAAGTAAACTGAGTACCTGCTAGATAGTGATGGTTTTGAAAAGTTTTGTCCGAAGTACCGAATTGACACACATCTTTTTGAATTACAAGACAACGATAAAAGCCGAGGTATTCTGATTGAAAACGGAAGCCTAGACTGGTGTCCTGCGCACTTATATGGGAACCATAATAGAAAGGGGGAACCAGAATAAACGGAAGCAGTGTATAAAATACAGATTGACAATTTTAAAACGGAAAATGTAATATAAAATGAACGATTATTTTATACTTTTTCACGGTAAAAGAAAATCGAGCTCGATTTGAGGCTTTGGCTTTTTAATATTATAGATTTCCTACTCAAAAGGCCTTGTGTTTTAGTTGTGTGCAATCCTAGATTAACATACTCGGCTCTTTCTTTTAATTTGTAACATTTATCTTCCCTATTCTAAACAATTGCACATGACTAGCCACAACCACAAAAATTTGATGCAAACCATAATGTTATGATAAAATAACTTAAATATCATGTTCGACTGAAAATATTTGAGACAGATTATCAGGAATATTTCTTAATCGCGAAATTATGTTACAAACGGTGTTTTTTCAGAATCATATGAGCAATGAAGGATATGTGTTCATCACTATGCTTTGAATGTTTGCAAGATATTACAATAAAACCTACCCATTGTTAATATGCTTAATTTAACATTAAATTAAAACGATAATTTCAAAATTCAAAATTTAATAAAGCGTAACATGGGCGCCGCCATTTTGTTATAGGTATGACTACACTATTGATTTTCCATTTGAGAAACGGCGCAAAATGTTTATCTCAGTATCTCAGTATTATTGTTTATTGTGCAAAAGAAATATTTTAAAGCATTGATCAGAAATTACTTTGTGCTTATTTGAATGAATTCCCGCACCTTTAAAGCATTTTCCCTTCTTAATTTATAAGAAAATTGATAAAAAAAATTCCCAAGTAACTATCGTATCGATTTATTCAGGGAATAGACATATACACATACAATTTTATCATAGATATCAACTTGCATATATATAAAAACACACACATAAATGCAACAAAAATAATTATAAGATTAATTAATGAGTATGTTCTATGTAACCCTAGGATAGCCCATTAAGCTAAAAGCTTATTTCCAATGGGGTCCATTTTCCGTAAAATTATTACACTAACTTACATAATAAAAATTAGTTATAAAGAAGTTAAAATAAATGACAATTTTCAACAATCAAGACACATTTTTCAATATAATAAGACAAGTACACAAACAAAATGAAATAAATTTCGTTTAAACTAAAACACATCAAGTACACATAAACATGTTACAAAACCTTATCATAAGTTACACATCTACTTAATAATAAATAAACAAATTGTTCACTTGTTTATCAGTTTCATTACTTAAAAAAAAGTTTTACTTTCGTTTTAAATGTTTGGATATTGTCAATTGATCTAATGTTGTCTGGTAAAGAATTCCAGTCTTTTATGGCATTGTAGAAAAATGTATTTTTAACATAAGAATAGGAATGATTGATTTTATCACGGATTTATATTACATCCGTGATTTTATGAAAGCCTTTGATATATGGTAATTTGAGATAAGCTTTTGAAAGTTTATTTATTTATTTTACAGTTTTTGTAACTATTATAATAGTTTTATTTATCATTTCATTTTATTTCTTAAATGCGTTTGATTTCTTCAAAATTTGTTACTTACACGATTAAATTCAAATGCAATAAATAACTCATGATCCAGATGTCGTGGAATTATATTATAAGTATCATGTATCTTAATCCCTTGCTGTGTTTTGCATGATTGATACAAATGTGCAATACAAATTAAACCCTTTGTCTAGGCTAAAATACCAAACAGATTTTGACACTTGTGCAGAAAAATTATCAAAATTTGTAATTTTTTATATTAATTTTTGTTCGTTTATTCAAACTATTCCATTTGAATTGTATCTAGATCAATGAGATACGTTTGTGTCAATGAGATATGTAATGGTCCAGAATATTCAAATGATATTTTTTATTTCTTTTATCAATATTTGAAATATTTATAAGACTTTTGCCCAATGTAGACCAATTCACTTAAAAAAATATTTGTTTTTGTACTTTTAATTGTTGATTAATTATAAATGGTTAGATTATACACCCTAAAATTGTCATACCGAAAGCTTTATCCATGGCCAATTTCCCACAAACCTTAATTTTTGAGTGAATACAATCAAGGCAGTTGTTACATTGCTACATTTTTTCACTGAATTATAAGGTTTTCAGTTTTAACAGAAAAACATTGTAGGTGTAAATCAGAAAAAGAGCATTACTTGAAAGTTGAAACTTACTTAGAATTGTAATGTTTGAAGTGAATAGGTTTAGTAGCCCTGTACATACAATCAGGGATGTTATATTTCCGTTGTGTTTGTGGTATTTTAGTTCTGTCTATATTGGGCTTTTTCTACTTGGGTGGTTCCAGTATTCCTTACTCGAATACTATATATAATCACTCTTAGTATATGTGACCTGCTTTTTAAATCGGTCTTTTGACAGCTTATCTGTGATATGCAGGCTACATAACATCTGATCCCCTTTCCAAATTCAGTTTTGTTTAGTTCCGCCTATAATTGTTCTCGCGTTTGGTGCACAAGCATTTTTTACTTGGGGACCATACGCCGTTTTTTATGAAATGGCACTAACGGGTCACATTCAAGGTTCCATGATCACCGCCGTATGAACACATCTGCTCAAAACCATACCATTACATGTTTAAATGTTGAATACTGTTTAAGCCGCTGCTAGGGGGCGTGGACAGTAGTTTGCATTTTCCAGTACTTGTCAAATTTGTCATTTTGTAAGTTCTTTATGGATTCTATTTCTCTCTATTTTAGTAGCCTTAGGTTTTTAACAAAATAAATTGATGATTTTTATCAAAAGTTTCTTTGGGCCAAAATCTATGTCTACATTTATTTTGTATCTTTAAGTCTGCGAAGTAGATGCTGGCATTTTTACGTATAACTTATTTTCAAAACTGATTCCTATTCCTGAAATAAAATTAGTTCAACTATTTAAACATCCACTTCTTGTTCCAACCTAGTTTCTATTTTTTGTTTGTTTTGTTTTTATATTGATTATCTCTTAAAATACTGTCACAGTAAAAGTTGGTTGTTGCTAAAGTCTAAATGTTGTCCCTACTACTTGATTTAAGTACAGAACTTAAAAGGAATTTGTGGTGACAGGCTATTTCTCAGAGATTTTTGGATTGATTTATATTTCGGTTGCTCGTATCAGTAAAATATGATAAAGTTTAATGTTGATCTACACTCGACAACCTATGTTTTAAATACGTCATATCATTTTATAACATATACAAATAAAATACAGATAAAAATGTTTTTTACAATGTTGTAATAATCTACAGTTAACTGATGTAACTTTTTATTTCATCTACATGACATTGATGTCATTTTAGTGAATTCCCGAATTACCTGTATATCAAATTATTTTCAAATCTTGGATTTCCCATACGTAAAAATTACCGATTACCGAATTGCTGGACAATTTCCAAAATACCATATACGATTGTCTGTTTACAAGTAATTTATTTGTGGGGATTGGGGGGGGGGGGGAGCGGGATGATACTGTTGTTTTTTTCTTGAAAGACAGCGGAAAGAGTTGAAGGATAAATATTGCTTTGAAATAAGAAACATTGAAGAATTTGAACGCCTTCTTTTCTTATAGTATAATATAGTATACAACAATATAGATATCATAATACAATACAATGTTCTGTAAACAAAATCAATCGATGACGATTAAACTTATATGAAAATAGAATGGCAGTTTTAAACAAAAGGTATACTGTTATTTTGGTTAGGAATTCATATATAAATGTTAGATATGCTTCACGTGTACATGAAAAACAGAATGTAAGTGCGTGCACCATCTACGTGTATTTTTGATGTTGTTATGTTTAAAAAATAGAAAATGAAATAACGCTAATTTTGTTTGACATTAGCTTTATCAATGCCATTGTTTTATTATCAGATATAAAAGAACCATCACATGCCCGTTTATTAACAATACAAATTTATAATTATATATTTTGTTTACCTACCTAATGATGAGTTGGTATCTATAAATATATAATTAAGATATCATATAAAACCAAGGACAATATCATCGCTTTTTAATAATAATAACAACAGCATCTATGAAAATTGTTAAATATTGTTAAGAAACTATAATTACAAAATTGTGGAAACGTGATTACGAACTCTAGGATAATAAAAGGAAAAATGGAGTTTTCAAGTTCTGATGATAATAATGGTGACTACTGTGCAATATGCTTTGAAAACTACACGAAAGCCGAGATATTACCATGTAAACACAGATTCTGTAAGGATCCATGCTTTACAAACTTGCTGAAAAGGTATACATTTAACCAATCATAACTAAACCATATCAAAGCTTATCACAATAGTATTGATACTATTATTTGAAATCAGATTTATTATGAAATGAATTACTTTTTTTAGATTTTAGCAACATTCCACTGTATTGTTCAAAAATCTTAACATTTCTTGTTTGATGAATGATAAATGTCACTAACAGATGCTCGGAGAATGCATATTAATTGTTCATATGTACATTCTAAAGAAGTTATCGAAATGTATTAACATTCATATTACATAGATTAGTTTGGTCTTTGTTCAGTTAAAAAATATAATGTCTTTGACAATAATGTGTATATGTCAGGTCGCAAGGAGATATATTGAGATGCCCTTTATGTCGACAAAGTTATAAAATTGAGTCGAGGAGCCTGATTAACAAAACAGGGATATTGCGCGTGCATGAGAGTGTTGCTCATCTTGAGGAAACTATAGTGACTATTTCACAGATGGTCCAAGATAAAAATGAATCATGTTCATCAAAATACAAGTAAACAACTTCATTACTTTTAACACCTTCCTATTGCTTATGCTAAAATAAGTGCGTCATCTATTTTTCACTGTCCAGCTATTTATAAAGATGTTACAATATTTACCTTTGGCATTATCTATTATAGAATTATCAATATTTTAAAATCAAAATTGAAAAATATAAGTCACAAAAAATGGCTTATTATTCACTAATTAAAAAAATGCGTACGCAAAAGAATAGTAAAATAATGATTTAATTTAATGCTTATTTAATCAAATTTAAGCAATACCAAAATCTTATAAATAAAACATTTTCAAAAATGTCAATTCTAGATCAAAAGGCGAGTCCAGGCTCAAGTTTTCTTTAAGTTCCATTAAAGGTAAAGGTTACAAATAATTATTTTGTTCGTCTTTAGATCCGATGCTTCGATACAGTTGATATGTATATTTTACATTGTGAACATAGCTATAGTAGTAGATGGTTTTCTGATCATAAGACTTTCTGCAGTTTTATATCATATATCTTTTAAAAGAAATGTTCATTATTCCTAAAAATGTCACTTTATTGAATGCAGAAATTGAAAAGTTATTAATAATATTTATTTATTTATTTATTTGTTTATTTATTTATTTATTTATTTATGTATTCATTTATCTAATATAATAGATTTAATATAAAAGATAATAATTAATACATCGAGACATTCGAACAATCACTTTTACACATTTATACAAAAATACATAATGTTAAACTGTAGTAAAACTGTTTTATTTCCAGAAAGTGACTGTTTTAGATGCCTTGTCAACTTGTCCGTTATAGGTAAGATAAAAAATCTTTGTTATTTGTCTGATAAGTATGAGTTTGAATTTATTTCATTTATTCCTCATGACTTATCGCCCCATGAAGGCAATATTATCATTAATACATTTATCATTCATATCTAGCATAATATAAGTGCATAATACAGCGAACGAATATAAACATTACTGTTTACATTTTACATGTATTTTTACATGCGTCTGATGCTTACATTGAACTACTTAACCGAGCCTTCAAATGCACCAGATTTTTCCGTTGTATTTCTTTTCTTGTTGTTGTTTTTGGTTAAAATTATTAAAATATTTGTATAATTAGTATGAATCATTCACTTTTAAATCTATCACTTCCTGGTTTACATTTAAAGATGTATACACTATTGCCATGCTTTGTTTTGCAAAATATAAACTTTGTATGTTATGTATAATATTTGTGATACATTTATCGTGATTAGATATAAGTTGTTTTTTTTTGCCAAAAATAGATATCGAAAATCATATTATATTAGTATTTCAAGTAAACAAACAATAGTGCATTTTAAAGGTTTCTCTTTCATAATAATTATTGTAGTTGTAATTAAACAATGAATAATGAAGCATTTTGTGAAGGCGCTGCATTGTATATCTAATGTCTTTGTCAAGTTATTTAGCACATAGTCTTTTTTCTCTCTTTTCTTGTGAGAAGATTCTTGATGCTAAATGTTCATCCTAATGTTTTAAAAATCCAAGAAAAATATAATTTAGAAATAAATGTGTATATTTTACTTTTGTTGATTAACTCATTTTAGTCATAAATACACGAGTATACATCTTCAAACAATCAATCATATACTATTTACATATGCTATGTCATTGTAATCAATCAATTTGAAACTTGTGACTATTGTTACAAAACAGCTATATCATTAATAAAAAAACTTGAATCCAATGATTAATACAATAAAAATGTAATTTACATGTGCGAATGTTATTTTAATTGAATTGTATTGAATTTGGTTTGATATTTTTTCAGTTTTGTTCATTCATTGTTTGTTTGTTGGCTTAGGAAGGATCACTGCAGGTATAGTGAAAATAAATGACAACACAACATACTATTTACAAATAAGTATATGTATTCAACAGCTTATGTGTTATGTTGTGTTTAAATAAAATAAGTTAAAAAGGGTTTAAGCAATATCATTGAAACATGGACAATAAAGACTGGAAAATAAAGAAGTTTTACGTCTTAAATTATAATACATGTAATTCGTTGTTTCCGATTAACAAAAAAGTCAGTAATTTGAAGAATCCTATTTGGTATGATAATGAATTAAGAACTAAGGTAATAAAAAGACCATTAGGTGTGTACATTAAGGGTTAAGCCTTATTTCTACATTGAGCTCTATACCTGTTAATTACTATTTTAATATTTATGACTTACCTGATCTTATATTGACAGTTTTTTTAAACTTTAAATGAACAATATTGTGTTATTCTTTAATTTATTATAACAGGATTTTATCAAATCGAAAAAACTTCCCAATTAGAAGATGTCCTTGTCAGTGTTGCTATATTTCAAATTGCTGAAGGATTTCTTAATAGCATTATCATCACAACACTCTTGCTTGGAAACAATGTACGACGGAAATGTTTTCCTGTGTTGGTATTAGTTTCCGTCATTTGTCTGACGTACGGTGAGTATTTGTTATATATTTTCACGCTGTCTGAAATTGTATATATGTAAAGGTATAAGTGTATAAAACATTTTAGTTAAAGGTTACATGTGTCTGATATTAGTAACACGGTCTTCAATTAGTAGTACATACAGTATGAACAACTTCATAATAATTGTATTTCTGAGATGCTTTTGAATAGTGTTTAACGTATTTCAGGCTCTACGACACTATGGACTGTTAGCAGCAACAACATATTTGTATTGGTGTCCAGATATTATTCAGTATTTGATTGGGTTATGATCGTGTATCAAATCGTATTTGGATATTATATGATTGATTGATGCTGATTATGACAGTGCTACATGATACCACAAATGAACAATGAGCGGTCATGCCAGGAAACAGAAAGTAATATAGGAAAAGTCAACAAGTTCCAAAATGACTGTTGCAATACCGATGACAGTGGCTGAATAAAGAACTGTTTAGGTTGTTAAATTATATGCATGAAATCAACTCATTTATCATGATCTAAGAAACTAAGAAAAGCAAAATAAACGAATACTTTAAAATCATGTGTTGTGTATCAGTTTATTGTGCTAAGATAGTTACAAGAGATGTTTAATACTTTACCATTTAAGTAATTTTTCGTAATTAAGCTTAATTAACTGATATCTGTTGTTGTTCCAAAACTTTTATACATGTCTAATTTAGCGTTCATTTGTATTGCCAAAGTATGTCAGTTATTCAATTATGTAAGTTTGTGAAAGATGTAATGCCCGATTTTCATTTTTATCAGCTTTGAGAATGCATTTAAAACACTGTGTGTATTTAAACTTTGTTGTCAAAAATGATTATTATTTTTCATGTCTATGTACAGTAAAATAAAAAAAATGAAATGTATTCTAACGATTACATCAAGCATTGTACGAGGGATGATCAAAAATAAACCGGACTGTGACTGTCAATTGAAGAATTTTCAACCTATCACTTATTGTTATATATCACACATAATCGGAAAACAATACGTGTAAACTGATGCTTTATCTAATCTGATAACGCAATTAACTTGTCCGTAACAGCGAATTCAAAAACCATGGTAACGCACACCCGGCGCAGTGCGTAAAATTCGCCTTGACATCAGGCGCTTTAAGCTGCGTATATTTTACAATATGGCACATTTAGATTTCAAAATACGCCAAAACGTCATGAACCATATCTTTGACGTTGTCAGTAAAAATGACTTCATTTAAATCATATTTATATTCGCAATCACAATTCAAACGTCACATGTTAATGAAATACTCCCGTTAAAACTATGTCGTCGGAATGTCTCGAAAATCGATTAATAAGAAAAATTTGTCAAAAGTAAGACGAGAAACTGTTTAAAACGTAGAAAAAGAATATGGCTACCAAGGGAAAAGTTCCAGAAAGCCACAGCATATTTTTTGATTGGCATGAAAGATTAAGAATGGGTAATAAAGAAATAGAAATCAAGTAAGGGAGAGACAGAAAAAAGAAATTTTCAAGGACGTTGGTGACGTCAATCGCCAAGACGTTGAAAAATGACAGTCGATTGACTGCGGACATTGTCAACGATGTTCGACAGTAGCTACGGGACGGTGCAGTCAACTCTAAGGATTTTAAAATGTTAATAGTTAATGCATTAATTACATATATTGTATTCTTGGTTTACAATTGTATCAATTATTTTCTTATTTTACGCAGTAGTTTTTTGGAGAAATTGTGTCAACAATTAGACAGTCACTGTTCAAAATCGGCTATGCTTTTTATTCATTTTAAAATAATGACAATTTTGTTCATAGTTGTATTATTCTTTTATTTTTTCTTATGTATGATACATTATCATTCAGCAACATTATTTTACATTATTTGTTAATACATAATATAGTTTATCACACACCCGTTGCCGATTTTGCGACTCCGTAAAAATGGTATTGCACGGCCTTGCGTGTATTTTGACGTGACGCCATTTACGTTATACAAACAAAGTGTAAAGACGCGCTTAATGTTAGCGTTATATTATAGGCGCGTCAATGAAAAATGACTCATTTTACTTTAAACGGTATTTATTTATTTTGGGTATGTGATAAATAGAATATTAAATTCGTGTAAGTTCATTACTGAATTTATTGCACTCGTTGAATAAAATAATATTATGCTCGCCAGAGGCTCGCATAATATAATTTTATTCAACCCGTGCAATAAATTCAGTATTGAACTTACACTCATTCAATATCCTCTGTTTATTGCATGTGCAGTTTTTCCAACAATTAAGTTACAAGAGGAAAGAACGGAAATTTATGTCATTACATTGCGTCATTTTATCATCATCTATTCTTTTACAATACAATATGATACCCACTTGTACAGAAATATTTATAGGCAGTGGATCCGCCGCATCAACAACATGACTGTACCACTTATTGGCCTACTCCGTGAATGAGTAAAAACTGCTCCGTTAAGGAAAATACGCTTGTGACGTCGTTAACGTCAATTTCAAAGTTATACCGTGCGCCGCATTGCTTGACATGTACATGCCAATAACAGCATAACTTTTTTATTTGTTTATATTTCTTGTTGGTATTTTTTGTATCATTTAGGGGATAGATTCCGATTTATGTTCCATGTATTTTTATGTAAATTCATTTAACAGGTTAAGAATCATTTACAAAGTCCGGTTAATTTTTGATCATCCCTCGTATGTCATTATAAACCGTGTTTTACAGTATATAAATGCCGTTTGCATATTACTGTTGTTGTTTTAAAATTCTCATTTTATTATACTCAGATTATATCTTTATTAGCAGTCAATACACACTTGCGCTGACTAAAGCAAACATTAAAACACGATGTGTTTAAAGGAAGAAGCTAAAATAATTGATAATTTATAAATTTATAAACAGTATAAAATTTTTCACAAAGATAATATGAAACCCACGTTTCAGACGTTTCTGTATATATAACAGAAGAAAAAACCCAAAAACCCAAAACATTCTGACCAAATATACAGTAAATCTTACTCTTTATGATAACGTGGTAAAACCTGATAGTACCATACTTGATCATAAATTTCATCTATGTATTGCCATCCATTAATGACTTGATTAATGAAAACTTTAAAAGTTAACAATAATAAGCCAATCAATTTTACATATTTACTGTATACTGGACGTGAATTATACTTCTCCTTTCTAGCGGCAATTTCCAATCAGCTAATTCCAATATATTCAAAAGTGTCGGTGTTTTGTCTCCTTGCTAGAAACTATGATCAGCATAATATAAGTCCAGTCTGACTTCTATTCTCTACTAGACTAGCTATTATTAAATATCTATAACATATGACACTCTAAATAGAATTTTTACAGTGTAAATTACCATACATACGAGGGTTGTTCGATATGTTGTACGACTCAAAATATTAAATCCCTTCAAAATGATAAGAACTTTTTCAGTCTTAAGAAAATGAAAAAGTCACATAGGGCAAAGTCTAGAAAGATTATTTGGTGTGCCAAGACAGTAATCATGTACGACTTCAAAAATACTCAATGATAGAGCATTATTATAAAGTAGACAAACATACATAAATCCTGACATGAGCCGTCGTTTCTGTTTGGTATACCATCTCAGTAATACGTACTGACCTATGACACTTTTGCCCTTCAGCACCTGAATTGGGATGGCTTTACCATCATGGAAAAAAAAACACTTTCAATAACGAACTTTCTTTGTGTACATGGTCCTTTTGGCTACTACAGGCTTTCTACCGTGTTAAGATTTATTTTGATTCCATTTTGTCTGACTATTTCGAAAAAGTGAACATATGTTTTGTAACTATGAATAATGTTTGCAAGTTTCTTTGATTGAGGTTTGGAAACACTTTGAGTAATTGCTCAGCGATTTGTACTCGTACCTTTTGTTGGTCATCTGGCAATTAATAGGCTATCCATCGTTCGTACTGTTAAAAACGCTTTTAAGAAAACGTACTCAATAGCAATATGCCAGCAGCTTGACAATGTCCCGAATCGTGTACTTGCCATCACTTTCAATAATTTACCTTTTGTCTTGCCTGTTATTGTCACAGGTCGGTCAGACAGATTTTGCTATATCTTGGACGGACTCTCTGCCAGTCATATATTACTTTGTCCAGCTACCAACTGTCTCATAAGATTACTTATCAGACCCATAAATCTCCCCCGATTTGGTGAGTGTCTGCTTTACCAAACTTATATATAAGCTCTAACTTCTTCAACACATTCAAATTATTTTCCAACCATTTGTACAACAGTGACCGACGACTTGCTATATTACACTTGCGATTCATTTAAAATACTTTAAGCTGAAAACAGGTGTAAATATCTTTGGAAAAGCTATATATTCAGCTATTCAGGCCTATGAAACATGCACGAAAACGTGCAAAGCGTTATCGCGCAATGGTACAAAACACATTACATATCGAACAACTTTCGTAGAAAATATGAATATATTTTCGGCCACGGCGGAATGTCCATTTGTTAATGATATATATCTGCTTAAACAGTTCTGACCTGTTGTAATCATACTGATGTATATGATATCTCAGCTATGAAGTCAACAACTCTGTGTCACATTGCTTGTATTGTTTCATACAATAACTGGATTTCAGATTCAATTGTTATGCAACATCATTACAGATAGGTTGGCTCAATTTAACTTTGATATTCTCTCCTTTATCTTTTCAAAACTCATGACAAATGTATTGATACCACAATTAATATATAACTCATGATTAAATGAATATCATTTATACTTCCTGTTTAAATATGATTAACAACAAATTCATTTGCATTATGTCTGCTATGCCCCTTTGGGTGCTGGTGATTGTTGATATTGTAGGAAACTGTGTTTTGTGTTGCCCCACTTTGTAGATCTTTATTCTTTAATTTTAATTGTAATTATCATTATATTCACCTCTCTGTTGTCTTACAATGATCTTGGCTAGTCCTTATTGATTGCTATGTTGTTGTTTATCAATATGCATATTCATATTTCTTATTTATTTCCTTATTTAATATTTATTTTCCCGTCTCTTTAAAAATATCAATTGGTATGTTATTCGACGCACTTCCTAAAAAAAGCTAAAAGGAGAAGATTCTTATAAAACATATGTCTTCCGTTCTATTACTTTTCTTTTTTATATATGATAATGATTTGTTTTATAGTTGTATTACGTTTATATGTATATATTCGGGAAATAAATATGTAAAAATTATCATCTTCTATTAGTAAAATTTGTCTGATGTTATGATGATAAATCAGTGTAATACTATAATATTATGTTAATGCTATCAAATTTGTTGGTGTTTTCGATCAGATAAAAATAATCACGGACCTCAGCCTAAAGAACAGATTGTTTTAGTTTAATTTTAACTTTATCAAAATTACAAACGCGCATATATGCGTGTGATCCGTTCAAAAATCTACGTTGATAGATGACATAAAACGTTTTATCAAAACTATCGAAATTGCAGATAATATTTGTGGATCATGTGTTATCTAAAGATACGAGATGGATAGTATTAACTTTGCATACGGTTCGTGACTTAATTTATGCATTAGTTCTTCTAACATTAAATATAAGCGATGTCTTTGTAATCAATAACCGCTAAATAAATAAACATTTAGTAAAATATGAAATATCATAAATTGATTACAAATGGAATATAAACATAACACAGCTTTGTGTATGATGTAGATAATTGAATGACTTGTACAGGAAGCACAATTGCATATAAATATCACAAACAAAAATGGTAAAGATCTGAAATTTTCAACTAATACACAATTGAATTAGCACTTTATCAACTCTGTACTTTGAACGTGAGATTTTAAGATTATTTTATTAGTAAGAACATATTTATAAACATGCCATAGCATGCCTTTCAAAACATCATCACAATTGCAAGGGTTATGAACTTTCAATCCGATCATATCACACAATATATAATCAACTTCGTTCACTTGCATTTTTACAGTGTGCGCTCCAGTTAATTTTGAAGTAATTTTATCCGTAATATTTAAAGTGTTATCAAATAAGTTTCAAACACTCATTTCTGATCTTTTTTGAAAAATATACCCGTTCTACAACCAATGGAGCGTTGTGATGCGAACACGATCTAGATTTTTATTGTGTACAATTAATGGTGCTTAATGTCATACTGACTTTGGAGTAAAGGACACAAAGGCGTCAATTTGTTTTCTTGAAATGACACCACGTAACCAGATTATTGAATAAGAAGAAAACATTTCTTTCGACACATGGAACGTCAATATTACTCATAAAATAGGATTTTATTAAAGTATATGTTCTGCTAATGATACGTCAATGATGCTTCTCTTTTAAAAAAGGAATATAGTAATAACAATACAAACCTTGTTAGACTTATGATCAGTCTTTGAATAAAGAAGAAAAAGGATAAATTTATTAATTTTTAATTTCCACATTTTATCTTAATAACTGGCCATGCACAAAACATTTCTGAACCATTTATCAATTCACTAATTTATTCAGTCTTTCTTTTCTGAATAACACACAAGAACCATAGCATCCAACGAAGATGAGTTCTTCAATTGACCTTGGAAGCGACAGAAGAGACCATTTTGAATTGTCATTATCGGGCAGCAAAAAATTCAACAGAAGTAGTAAAACTGTTTGTGCAATATGCTTGGACAAATACAGAAACCCAAAATATTTAGAATGCTTACATGCGTTCTGTGAACAACCATGCCTACAGCGTCTGATTGACAGGTATGTCCAATAAATAACTACATGTATAAGGCATATGGTTATACCACATGTAAGACAACATTTTATATCAGATATGTAACATTTAATAATGTGCAATGTAAAAGATGCAATGTTCTGAAACAACTGCAACTAAAACAAAAAGACAATTAATATATTTCGTTGATAAAACAAAATAGCATAATTCTAGATATAGGGACACAAACGCAAATAAATAAATAAATAAATAAATAAATAAAACATTGAATTGATCTTACTTACCCGAATCACGATACAAATGAATTTTTTAAATGCCCAGCATATTTGTCTAAATAATTGATATATAATAGGTTTTGAATGAAAATATTTGATAAACGAAATTAAAATGCAGATAACCCTGTCAAGTTATTTCTAAACACGTCTAAATATCGAAAGACTATAGGATGAAAATTTCAGAAAAGAGATCAAATAAAAATTTGCCCTGTGGTTTAATTGTAAAATTCTTTGAAGAATCTCAGATTGAGTAAGATTTTATTATACTTAGATTTCAATTATTGATAAATAAATTATCTGTATATTATGAATTAACATACAATGCATCAATGAAGGGAATAGCACAACCCTTTTGATTCTAATAAGGACTATTTACAAACAATTCGAGCGCATAAAAATATTTTAAGTGCTTTCCCATGCTGAGAAAAATATGTAGAATAAATAGTTTTATCTGTGGTCATTGGCTACAAGTTTCTATTTTCCTAACAACATGTGGCGTATTTATATGAATGTAAGCGGTATACAGCTGTTATTCAGAATAATACCCCACTAGCGGGTGTTGATTTATACTGATGAGGCGGATTTAAATGTTTTGGTCGATAAAATTTTGCAATGACTTTTGAATGACTTTTCTCTGGAACCTGTCTATCCCGAATTGCATGTCCAACCGTTGACTTAATTCTGTGTAAGTAGTAAATATCAGGGAATATAACGTCAATTCTGCTTAATGTATGAAGGTTTTAATTTTTGAATGTTAATTTTCGATACGTCGAATGGTTTCAGTCAACCTAATATTTCAGATCGGAGAACAACATTTTTAATTGTCCCTTATGTCGACGAAGTTATAATGTGCGGACCTTTGAATGTGTAACTTCAGACTCTACAGCAAATGAAGGCGTGCCTCTGCTTGGCGAAAGAACAGAGCAAAGCACATCAGAGGGTAGGAAGTTCATTTCCTTTTTCCACCATTCATGCTAACAAATAAATTTATACCTTTTTTACACGTTTTACACGTTTTCCAACGAATGATATGAGTAGTTCGGTTTTCGTAATGGACATTGGGGATTGCACAGTCGAAATCAAAACTAATTCATGAAGAAACACCAAAGGTTTTAACAACAATTGATACAAAGGCCCTCGTCGACATTGAAAAGAAAATATTTGATTTTACAAAATTAATAACATTATGGAAATGCTTATTATTTCTACAAATATATAAACTCAATAGCTAACGTATTGACGTATTCCACAGATTTATTTATCGATTTAATGCACTTTTCTCTTTTCCAGTATCATGTCGTCAACTATTGTTCTCATTATGCGTTTTAGGTAAGGTATATATAGCGTCTGTATATAAAGTGCATTTGTTTGATTTTTGTGTGTAAAATGATGCTAACTATCAAACATATTTTTAAAATCACTCAGTAAAAGTAAGTACATGATATCTAATTGCTCGTTTTAAAATGTATTTATTTATAACCCCTTCTTAAAAACTTTTTGCCAGTCTACCTGTCCGCCCGTTCGCCTGTTTACCCACCCACTTATGTACTTTACACTAACCTAACATAATGTAACGAAACTCAACGTAACCAAACCTAACCTACGAGTTACTAACCTAGCCCTGCCTTAGCCTGACCTTCATACCTACCAAACTTCCTAACTATCTTCCTTCGTATCTTCCCATTTACCTATGTATCTTTGCTATTATTTTTATCGTGTTCATTCTTATTTCAGTTGCCATGATTCATTTTGGTATGAATCTAACCTAAAAGTTACAAACCTAGCTCTGCCTTAGTCTGACCTCCCTACCTACCAAACTTCCTAACTACCGTCCTTCGTATCTTTCGATTTACCTATGTATCTTTGCTATTATCTTGATCGTATTCATTCTTATTTCAGTTGCCATGATTCATTTTGGTATTAATCTAACCTACGAGTTACTAACATAGCCCTGCCTAAGCCTGACCTCCCTACATACCAAACTTCTTAACTACCTTCCTTCGTATCTTCCCATTTACCTATGTATCTTTGCTATTATTATGATCGTATTCATTCTTATTTCAGTTGCCATGATTCATTTTGGTATTATAAGCATTGCTAGAGTTGTATTAGGTAAATATGAAAAATGCATTTTTATTAATACATGATCCACAAAAGTTAACACAAAGACATATATAATCAGCCTTTTGATATAAATATAATTCATTTTAAGTTTTGATCAACGGGTTACCCCGACCATGTTAAAATGAAAGGATTCGATTAATAAGGCATGTTGCCTTTTTTAACCATACATAAATTACTGTAATTTATGACTAGTATGTTGCGATTTGCCGAGAGGCGCGGTCCGGTCACCCGAAAGAGACACAATAGACATAAGGTCATTTAAAGGTCCATTATTCCTAAGAAATGCTATCATTTTTTTGTCACAAAAACTGTTTGTGTTTTTGTTTTTGTATCCTGTTACAGTTTCCAAAAACATATTCATTTGCGATATACGTGATGTACGTTTTGCATCTTTAGTTCTGATGACAATTGGTATAATGATAGTGGATTAGTATTTTGTCAAAATTTTACTTTGTTTACATTTTGCTACATTCTACACATCACTGCCTGTACGTAACAGTGCTGCTTTTTTCATTTGAAAACATCTAACATACTCTTAACCCATTATTTAAACATTATGAAAAACATGTTTGACATTTCTAAATAAGTAAAAGTGGATTTCTGAGGTAAAATGTGCCTTTAAACAAAAATTATAAAATGAAATCGTTCATTCTTAGAATCAGTCGTGGATTGGTTTACATGAATAGGTTCTAGCCACCATTCAAAAACAAAGCGGCATCTATTTACGCTTTGTAGAGATGAAAGTCTGAGGTTTATTAGCAAACTTCAGCTCACTTGATGGAAAAATCAATTGCCGGAGTTGTATAATGCACATAGTTATAACCTTAGTAAGGCTCGAACCTACGATCTTCACGTTGAAAGGCTGATTTTGTAACAAATAGGCAACCGCACGCAATACATATTGTTAATAATATTCAAATTAAGTAATTAAAATAGATAAATACAGAATCCCTAAAGAAAGCCCAACACGGCAAAAGTGAAAATACTGCAGACTCGGTTTGATTGAGCCTGTTCATTAAGTTCATCGGCCACTCATATGATTTTCTTTATTTAATTGACCCCCACCAAAAAAAAAAGACCATTAATTTGGCTACTCCAATTGAATGAAACGCATCAACAAGTAAAACATTGAAATTTCTTTGCAGGGATTTATTATTATGGATATACAACGAGACTGCCTGTTTATCAAATTGCAAAAGGAAGCCTAGACATTCTAATTGCAATGTCTTACAGCATCAGAAAGTATACGAAAGTTTATATTGTATTATTATTGTTGGCTATTTCTACATTGTGGCTTATATATGGTAAGATATTATTGTTAGATGTGTCTCACTGTCATCTCTTTTTAAAAACTTTTCAGATCAAGCCTTGTACGAAAATTATCAATTTATTATGGCTTAATATTTCTATGGGAATTTTACATACTATGTATACTTTAAACATCTTTGTAATGAAAGTTTTGTGACATAAAAGTACTGGATGTCTATGAAATGTACATATCATATACATTTAACAAAAATATTCACCATTACAACTGTAAATAACTTTGTTTTACAGGCACGAAGGAGGCATGGCAGAAAGACGACGACAGTCAATATCATTTTCTAACAGTATTTTCTCGCTATTATGTTGTTGCTGACGGCATAATGATCGTCATGATTTTCTGTTTTTTAGGATGTATAAGTGAACGAACAAGGAATATCCTTACCGAAAATGTAAACATGTCACATGCGTCAATGGATTATTCTTGATCATATAAATTATAAATGTTCAATATTCAGAAATCCTATCAGAGCATGTAGAGCAAACCTTTCTCAGAGACAGCCGTGAGATAAAAAAATATTAAATTTTGACTGAGATGCTTTATCTTTTTATAATACTAGACATTTATTTATTTATTAAAATGATGAAAATATCATTCATTCAAATTATCCATTAAATCGTTTAATCTAATTTTAATTTAAATAAATAATTTATTATATAAAACAATATACTGAAGAAGATAAACGTTCTGGCCTTTTTGCCCCTAATCAATTTTGAAAAACAACAACAAAAATACACAAAATATAACAAAAAAAAACGATGCTGGACTTTATATGATATATTCGATGCGCTTATAACGACATTAAAATGCTTGGGACAGGCGAATCACAATGAGCAATGGAAAATGTCCAGATATTGTAAATTGATAGATTTAGATATGATTTTAAATTGCGGTTCTCATTACCCAAACACCATAACGAATTCTTGCACAAACTTATTTTGAAATATACTTTAAAGGCTTTCGTTAAAGTATGTGAAAAGAATGTGGTTTATTCTGATACATTGTCAGACGATCCATTCATTTATAACCAAAATATATTGATTGGTAAAAAGCATATAAAAAGTCATGGGTTTATGCTGGTGTTCAGTGTATAGTTCCTACTTTTAAGATGAATTGGGTTTTATATGACATCCAAGAATTCATAAGCCGCGTTTAATTAACATGGTAGGTAACTGATTCTGACTTAACAAATGTGTTCTTAGGGCATTACAAAACGTTATAGACAATGAAAGTAAATATAACATTTTCTTTCCTTTTTTTTCATTCTGAGACATTGATAGATCCCTACCCTGACTGGTAATATAACAAAAGATTTAACAATAAACATTGACATGCGCTCTTTTTGTTAGCAAATACGTTGTTGTGAAATTCTCACTGTAATCTAATAATTAAAACAAGACAAGCTAAGGTTCTATGCAATGCCTAACGTGTATGTAATCTATCCGTATTTTTGTAACTTTATGTGAAAAGAGTCTGTAAAATTTCATAAAAAACGTGCTCAACAAGGTTTATCATTTTGTCATTGCCTTGACACTGATTTGGATTAGATAAACATATTTTGTTATTACCGATACTAGTATAGGAACATGATATAAACATGTTGCTTATCAAAATAGTATATGCATTATCAAAACAGTTATAATAAAAACCGAAAAACTGATAAGATCAACTTGTTATTCTTTTGTATTTCACTCTCGCTTAATGCCATGTAAGCTGTATATTTACATGATCTCGTATATGTGATGTAAAGGAAGTGTTTTGTTAAATTTTAAATAATAAAAATGCCCCTATTTTGTAATGATATCACAATTGATAAAGATCATGATAAACAAATACCATTTAAACTTCCTGTTTTGATATGACACGCAACATTTCTTTCGGCATCCACTGACCTTAGGATGCCCGTTTGGGTGCTGATGATTGTAGGAATCTGCGTTTTGTGAATGTTCATTGATTTTAATTCTTTAATTAAAATTGTGATTATCATTATGTTAACCCCTCTTTCTTGCCATTTCTTCAAGTGAAAATGGACTGATTTTATGATAATAAATCAATGTGAAACCATTTTTCACTAACATCTATATTGTGTTTATCCTATCGGCATTATTTTGCGTATCGATCAGAGCAAAAAATAAAATACATGGGCTACAGCTTTCAGAAAGAAGGGAAAAACTAAGATATGATAATGTTAATTGTTGATACTGTTTTATGTTCTTATTCGTTGATATTTGACTTCTTTTAATAATCAATAAAGTTATTTCTATTTTACTGACCACATTATACTCATGTATTATATGTAATGCTAAAGTATGTTTGAGAATAAGTGTGACAGTATTAATTCCCGTATCACTTTAATATACAACGATTTTTGAAATAACCATACCCTTTTTAGTTTAATTTATTTATCAAAATTTAAAGTGTTAATATGTGTGTGATCTGCCTAGATAAGATATGAATAAAGATACGTTGATAGATTACACAAATGTTTTATCAAAAATGTCGATATTAGAGATAATAATATTTGTGGATCATGCATTAATTAAAGATGTGTGATGGATAGTGTTAGCATGTGGTATGTAGCTTTTAATTATTCATAATTATACTAACAGTATAAATATTTGTCGATTGTAACAGTTCCAAATATCATCCCGGATACCTCGGGACAACAGTTTGACTGTTTCACAAAGACCCATGAAGTAACTGTTTTATTATCTCATGCTTTGCAATCAAACTGTTATATATGTTGCAACAACACACCAATAACATTTTTACAACCGTTGTAATTGTGAACCGCTTACAACTAAATGCCACCAACGTTTGGTTTTCTAAAAACCACTACCGCACATTAAGCTGAGCGACGTTCAACTACCGAATAGTTGCGGACGGCTTTAACGGAAATACCCGGTGACAGCAATGAAACAATTTAAAATGTTGACCGGTCAACAGTTCATTTCATCACTGTGCATGCATAGGATTTCAGTGGTTCAGTTGAAGCAAACAGTTGTAAATAATGAATTAGTATCAACAGAAGGCATTAGGTAATAATAGATATGAGTGATGTCCCTTGATATTATTACTAAACATTTTAGTGAATATATGAAATATTATTAATGGAATACAAACATAACACAGTCGTGTGTTTGCTGTAGACTAGACATTGAATGACTTGTACAGAAAGCATATTAATTGTTTTTAAATAATGTTCAACTAATTGCTACACAATTGAACTAGCACTTAATCAACTCTTTACCTTGAACTTGTCATTTTACGATTATTTTATTATGTAGAACAAATTTATAAACATGTCATAGCATCCTTTTCAAAACATCATCACATTTATGTTGTTATGAACGTTATTTAATTTGATCATATGACCAATCTGACTAAAATTTAGATCTACTAATTTCTTTAATGTATATCGTATGACGACCGTATATATTTCGCCTCCTTTATAATTCGGATTTTTCGAGAAAGCTATTTTTAGCCATGCAATCAAACCGGTTTTTACATAGGATTAAGAAAAGGTATCAACATATAGTTTTCCGTTGAAGTTAAACAAATTGTTGTTTTTTATTAGAAAAATATGTTTGAAGTTATTTCTATCAAATCAACTTGAAACAAAAGAATCATTTTTAAAGGGCAAGACTGTTTTTGCCAGATTAACCAGTCGGCTATATGGACAACGCCATGTTTGTTCTCGAAATCGTGAAAATTACGTTCTCAGTATTGTTTTTACAGGTTTAAAATTAGATATCACATCGCTTTCAAAATTATGAAAGCTCGCCGATGTGAAAGCTCGCCATAATGATTTCGTATTTGGTCACGGTCAGATCTAAAAGCGGAGCGTTATTATTTAGAGCTGACTTTTATTAGAAAGCTCATATCACACAATATCTAATCAACTTCTTACACTTGCATTTTTTATAATGTGCGCTCACATTGATTTTGAAGTAATTTTACCCGCAATAAGTGCTATTAAATCAGCCTCAAAAACTCATATGTTGCATTTTTGTCTGTTCTTATTTGAATAAATATACCCGTTCTACAACCCGTGAAGCGTATTAATGCGAGACAGATTTAGGTTTTAATGTGTAAAATTAATGCCATAATTATAGACTTTGGAAATTGGAGGAAAGGTGTTGAATTATGAAAAATTCTTGAAATAATACCACGTAACTAGATTATTGCATGAGAAGAAAACATTTATATCAGTGTATAGGAAGTAAAGATTACTCATAAAATGGGATTTGATTAAAGTATATGTTCTGCTTATGATACGTCAATGATGCTTCTCCGTAAAAAGGAATAAATTAATAACAATACAAACTTTGTTAGACTCATGATCTGTCTTTGAATAAACAGAGAAAGGATAAATTTACTAACCATTTTTCATTTTTACATTTTCTCTTAAAAACTGGCCGTAAAATGCACAAAACAATTCTGGACCATTTACTAATGTACTTATTTATTCAGTCTGTCTTCTCTGAATAACACACAAGAACCATAGAATCTAACGAAGATGAGTTCTTCAATTGATCTTGAAAGCGACAGAAGAGACCATTTTGAATTGTCATTATCGGGCAGCAAACAATTTAACAGAAGCAGTAAAACTATTTGTGCAATATGCTTGGACAAATACAGAAACCCAAAATATTTACAATGCTTGCATGCGTTCTGTGAACAACCATGCCTACAGAGACTGCTTGACAGGTAGGTGCATTAAAGTAGCAAATATTTACTTAAAGACATATGGTTATACCACACTGAAGATAACAAATAACATTTTATATCAGATATGTAACAGATAATAATATTCAGTTGCTTAAAAGATGCAATGCTGTAAAACAGCTCCAGCTTAAGGAGAGACTTAATTATAGATTACTCTGAAAACTCTCAGATTGAGTAAAACGTTATTTATTAAGATTTCAATAGATAAATAAATTTTTGGTATATTATATTCCTCAACATATCAAGAAAGTGAATGGCGAACCTTTTTTATTCTAAAAAGGACTTTTTACAAAATATTTAATTACTTAAAATATATTCTAAATAAAGATATACCCCTTACGTATTTCAAAGTCCGACAGTGCTTGAAATGTAGTGTAAACAGCTTTACCTCTTGTCATTGGGCTTTCAAACAACATATTGCACTCAATATAAGCGGGATACACTTGTTTCTCAAAATTATATCCACTAACAGGTATTCATTTATAAATCCCTGAAGTGGAATAAAACGATGTGAAACTGAAACCTGTCCATCCCGAATTGCATGTCCAACCATTGACTGCTGTCTCCGAGCTTTAAATGATAATGAAATATAATGCCAATTCTGCTAAATGTATAAAAAATTTAATTTTCGACAACCTGGATTACATAAGTAACTTAAGTAAGAGGTGTATGCCTATCAAAAATATTTCAGATCGGAGAACAACATTTTCAAGTGTCCCTTATGTCGACGAAGTTATAATGTGCTGACCTTTGAATGTGTAGCTTCCGAGTCTGATCCTCTGCTTGGCGAAAGAATAGAGCAAAGTACAGAGTGTAAGTAATTAGTTTTCCTTTTTCACCATTGAATGTAACGAATATAGTTATACTTTTCATTACGTTTTTCAACAATGATATGCGTATATTGGTTTTAGTGATATATTTTTTTGATTCACCAGTCAAGTTAAAAAAATTATAAAGAAGAACATTCACCATTTCTATAAGAACTGGGACGAATTAATTTACACAACCATTTACAGGGAACGCTATTGAAATGTTATAATATACTGAATAAGTATAAAAATAATAATTGATACAAGTCGTCTGATTTAATAATTCACTTTAAATGAATTGTTTTCTTTTCCAGCGAATACATGTGAACGATTTTACACTTTAAGCGTTTTAGGTAAAGTATATTTATAGTTCGTAAGACAAAATTGCATCTATTTGATATGTATGTGAAATACTGCTGATTTTTATACATATTCTTAACATTATTCAGAACAATACAATTATATCTATTCACACGTTTTCATATGTTTTTGTAAATGTTATTATACCTTAATAACCTAACCCAACACTGCAGTACCTACGCTTCCTTCGCAGCTCACTGAATACACTCACGTTACTTAAGAAGTGAGCGATAGTGGAACATTCGACCGATGCGCAGGAGAGTATGCAGTACCCTGCCCTACTGCCCTAGGCTACTTACCTACTTCCTACGGTACCAACACATAGCTGTGGATCTAATCTATTTTTTTTATTTCAGTTGCTGTGTTTCATTTTTGCATCATTAGCGTTGCTAGAATAGTATTAGGTAAATATACCAGAAATTTGATAAGCTTTCACAAACATTACATTTTTCAATATTTATACGACAAATAAATTCCCCTTGCTGCGATTGGTCGAGACACAATCTCATTTATAACGAACATTGAAATGACATAAAGGTCGACTCGAAGTGATGTTCATCTAAATAGAGGGTATTGAATAAGTGAAGGATCAATAGAAAATTTATTTAACGAGTTGAATAGAATTATATTATCCCTACTGGCGAGCTTAATATTATTTTATTTAACAAGTTTAATAAATTTCAGTAATGAATCTACACGGCTATAATATTTTAATGTATCACATACCCAAAAAGTGAAAAAGAAACATATTGCATTGAGACGCCTACAGTAAGCGCTCATTACGATATGTTTGTTAAACTCAAATCATGTGTAAAATATATTACCATTTTTACGGAGTCGCAAAAGCGGCAGGGGGTATGTGACAAACAACTTTAAGGCATTAAGCGTGACAGAAAATTTTACCGTCCCTTCATATGATGACTTTACGATAAATAGGAACTAGGCAACTCTTCCTATTGTGATCAATTATTGTGGTGAAAGCTCGAAACTTCTTTGAAACCTTTAGAACTACCCAGCACTAGTGTCATATGAGGCACGTAGGTATTGGCACTATAAAGGAATCGAACCCAACGATAAATATGTTGAAAAGCAGATATATTAACCACTTGGTCACAGTTTCCTTACGAATTGACAGTGTAATTCAAAATCAACGGTAGTTCATGTAATTTTGTTGTTTAATAGCAAACGAAGCAGAAATTAATGCTCGCGTGTATATAATGAAACACGATTACATTTTGTATCATTTTCTGTTATATGCAGGGTCTTATTTTCATGAATTTGTAAAGAGCTATTGTATGCTTATCAAATTGCGAAAGGGTTGATAGACATTTTCATTGCACTGTCATACTGCCAAAAATCAAACAGGAGTATGCACTTCAATTCTGTTGGTCGTTTCAATCATTGGGCTTATATTAGGTAAGACATTATTTGATATTTGTAGTGTTAGGAATGTGTTACTGTCACCTCATAATAAAAATAACCCTTCGTAATAATCTTTGTTTGAAATTTCTATGTTATTTTGACTTTTGTGTTTGGGAAGTGTACATTACTATAAGTAAGTATACATTTATCATAAAAGTTTTTTTTTGAATAACATAGAATTACTGAATGTTCCGAAGTATACATATTTCCAACAATAAGCAGAATACATCCATTTATATGACAAATAATTATGTTTCTTGTACAGGTACTATGGAAGCCTGGGAGACAACAGAAGACGACAGTCAATGTCAATTTCTAATAGTATTTTCCCGCTATTACGTTGTTGCCGACGGCATTATGATCTTATTAATCTTCATTTGCGGAAAACGATTAATCACAATAATCTTGGACTTAATACGATGTTAACAAAACAATTCTGTATGATGAATATGCATATTTAAAATTTTTCAAAGGAAAATAAAGTCTATTTCGTTCAAATAATTATTCACAAATATGTGTGACAATCAATCAATTATAACATAATAAATGTCAATAGATATCGGTTTCTTTAAACAAAATAATAAATAAAATGTATATAAATACGAGTATATAATTGCTAATATCTATGAATCTACATAATTTAGGTCGACTTTGACATGATAAATTGGAATAAACGTAGTCAATCCACTTACTTTTTGTTATCGTGTTTAGTTTGTTAGTGTAGGTTAGACAGAATTACCGTATCCGTTCTTTGCACGAGCGTTGTCCTACAATTGTGTTCAATGTCCCTAGGAAAGTTTTGAAAAGTCGCGATTGGTAGGATTAATGGCATACAAATCGATGGAAAACAATAATTACTCATATATAAAAATCGTATTTGAGCAAAACTTTCCCAGAGAAGCACATGATTTAATTTAATACATTCAAGATATTAAACATGTCAACATAGCCTTTCAATTTGTGTTTTACTTTTCATGATTTTAATTGTTAGTATTATAATAACAATGGTATGAATCTCCCTATGTTTTGTATTCATTTTCATTTACTAAGACTTATTTTTACATAATTGTTTTTCAAAATATTATACTGACTATTTGTAGTGCCACTATTTTAATGTTACATCTGAACCATTAATTTCAATGGAAATACAATCACGGCTTACTCATTAACACGTCATTACCATCACTGTCAAATTGTTGAAGAAATAATAAAAAAAAACATGGGACAAAAAATCCTTATTGATTCGCGTTTTATAGTAATATATGAAAGAAAAAAATCATAAAGTCTTATACCAATTATATTCCGGTTGCGGCACTTTGCCCAGTAACCAGATCGCAAAATCATTTTTTCGCAAACAAGTATTTACAAAAAAAATCACACTCTGTGAAAACAGACGAATAAGTTCTACATTTTTAGATTGAATTTTACAAATCTAACTTAGACCGCAACGTGTCAGTCTTCATTTTCTTTAAGGACTAGACAAGAGCCCGGAGAGTTTTTTCCTGGGTTTTGTGTGGGAACCCTGTTCAAAATGTGCATCAAGATAGTGTTGAGCCTCGGTAGCATATTGCCATAACGTTTGGAGATATCTTACAATGAACTTTTTATGTGCCCTACACCACTGCATTGAAGATTTGAAAAATACACGTTTTTCGAGTATAAATAGACATATTTTCCAATCATTGACGTTAACCAACGTAAAAATGAGTAAAATAATATCTACTCAAATTGAATGAAACGCATCAACAAGTAAAACATTGACATTTATATGCAGGGGTTTATTATCGTGGATATACAAAACAACTGCCTGTTTATCAAATTGCAAAAGGAAGCCATGACATTCTAATTGCAATGTCTTACAACATCAGAAACTATACGAAAGTTTATACCGTATTATATTATTGCTGGCTATTTCGACATTGTGGCTTATATATGGTAAGATATTATTAGATATTGTTATTGTGAGAATTGTTTCACTGTCATCTCTGTTATCAAAACTTTTCAGATCAAGCTTTGTTCGAAAATTATCAATTTATTTTGGCTTAATATTTCTATGGAAATTTTACATACAATGTATAATTTAAACATCTTTGTAATGAAAGTTTTGTGACATAAAAGTACTGAATGTCTATGAAATGTACATATCATATACATTTAACAAAATATATTCACCATTACAACTGTTAATAACTTTCTTTTACAGGTACTATGTAGGCATGGCAGAAAAACGACGACAGTCAATATCATTTTCTAACAGTATTTTCCCGCTATTACGTTGTTGCTGACGGCATAATGATCGTCATGATTTTCTTTTTTTACGATGTTTAAGTGAACGAACAAGGAATATTCTTACCGAAAATGTAAACATGTCATATGCGTCAATGGATTATTCTTGATCATATAAATTATAAATGTTCATTTATAAGAAATCCTATTAGAGAATGTAGACCAAACCTTTCGTGAGATAAAAAAAAGCAATGTAAATATAAAATTTTGACTAAGATGTTTTATCTTTTTATAATACTAGTATTAGACATTTTTTATTTATTAAAATAATAAAAATATCATTGATTCAAATGAGCCATTGAAATTGTTTAATCTAATTATAATTGAAATAAATAATTTATGATAAAAACATTATACAGAAGAGAATAAATGTTCCAGCCTAATCGATTTCGAAAAGGCTTTTGATTCTTTGCCTTGGGTTTGTGTAAATAAATCGTTGTCACTTTGTAAATTTGGATATGATATAAAGTAAACAAACAAAAAAAAAAAAAAAAAAACAACAAAAAAAACAAAAAAAACAACAACAACAACAACAAAAAAACAACAAAAAACAACGATGCAGGACTTTATATGATATATCTTAATGCGCTTAATAACGGCATTTAAATGCTTTGAACAGGCGAATCACAATGAGCAATTGAAACTGTGCAGGTATTGTTGCTAAATTGATATATTTAGATAAGCTGCTAAATTGTGTTCTCATTACCCAGACACTATAACGATTTTTTGAACAAAATTATTTTTGAAAGATAATTTAAATGTGTTTTTTTTTCAATTATGTGAAAAGAATGTCCTCTATTCTGATACATTGTTAGGCTATACATTGTTTTATAACCAAAATATATTGATTAATAAAAAGCATATAAAAAGTAAAGTCATTGTTTTATGCTGATGTTCAGTGTATAGTTCATACGTGTAAGATGAATTTGGTTTTATTATTATGATATCCAAGTATTCATAAGCTGTGTTTATTTAACATGGTAGGTAACTGATTCTGACTTAATAAATGTGTTCTTATTATGTTCTACTGAGTGAATAAGTGATATAAATCAAATTTGGGGAAGTTACTGTGTCATGTTAAACCCACATAAGAGGCATTATAAAACTTTATAAACAATGAAAGTATTTATTACATTTTCTTTCTTTATTTTCATTCTAAGAAATTGACAGATCCCTACTCCGACTGGTCATTTAACAAAATATTTAACCATATACATTGACATGTGCTATTTTGTCAGCAAATACGTTGTTGTGAAATTTTTATTGTGATTGGCGTCCGCGCCGAAGCGCGGCGCCCTTATGGAATGAAATCAGATTTTGTGAAAGGGCGACAGCAACTTCTCGAGCCTTTAAGTCGGTCATAATAAAAGCCGATCATTCCGATCGGTATGAGGGTGCTTGATTATTAATAAAGAATGAAATGTCGCGATATGTAAAATGAATAGCGAACTGGAAAATTTCGCAATGCAAACATTTTCAAATGAAATAGCCTTTTCCGTCAATAAATCGCGCTCTTCGGGGTTTTTTATTTATCATTTTGTAGTACACAGTGGGTTATCATGGTACGTTATTGTTGTACATGTATCCTAAAATGATCAGTTGATGACCTAAATATTCCAAAAATCTATTTATAGATATATCTATTTATCACTCCTATCGGTAATTACCGGTCTCTCCCGGTCTATATTGACCGGGATTTACTAGTGACCGGCTAATAGTACCACACGTTTATTGTCCGGTCTCTCCCGGTTTTGGAGTAGATGTTTGATATTGTTAAAATTAGAAAAAAAAACAACAACAATAGCATGTTTCATTTTATCTATATGAGATAATAACAATAAATATGTACAATATGTATGTGATATGTACAATAATTGAGAAAAAGGTACATTTTTATTTGGTATTAAAATGACATTATCAACTTTGAAACATTTTATTTTAAATTGTTATCCGTGTTGTAGTAAAGATGCCGAGGGAAATTATTCAAAGTTTACAAATTAGATTTTATGAATTATTCAATTGATTTGATAATTTAAAAAATGATAAATGAAAAATACAAATGTAACATGTACATGGTTTAAGAATAAACAATATTATATATTGAAAAGATAAACCATAATTTACTTGACTTTTTCCAGTTAAGCCTTTGACTTATTAATCGTCGGTCAATATGACAATTGAATTCTTAAAAATTCTATTTTACAATTTTAATAAAAAAAGAGTAGTAAAAACTCAGTATCAAAAAATAGCACATAAAACAAAAAAAGAAAAGAAAACAATATTCATTAAAATTTGTTATTTTTTTTTATTAAAATTAATAGATATTACAATTATTGTATAATAAACAATTATGCTCAACAGTGATCAACATGGTAATATAACCAGTGTCATTTTTTACTAACTTAAAGTTGAACAATACCTTAAGAGGGGGTCTTCGCTAATAGCGATAACATAATAAGGGAAATTACAATGTTGTGGTACGTGTTGATCATGCGTTACACAATTATGGGATTATAAAATGATTGCATACATGTATATCCGTTGCTATTAATAACCACGATCATAAAAAAATAACAAGTAATATTCTAATCTCTAGCATGCCAATTCAAAGTTCATAATGAAACAATGTCTTTCGTCCGCTCATTCATAAGTGATATACAAATTTTGGTAGTTTATAAGAAATATCTTGTCATCATATGTGTACTAGTTCATCTTCACTTGCTGCATTTCTTGCTTGGACGCCCTTTGATGCTTTGCATCAATGCTTTTCTTGTATTGATAATTAGAATAAACAAGCTTTAGGATCTATGCACAGCATAGGCATAGTGTATAGTAATCTATCCGTTTATGGAAAAGAGCTTGTTAAAAATTTCCTAAAACATAGGTTGATTCATTTCTGTCATTGCTATGACACTTATTTGGATTAGATATAATTATTTTGTTAATCACCGATACTAGTGTGCGAAACATGACCAAAATAGATTATTTATAAAAAAAGTATATGCGTTATCAAAACAGTTATAATATAACCGAAGAAACCCGATAAGATAAACTTGTTATTCTCTTTGTATATCACTCTTGCTTAATGCCATGTATGCTGTATTTCACATGTATATATGTGATGTAAAGGAAGTGTTTGTTAAAATTTTAAATCATAATTAATGCCCCTATTTTGTAATGATATCCGCAATTTAATAAAGCTCATGATAAACAAATACCATTAAACTTCCTGTTTTAATATGACACGCACATTTCTTTCGGTATTATTTCTTTTTCTTCCACTGCCCTTAGGATGACTGTTTGGGTGTTGGTGATTGTAGGAATTTGCGTTTTGTGAATGTTGCTTCACTTCGTTGATCTTTATGCTTTAATTTAAATTGTGATTATCATTATGTTAACAACTCTTTTTGCAATTTCTTAAAGTGAATATGGACTGATTTTATGATAATAAATCAATGTGAAAAATGTTTTCCCACACATCTATTTTTTGTTTAGCCTAACAGCATTTTTTTGTATCGATTAGAGCAAAAATACATGGGCCACAGCTTCCAACTAAGATATGATAATGTTAACACTTTCCCCCTTGAGCATATTGTGAAAAATGGCCATTTTCACTGAAAAGCCTCCTCTTACAAGTTCAAACTGCTATGAAACTATGAAAAATGCTTCAATACTAATCAAACTTAGCACAAATGTTGACTGGACCATTGCCTTTGTAACGACATGCTCAGTCTTAAATTTCCTGTTACCATGGCAACGAGGGGTCATCTCAAAATTGCCAAAAATCACTATTTTGCTTCGAGTTTTTCCATCAAAATTTATTTCAAAGTGCTGCAACTTCTCAAGGGATTTAGATGGAGTCAAAGGCTTTTCAGCGTTGGTTACACGTTATCTTATGATCGACCTGGGGTCATTTTAAGCCTCTCACAAGTCCAAACTTTTCTTGGCGATGAGGGGGACTCCGCCACCCTTCAAACCCCCCAAACACAAGGGGGCAACATCCCCCTTCTGGGCAACCCCCTCATGTGTCTTTTGGCATGGGACGGCGCCGAAAAAGTGCCACTTTTTTAGCAACATTTCTTAAAACAAAAACATGTGTATTGGGCCTAAATTAGGACACTTTTGCACTATTTCAGGCCTAAAAAAGGGGGGGGGTCGAAAGTGCGTATTTTTTGCGTAAAAATACGAGGTAAAGGTTAACAAAAAATGATGAAAAACTTTTGGAATCACTCCAAAATCTAGTTTTTCCATGTTAACATGTGTTTTTTTACCTAATTTTGGTAAATATTGTTGTTTTTGTAACATATTTAAAATTTTTTTAGTTATTCCTTTCCCCCATGAGCATATTGTGAAAAATGGCCATTCACTGAAAAGCCTCCTCTTACAAGTTCAAACTGCTATGAAAATATGAAAAATGCTTCAATACTAATCAAACTTGGCATAAATGTTGACTGGATCATTGCCTTTTGTAACGACATGCTCAGTCTTAAATTGGCCCTGTTACCATGGCAACGAGGGGACATCTCAAAATTGCCAAAAAATCACTATTTTGCCTCGATTTTTTCCATCACAAAATTTATTTCAAAGTGCTGCAACTTCTCAAGGGATTTAGATAGAGTCAAAAAGGCTTTTCGCGTTGGCTTACACGTTATCTTATGATCGACCTGGGGTCATTTTAAGCCTCTCACAAGTCCAAACTTTTTTCTTGGCGAGTGAGGGGGGACTCCGCCACCCTTCAAAACCCCCCCAAACACAAGGGGGCACATCCCCCTTCTGGCAACCCCCTCATGTGTCTTTTGGATGGGGACGGCGCCTAAAAAGTGCTCATTTTTTAGCAACATTTCTCAAAACGAAAACATGTGTTTGGGGCTCAAATATGACATTTTTTCACTATTTCAGGCCTAAAAAGGGGGCGGGGTCGAAAGTGCGTTGTTTCGCGTATATATGAGTAAAGGGTTAACAAAAAAAATGATGAGATAACTTTGGGAATCATCCAAAATCTAGTTTTCCATGTTAACATGTGGTCTTTTACGTAATTTTGGTGAAAAATTTGTTGTTTTGTAACATATTTAATTTTTTTAGTTAACAAAACATGATGAAAATCTTTGGAATCATCCAAAATCTAGTTTTTCCATGTTAACATGTGGTCTTTTACCTAATTTTGTTGCTTTGTAACATATTTAATTTTTTTAGTTAACCCTTTCCCCCATGAGCATATTGTGAAAAATGGTCATTTTAACTGAAAAGCCTCCTCTTACAAGTTCAAACTGCTATGAAACTATGAAAAATGCTTCAATACTAATAAAACTTGGCACAAATGTTGACTGGACCATTGCCTTTGCGTTGTTTCGCGTATATATGAGGTAAAGGGTTAATTGTTGATTCTGTTGTATGTTCTCATTCGTTGATATTTGACTTCTTTTAATAATCAATAAAGTTATTTCTATTTTACTAACCACATTATACTCATGTATTATATGTAACGCTAAAGTTTGTTTGAGAATAAGTGTGACCGTATTAATTCCTGTATCACTTTAATATACAACGTTTTTTGAAACAACCATACGCTTTTTAGTTTAATTAATTTATCAAAATTGAAAGTGTTAATATGTGTGTGATCTGCCTAGATAAGATATGAAAAAAGGTACGTTGATAAAATGACAAAACCTGTTTTAATATCAAAAAATATCGTTAATTATTATAGGACTAGTAACAATTTGTTGATATCATGCAGATTAATTATAAGATGTATGATGGATAGTGTAGCATATGGTATTAAGCTCTAAAGTATCATAATTACTACATAACCAGATATAAATATTCTTGTTCAGATTGTAAACAGTTTCCAAATACATAACCCTGATTTACCCTCGGGACAAAACAGATAATGACATAGTTTCAACAAAGACCCAGAATAATTTGTTTTTTAATAGACTCTGATGTCTTTGCCACCACTCAAACTATATATATTGTTTCATAGCAATTACCAGTTCCCTACTTTTGCTTTTTAGCAAACACCATATATACATACTAATTTACAACCATGGGTTTGTTCTGTAAATATGTTGGTTGTATGAAAATATGGGGGGTGGGAGAAGCTTAACCACTAAATGTCATTACATAACACGATATACTTCACGTACAGGCAACATTACAGCTGTAGCGACGTTCAAACTACCCCAGAATTTCAGCAACCATCAGACCCGCGCGTTAAACGGAAATACCAATCGTGACAGCAATCGAAACATTTTTTTAAAATGTTGCCACGGGCGGGTCACAAGTTCATTTCATTCACTGTGCATGCACAGGGATTCAAGAGTAACAGTTAAAAATAATGAATAAGTATACTAATCAGCGCCATAAGTTTAATAATACGATTATGTTAGATGACGTTTGATAGAAACTATACTGATTATTTGCGAAAATAATTTTTTTTACCAGAATCTTTTGAAATTCCAAAAAGACATGCGAATGAAAAATAATATAAGGCGGCATAGCCGTCATTCTAGAGATTATTTCTCCCCAAATGATGTGACCTTATCCCTATGAATGTTTTGCATTTTCGATCCCTTACTTGACACCCCTAAATCACATATACTCATTTTTTTAACTCACATTTTTTTTTTTATATTTCTGATTCATGTTTCTTAGTCTCTGTTCGATTAAGAAACAACCTCTACCCCATTTTACAATCTATTTGTCAGCTTTCTGACGAAATCCATAATCGTGCGATCTTCCGAAATGCGACCGCATTCGAAATTATATAACTTAACAACGTGAACTATTTGAATCATAAAACTTCGCTGTACTGACATAAATATAGACAAACTGTGTGTAATGACTTGACATACAGACTTGTACAGAAAGCAAAATTAATTGTATTTAAATATCATGAACAATAACGATAATGATCTAAAATTTTCATCCAATTGTTACACAATTGAACTAGCACTTAATCACACAATTGAACTAGCACATACTCAAGTCTTTACCTTGAACTCGACATTTTACGATTACATGTATTTTATTATGAAGAACAAATTTTTAAACATGCCAAAGTAGGCTTTTCAAAAGGCATCACATTTATAGGGTTATGAACTTAATTTCACCATTCTGACTAAAGTTCAGATCTTCTAATTTCTTTTATGTAAATCTGATGACGACCTTATAAAATATTCACCTTTATAATTCGGATATCTCGAAAAAGCTACATTAAGTCATGTAATCAAAAACGGCTTTTACATAGGAATTAGAACAGGTATCAAAATTCAGTTTTTCGTTGAAGTTCAACAAATTGTTGTTTTTGAAAAAAATGTTTGAATTTATTTGAATCAAATCAACTTGAAATAAAAGAGTCATTTTTAGTGGGACAGATTGCTTTTACCAGATTAACCTGTCCATGTTTGTTCTCAAAATCGTGAAAATTACGTGCTCAGTATTGGTTTTCAATAAGGTTTAAAATAAGATACCAGATCGCTTTCAAAATTATGAAAGCTCGCAAATGATTGGCTGTGTGAAAGCTCGCCATAAATGATTTCGTATTTGGCCACGGTCAGATCTAAAAGCGGAGCGTTATTTAGGGCTGGTTTTTATTAGAAAGATCATATCACATAATACCTTATCAACTTCTTACACTTGCATTTTTTCATAATGTGCGCTCACATTGATTTTGAAGTAATTTTACCCCCTTTTAATTCAGCTACAAAAACTCATATTCTGTTTTTTTGACAAATATATCCGTTTTACAACCCATGAAGCGATGTAATGCAAGAACGATCTAGGTTTTAATGTGTAAAATTAATGCCATAATTATAGACTTTGGAAATTGAAATAAATGTGTTGAATCCTGTAAACAAAGTCGGTCACTCTGTTTTCATGAAATGATACCATGTAACCAGATTATTTAATAAGAAAAAATATTTCAATCGGCGTATAGAAAGCTAATATTACTCACAAAATATGAATAAATATATGTTTTGCTAAATTAAATGAACTTTGAATTTGCTTCTCCGTTTGACATAACAATAAATTAAAACAAGACAAACTTTGTTAGACTCATTATCAGTCTCTGAATTAACAAAGGATAGAATTGCGTACAAAATCTCGTTTAAACATTTTAATAACTGGCCATTTCATGCACACACATTTTTTGAACCATTTATAAATGCACTAATTTATTCAGTCTTTTTTTCTAAATAACACCGAAGAACCATAGCTAATAACGAAGATGAGTTCTTCAATTGACCTTGGAAGCGATAGAAGAGGAGACCATTTTGAATTGTCATTAACGGGCAGCAAACAAATAAACAGAAGCAGTAAAAATATGTGTGCAATATGCTTGGACAAGTACAGAAACCCAAAATATTTACAATGCTTACATGCGTTCTGTGAACAACCATGCCTCCAGAGCCTGCTTGACAGGTAGGTCCATTAAAGTAGCAAATAACCTAATATAAGACATATGAGCCGTGCCATGACAAAACCAACATAATGGGTTTGCGCAGTCTGATCAGGATCCATGCTGTTCGCTTACAAATTCTATTACAAGTAGAGAAACTGATAGCGAACAGCATGGATCCTGATCAGACTGCGTGGATGCGCAGGCTGGTCTGGATCCATGCTGGTCGCAAACCAATTATGTTGGTTGTGTCGTGGCGCGGCTCATATGGTTATACCCCTCTTAAGATAACAAATTACATTTTATATCAGATATGTAAGCAGTTGCTTAAAAGATGCAAAGCTGTAAAACAAATCCAGCTTAAGGAGAGACATGAAATATTGGATGAAACATTTAGAAAGAAGATAATTAAAGATGTGCCTGTATATCAATTTCATGAATAAATTGGCGGAATTATAGATTATTCTGAAAATTCCCTGATTAAGTAAAATGTTATTTAATTAAGATTTCGATAGATAAATAAATTTTCTGTATATTATATTCATCAACATATCAAGAAAGGAAATGACGAACCTTTTATTATTCTAATATGGACTTTTTACAAAGTATTTGATGACTTGAAATATATTATACATAAAAATATACTCCTTGCGAACTTTAAAAGTCCGATACTGGTTGAAATGTAGAATGAACAGCTTTACCTCTGGTTACTTGGCTACAAGTATCTATTTTTCAACAACATGTGGCGTATTGCACTGCATACACTTGTTACGCAGAATTATAACCACTAGCAGGTATTCATTTATACACCCATTAATTGGAATGAAGCGGTGTGAAACCGGAACCTGTCCATCCCGAAAAGCATGTCCAACCGTTGACTGCTGTCTCCGAGTTTTAAATGATAGTGGAATATAACGCCAATTCTGCTTAATGTATAAAGTTTTTAATTTTAAATTTTTAAATTTCGACAAGCCGGATGACAAAAGTAATTTAATTAAGAGGTGTATGCCTATCAAAAACATTTCAGATCGGAGAACAACATTTTCAAGTGTCCCTTATGTCGACAAAGTTATAATGTGCTGACCTTTGAATGTGTATCTTCCGAGTCTACAGCAAATGAAGCTGTTCCTCTACTTGTCGAAAGAACAGAGCAAAGTACAGCAGAGAGTAAGAAATTAATTTTCATTATTTCACCATAAAATGTAACGAATATAGTGCAACGCGAGCACGGTGCTTGTTCGTATGTTCGTTAGATTCTACTTCTTACTTGGTTTGTTGAATTTATAATATTTTTAGGGGATTTCGTTAATTTAAATTTTAATGATGTACTCGCGCATCAAAATGGGCGGGAAAAATCTCTCTAAATGTCTCGGGTCCATTCTAATCAAGGCTGATATTTTATGTTGTTCTCTGCTTTGTCCTATGATCTCGAGTGATGATTGTTGATGTTGAAATTCAGACGAAGACACAAAGTCTTGTCTTTCTATGGTTGGTGACGGTGACTAAAAATAAATGTCAGCGGCTGGAGAGTCGTAGTTTAACAGTTAAAATATTTTATTTAAGTAACAATTATATTAAGAATTTAAAGATGCAACAATTAACAATAATATTTAAAGTTTGATTACTACGCGGACTGTCAGACCTCAAAATAAAAACAGAGTTAAAAAGTTGAATATTTTGGAATAAATGTCCCAATAAGCTGGACATAAAAATTTACGCAAAGATCTAAACTATTTAAATGTGATAAACTTTACCTCAAATTCGGAAATTTAATTATTTAAGAAAAATATTTTCTTTTCTAAGAGAAATGAGACAATGCTTGTGCTCAGAAGAAAATCTAAAAAACGACTGCTCAGAACTGACTTTGGGCGTTCCGAGCCGATAGCGCGCATGTGCAGTCACTGTGTCCGAGCCGGTGCTCATGCGCAGTACATGTAAAGGAGCCAGAGATGAGCCGATATACATGTACAATGTATGTTAGGGAGCCGGGACAGAGCTGATGCACATGCGCAGTGTAAATAAAAGAGCCGGTAATACGATCCGCATAATAATACAAATCTGACTATTAAACTATGACCGAGATTAAATAAATGCATTCGCAAACAATGCAAAGACGAAAATGAAAGTTAAATGTTGTCAACAGACATGAAATTAGCAAAATACATCCCTTCCACGCGATGTCAGTCATGAGCAGCGGTGTATAATTAAAAGCTTCAATTAATATTTACTATAGATAATATTAATTCCCATGTTGGACGTTTCATGTATACAAAAACAGATCGAAAATAATTCCATAAAAATAACCGTAGTTTCTGTCGTAGACATTGTATATTAATTAGAGTATTGCATAGAAACATGAACAATAGTTATACTTTTCATAACGTTTTTCAACAATGATATGAGTATTTTGGTTTTAGCGATATATTTTTGTGATTATCCAGTCAAGTTAAATAAAAACTTTATAAAGAAGAACATTGACCATTTTTATAAGAACTTGGACAAATTAATGTGCACTACCATTTACAAGAAACGCTATCGAAATGTTATGATATACTTTATAAGTATAAAAATAATAATTGGATACATGTATCAGCGTCTGATTAACTAATTCACTTTAAATGCATTATTTTCTATTCCAGCGAATACATGTGAACGATTTTACACTTTAAGCGTTTTAGGTAAAGTATATTTATAGTTCGTAAGACAAAATTGCATCTATTTGATATGTATGTGAAATACTGCTGATTTTTATACATATTCTTAACATTATTCAGAAGAAAACAATTATATCTATTCACACGTTTTCATATGTTTTTTGTAAATGTTATTATACCTTTATAACCTAACCCAACACTGCAGTACCCTGCCCTGTCCTAGGCTACTTACCTACTTCCTACGGTACCAACCACATAGCTGTGGATCTAATCTATTTTTTATTTTTTATTTTTTATTTCAGTTGTAGTGTTTCATTTTTGCATCATTAGCGTTGCTAGAATAGTATTAGGTAAATATACTAGAATTTTGATAAGCTTCCACACATATTACATTATTCAATATTTATACGACAAATAAATTCCCCTTGCTACGATTGGTCGAGACGCAATGTCATTTATAACGAACATAGACAATGACATAAAGGTAGACCCGAAGTGATGTTCATCTAAATAGAGCGTATTGAATGAGTGCAGGTTCAATACAAAATTTATTGAACGAGTTGAATAGAATTATATTATCCCTACTGGCGAGCTTGATATTATGTTATTTAACAAGTTTAATAAATTTCAGTAATGAATCTACACGACTATAATAATTATTTTCTGTATCACATACCCAAATAGTGAAAGAGAATCATTTTGCATTGACGCATCTACAGTGTAACGCTATATTTTGCGCTTCTTTACGCTATGTTTTTTTAACTCGATGACGTAATGTGTAAATATATATTACCATTTTTACGGAGTCACAAAAACGGCAGGTGTATGTGACAAACAACTTTAAATTATTAAGCGTGACTGAAATTTTTACCGTCCCTTCATATGATGGCTTTTCGATAAATAGGAACTACCTATTGTGATCAATTATTGTGGTGTAAGCTCGAAACGTCTTTGAAACCTTTAGAACTACCCAGCACTAGTGTCATATGAGGCACGTGGATATGGCACTATAAGGAATCGAACCTACGATCAATATGTTGAAAACCACTTGGTCACAGTTTCCTTACGAATTGATAATGTATGTAATTCAAAATCAACGGCAGTTCATGTAATTTTGTTGTTTAAATGCCAACGAAGCAGAAATTAATGCTCGGTGTATGTAATGAAGCACAATTACATTTGTATCACTTTCTGTTATATGCAGGGTTATATTCTCATGAATGTAAAAAGCTATTGTATGCTTATCAAATTGCGAAAGGGTTGATAGACATTTTCATTGCACTGTCATACTGCAAAAATCAAACAGGAGTATGCACTACAATTCTGTTGGGCGTTTCAATCATTGGGCTTATATTAGGTAAGACATAATTTGATATTTGTAGTGTTAGGAATGTGTTACTGTCACCTAAAAATAAAAATAACCCTTCCTTATAATCTTTGTTTGAACTTGACTTTTGTGTTTGGGAAGTGTACATACTATAAGTAAGTATACTTGAAACATATTTATCATGAAAGTTTTGTCTTTGAATAACAAAGAATTTCTGAATGTTCCTGAAATATACACATTTCCACTAATAAGCAGAAAACATCCATTTATATGACAAATGAGTCGTGTCACGACAAAACTAACATAATGCGTTTGCGACCAGCATGGATCCAGACCAGCCTGCGCGTCCGCGCAGTCTGATCAGGATCCATGCTGTTCGCTTACAAACCATATAACAAGTAGAGAAACTGATAGCGAACAGCATGGATCCTGATCAGACTGCGCGGATGAGCAGGCTGGTCTGGAACTATGCTGGTCGCAAACCCATTATTTTGGTTTTGTCATGACGCGGCTCAAATAATTATGTTTCTTGTACAGGTACTATGGTAGCCTGGGAGTCGACAGAAGACAACAGGCAATGTCATTTTCTAATAGTATTTTCCCGCTATTACGTTGTTGCTGACGGCATTTTGATCTTATTCATCCTCATTTGCGGAAGACGATTACTCACAAAAATCTTGGATTTAATACGATGTTAACAAAACAATACTGTATGATGAAGATGTATATTTTCAATTTTTTCAAAAGAAGATAAAGTCTAGTTCGTTCAAATTATTATTCAAAAATATGTGTGACCATTAATCAATTATAAACATAAACATGATATTAGGTAATATGTTTATAGATATATAATTGCTTATATCTATGAATCTACATAGTTTAGGTCGACTTTGACATGATAAATTGGAATAAACGTAGTCAATCCACTTACTTTTTGTTATCACGTTTAGTTTTTTAGTGTAGGTTAGACAGAAATACCGTATCCGTTCTTTGTACGAGCGTAGTCCTACAATTGTGTTCAATGTCCTTAGGGAAGTTTTGAAAAATCGCGATTGGTGGGATTAATGGCATACGAATCGATGGAAAACAATAATTACTCATATATAATAATCGTATTTGAGCAAACCTTTCCCAGAGAGCCAATGATTTAAATTAATACATTCAAGATATAAAACATGTCAACATAGCCTTAACTTCGCGTTTAACATTATTTATGATTTTAATTTTTAGTATTATTATAACAATGTTATGAATCCCCCTATGTTTTGTATTCATTATCTTTAACTAAGACTTATTTTTACATATTTTTTCAAAATATCATACTGACTTTTTAAAGTGCCACTATTTTAATAATACATCTGAACCATTAATTTCAATGGTAATACAATCACGACTTACTCATAAATTCGTCGTTACGAATAAACGGGCATATGTTTCAATTATAGATTATAATATCATTTCTTTGTTTGTGATTATTGATAACTGCCGAGTTGTATTTCCTTGTTTCACTTAAAATAAATAGCAAGATTAGATTGTATTTACAGTTATTTATCCATTTGTCTATTTACGAAATCAGGCATATATTAACTTATGTATTTTTAAACATGATATTATGTTATTTTATGTGCTTTGTTATCTTATTATATAATCTCTATATTTTAATTTGATCCAAAAACATAAACTGAACAGCATCATGTTCTTCTAAATAAACTAGGTATCAATAACAATATTTTAACATAGTTGGATAGTTCAAATTATATAGCTTGAATAAGTATATGAGATATTCATATAAATACATTTGCAAGCACTACAATAAAAGAAAAAAAATTTCAATTGTTAAAAGTACACAAAATATTCAACTCATGTACATTCATCAAAATACTTCTTGTTGCATCTTTTATCGACTTGACATGATGGCCAAGATTGAGAACAAATCTCAAACCAGGAAATGTATCTTTGATTATCATGAATAAATCAATAACAAAGTAATATTAGAATTTTGTCACATCGTCTGATAAGATTTTAATCTGATAAGATAAGTAATGCAAAATACAATTTGAACGTGACATTTTGGCTAGAACACAAGTGTTTCTTGTTGTGATTTCTATGGTTTTTCTTTTCGTAACAGCTGACAATACTGTGATTTTCATGAAAAGAGAAAGCTCTGAAATCAAAATTTGAAATATTTTCTTTAAAAAAAACAGTAAAAATAGCTTGCAATAATAAGAAGGCGGAGAAACTTCCATTGATACGAGAATGATGATTTGTGCAATTCAAATGTTCAGAAATAAAGGATAACAGGTTGTAAGACAAATATATACAGTTGTGGACATATCTTTTAGCTACCGACCAACATGTTTGGTTTTTATACTAATATAGAGGATGTCAAATAAAGATGTGTTTTTTTTTTCAGTCTAAATTTCATGACGACCTATGGCAAACAAATAGTACAACAAAAGAAAATTCCAATCACACTGAAAACAAAATTTTGAATGAAACGATAAATATCACAAACACCTTTTTCTAAAATCACTTTGAACTTAAACTCAAAGATTATATTGTGGTTCCAAATTGGGGTGTAGGAAATAATGAGGTTACATACTGGAAATATATTGTCTCATGAAAACAAAGGAGAATGGCGTTACATTTATCTTCTGACACTAATGCCTCTTGACATTATTAGGCTTCTAAAACGTCAAACAAAATATAACAATGGTTCTATTGGCCAGGATATTAAAGTATGTAAAGCTATAAATATATATCTCAGAACGTGATTTTGTGAAAAATGTTACATAAATGCAGTCTAATAATTATAATTCATTTTGTAAATTCATCGGTTAGTACAAAGAGATTATACTATACACATTTAACACAATCAGACTACACCGATGTTAAGACAGGTATGGTTCTACACTTGTTACAAAGTCTTTTCACTTTAGGTTCAAGCAGGATGAAACCAGATGGTAAATTTATATTTTCATTTAATGATTGTGAATACATGTCAAAAAATAGTATTTCTCTCAATATTTTGAGCATATTTAACGAACAAGGAGCATGACAAAAGAACAATCATAAAAAACATGCCAGATATGTGCGAACATACTAAAAAATAGTATTCAACGACTATCAATAAAAACAAGTCATTTACTTATTCTTCATATAAAGACCAATGTTAACAGAGGTTTCCCAATTACATTAAGAAAATTGTACTTTTTCCAGTGTTATAGATAAAAAGTGTAATGCAAAGTAAAGGAACTGGAATAATTTTGTATCTGTATATGTAAATGTTTATTTTTGCAATTAGAAAAGTAAGTTTTAAAGTAATGTCACTTTCTATTGTATTTGTTATTCAAAAATGAATTTCATCCTTTGAAATGTTAAAATCAGTTATATGTGGACATTCACTTTTTATGATTTTTTAGACTACAAAATTGCTTTGTATGTTAACATTCATTAAACAGATGAATGATAGTTTCATCTGCCGTCTTGCAAAAATGAACGGTCTTTGATGACAATTACAGTCAAGAACGTGTTGTTACTAAAATTCTATTAGTAAGCTTGAAGTAGAAAAATTCAAGATTTGTGTCAGATGTTGTTTTTTTCCCTGCTAATATAGGCTGTAAATATAAACTTACGTATATCATATAAATCTTTCGATACATTGGAAAATCTATAAAATGCAATACAATGGTTCTTGTAATTATGTTACAATACAGGCTTATCTTAATGTAAGTTGAGTAAAAAATGTGACCACTAGAGTGTTAACAAGGATTTTTCATATTTGAGCAGTGTGACATAGTTTTTGATTTTACACCAGTTGACTCATATTCAAACTTGACCTAGTAATCACAAAAAACTTTCAGATGAATTTCAGGATATTTGGATCAAAACAGTAGCTACTACAGTGTAAACAAGATTTTTCTATTTTTATCTCCTGTGACCTAGTTTTCCATCCAAGATGACCCATTTTCGAACTCATCCGAGTAATTACCTAGACAAGCATCTTGACCAAGTTTGATGACAACATTATTGAGTCACAAATGTGACCACTATAATGTTAACAACTTGAAGGTTTTTCAATATTTTGGCGGTGTGACCTAGTTTTGACCCCAGATGATCCATATTCGAACTTGATCTAGAATCATCAAAAAAATAATTTCAGACCAATTTTCAGGATATTTGGATAAAAACAGTAGCAACTAGAGTGTTAACAAGATTTTTCTATTTTAGCTCCTGTGACCTAGTATTTTTTATCCGAGATGACCCTTGTTCAAACTCATCGGAGCAATTACCTAGACAAGCATACTGACCAAGTTTGATTACAATTGAGTCACAAATGTGACCACTAGAGTGTTAACAACGTTTTTCTATACTTGGGCGGTGTGATTTATTTTTTTAATCCCAGGTGACCCATATTCAAATTAGACCTAGAAATTATCAAAACAACCTTTCAGATGAATTTCCAATATATTTGGATCAAAACAGTAGCCACTAGAGTGTTAACAAGATTTTTCTATTTTAGCTCCTGTGACCTAGTGTTTCATCCGAGATAATCCATGTTCGAACTCATTCGAGCAATCACCTAGACAAGCATTCTGACCAAGTTTGTGGTCGAGTATAAAATGTGACCATTAGAGTGTTAATAAAAAGTCCGTGACAAATCTTACGGACGGTTCATTTATAACGCCAGTAGATATTAATTCACACAAGTTTTTCATTTTAAATTACAACATATCATTTACAAACTATCTAATCGAGTTACTTATTTTTTATATTAACAAGATTGGTTTGAGTTCCCGGCGCACGTCAAATAATTTGCATTTTGTTATGAATATGCTAAAATAAAATACGTATATTTCAAATTTCTGATGATGTGTCAGCACATTATCACTTTGATTTCCTCTGCTATCAGCTGTTTCGTGAGTATTTCGAGATGACACCTGTTAAGATTATTCAACTAATGTACCGGATAGAACAGTTAAAAGCATATTCCTAGCATTTATTTACAAAAATATGAACGAGACCTGAGTTATGTACAACAGAAAGCGAAAATAAGGAAAAGACGAATAGGAAGACCGATCTCCATCGCCTATTTCCCACAGCTAAAACAGATGCAACAAGACCTGAAGTCCGCTTCTAGCAAGAAATTAGTGTATGCTGTCCAAACGTTCAACAGAGATAAATTTCTACATAATATCAGTCCGTAGTTGACGATAAATGAGTAAATCTGCACCGTTTATGCGTTAAATGCTATGGAGAATATTTGAGAAAGGCGTTTAATATAGATTTAACGACTGACGTGCGCCGCGATACAAATAGATTTCATGGTATTTATGGCATATTTTGTTTTTTGTTGATATTCTTCTATGAAATGATACCATATTATGTGTTTATATGACATCGAAATATCAAATTCGTAACTAGTTTATTTAGCTTTTAAACAATATTGTTACAGAACATTGGGACAACCCTCGTACATGAAACTTTAACGCTTTTTTCTGAGAAGGAGGATGTTTTGGATCATTACATAATTTAATAAATATCTTATAATACTATTATATGATGAAGTTAGATTCCAAACATGCAAGAAAATGATAAAGTTATAATTGAGATTCATAACCATTTACACAAAAAATGCAGATAAAGATGAAGTTTAAATACGCAATGAATGACCCGAATGCATCGTAAGTTATATAACACTTTTCATGGAATAAATGATTTGTTACGGTTAATCTTACATCAGTTCAAATAAACGCAAAATTATTGATATCATTTAAATAAGCACATGAACTCATTTCTAAACTGGCACAATGTATGTATAATGTCTTGTTTCTTTCGTACGATATTTTAAGCATGTAAAACAGAAATGGTTTGTAAGTTATTCACACCATATGTCGCCATTAACAGTAGACAGTAGACATTTTATTTTATTTATTACCCCATGAGGGTACAGATATGCAAAATAACGAACAGTGTATGACATCAACATATATAAACAATATCAACAATCTTCAGATTTTTGGA